AAAAAAGGAATATATATATCATATAATCAGATTATATTATATGTGTTAGAGTGATTCTAGTGATTGGATTATTAAATTTATGGGCTAAAGAAATACTATTGCTCCATTGGTCCCTCTTAAAACTATAAAAAACACTGGATGATATTACATATGTTTTCTTCTTATCATCATGTATCATCAATATCTTTTAGATATCTTATATTTTTACTCATATTCTGAATTCATTTGTTATTTGGTATGTTTATTTTTCTATTATACATTTACAGTATTTTCTATCTATCGCTTTTATTTGGTGGCATCTCTCCAATTCTTGCCCCTGAGCCTGAGTATTTGCACATGGCACACTACCTGCCCTTATATAGTGTTTAGGGGGTGTTACTTATGCTAATAACAATTGGCTACATGCCTCCAATTTAAGATCAAGCGGGATTCGTCATTCAGCACACCTGGTAGGGCTCATCTGGTAAGAACAGATTTGGGTGGTTAGGAACGTTTGTTGCATCTGGTGCTGACTCATATTTGTTCTCTTAAAAGAAAATATAAGAGAACGTTGCTGCACGAGGCCCGATGTTACCTGACTCACAGTTGGAGCATTTATCTGGCATTAAAAAGATTAAAAACTGCATTAAAAAAATCTGGTTGTTTGATTAAAAGGGCGAAGGTACAAGTCTATTCACATAAAAACTAACAGGAAAACGTTAATTACGATTCCCAAGATGCATTTCCGTAAGAAATATCCAATCATAGAGCTTCAAATTCTGTACGTGGATGGAAGAAAACATTTTTTGCTTGTTTTTTCCTGTTTGTTATCTATTTTTGTATTGTTTTTTTTCCATCTTTACTGTATGAAATTTTATTTTACATACTGTAAGGCGTTTTATAAAATGTCAACATTGTAGACTAAAGGGACACTATATAAGAGACAATAAACATTTACACAGAGACAATAAAGTATATATACAGCAGAGTAAAACAAACAATAAAATACATGAATAAATAAAGTCTGCTGCTTAGGTCAGTTCTGTGTCAAGGCCACACCTGTGTTTTCCTGTGTTTTCCTGTGTTTTTCCCTCCCCCATGTGTCTCCTGTCTGTCTGTGTGCTGTGGGTGTGGCATCACCTCCTGGCTCCCAGTGCTGCTCCTCTGCACACACCAGTCCGGAATCAGCTCATCACCACTCCCGGTTGACTCACCTGCCCGGCATCTGTGATCTCTCCCCTTCTTAAAACATACTTTTATCAGAGAGCCTATCCTGGTTTAATGACTTGTTGTTGTATTTTATTTTTTGGTTTTAAGGTAGACTTTATTGTTCCCACACTGGGGAAATTCACTTGTTACAGCAGCTCCAGATGTGTAACACAGCAGATGTGAAAACAAAGAAAATACACATTACATAACAAAAAAGAAAAAATACAAGATATCAAAAAATAAACTATATACAGTATAAATTATACAGATGTGATTCAAAGTTAAATTATAATATTGCACAGGTTACAGAAGGGGGTAATGGCCTATTGAAGAAATAAATAATAAATAAATAATTACACCGGACAAAAAACATTATATTATACAGAAATGATTTCACAGGGCTATCCACAGGCTATTAAAAGTTCTCTTTATATATATATTATCATTATGCTCTATAACTTTTGCTTGATTCACTGTAAAAGAATGAATGAATGAAAGATAAGTTCATTTAACTTTTACTAGGAATTTTGTTTTCACAGTAGAAATAAAAATTACAAAATAAGTCATTCTCACTTAAAATTACTAAAGCTGCTGAAAATCTAAAATAATTGAGTTAAAGTTTTTGAGTTATATGAACTTATCTGGTTTTACAGTGTTCCTTATATAAAGTTATACCCCTAGCTCACATCGAGAAACTTTCATAACTTTACCATCTTTTTGTATCTGTGTCTTCCATTTGGGTCCAACACAAAAATTCAACTGCAAAGTGTTTCGCTCTGATTTGTACCTCCGATTGTCTTCTTCTAAAAATGATTAATGTTACAAGTTATGTATTCAATAAGGTTATAGATGCATGGTGTTAGGTTGAGGATGTAGGTTGGACTCTCATGCACTGTGCAGTGTATGTAAGTAGGTCGTAACCATTATTGCCACCCTATAAATGCAGGTAATCACTGTCTCCCCTGTGCTGCACTCTATATATATGAGTCATCTAATTAGCAGTGATGGGAGGAGGAGGAGGCTCATAAGTGGAGGTCCAGCAGCAGCATCACCAAACTCCCATCCACCACTCAGCTCTGAAGCCCCCCCCCCCCAGGAGAGATATTCTCATGGGTGGTGAGGGTTGCAGCTACATGGACGGCTGTGGCTCAGGTGCTATCTAGTAATTGGAGGTTTTCTGGTTGGATTCCCGGCCTCCCCGAGTCCAGTTTAAATGTTCTCGGGCGAGATGCTGAACTCCAAATTGTTCCCAATGGCAGTGAGTGTGTGTGTGAGCTCAATACCATCATGATCAGCTTGTAAGAGGTCGGTACAGAAAAACACATGATTAATGGGTAATTAATACGTTTTATGTAGTTCCTTCTGCTTTAATCTATATTTTTGAGATGAGCGAAGAGACAAATGACCATGTCCCCTCAGCTCTACAAGGAATTTTTGCTTATTTTAGCTCATTGTTTTGGTTTTATGGCCCCTGAAACTTCACTGTTTGGTTCACTCTTACCAACCTTGTTACGGTTTGGAACATCTTTCAGCTAAAGAGGGAACTATTTTCTCCTTCAACTGGTGGAGACTGAAAGCAGAGCTAAAAGGAGAATGGGTATTGGAGTTCCTTTCTTCAGCTGGTCAGAAACATGAATCTGTAACTGTTAACAGGTGCCTGGTAGCTCACCTGGTGGAGCCCCATGTGCCGGTGTCTGGTGCCTGTCAACCTCTTTCTCTCTTTCAGCAGTCACTATCCATTAAAGGCAATAAAGAAGCAATAATATGTCAATGAAATAAAAACAAATAATGCCTACAAAGCTGTCTCATTCCAGACATAAAGATCAATTTAAAAAGATACAAATGGAGTGAAAAACAAACATGGAGTAAATACATTTTAACAAATGTTTTAGCAAATGTATTCAGCCCTCCACTCATCACCATTGTTTCCAATAATCAACCTTTCAGAAGCTCGAACAGAAAACCTTTTCAGCAATTTAAAAGAGGTAGAAATAAGATGTCTGTGCGTGAAATGAATGAAACCACAGTGTGAGCCTGTTCTCGTCTGGTGGTGGCAGCGTGCTCTCAAACTCTCCCTCAGGGAACCGAGACGCCCGGCAGCAAGGAGAGCAGGAGGCCTTTTAATGGAGCAGGATGGAGCTCGTGTACCTCTGTCAGGATGGAGTGAACGTTTCAGCAAATACGACAAAAAGTTAAATCCATAACAGTTACCTTCTGCAGCTTTAAGGAACCTTTAATAATAAAGTATTTAGACACTCAAAATAGCACTTTTCAAATAATATGCATAATACACCAATATGACTCAAGTGTCTTTGGACCTTGTGGGAAATGTGTGGCCTGATTCCAACAATATGAAGAAGCTGAAGCAGAAATGATGGAAAGAAATGTTCTCTGTTGTTGTCAGTTTAATCCGTGGCGTGTCTCCTGTTCTCTCTCTCTTCTTGCTAAATGTCGTTATCCTCATTAGGCGCTGAGCTCGTGTCAGATTCATTGTGCCTCGTCCCGTGAGACAAACGGGATTAGGATAAACTAATACTGATCCCTGTTCAGTGCTCAGAGGTCTGTAGATGAGGTTTAATGCAATTAACAAACACACAAAAAAAGTTAATTACATAACAAAGAAAATAAAATTGTGTAATTGTTAATTATAAGTTGCTTTTGTTAAAGGGTCAGTTCACCCAAATTATAAAAAGACACATTTTGCCTCAACAGCTTTCATTTGGCCAGTTTTTTTATTTTGTCTGAACTTTAAACTCATTTTACTCCCACAATTTCCACCTTGTGCATAATTTCAGCATCAAAATGGAGACAAACTTGTCGTTTCTCTCACAATGTCACATTTTAACCAACATGAGTTTTTGAATAGGCCTTCAAAGCAACAGGAGAGCCATTCAACCATTATTAACTTATATCGACACTTCAAGTGCTTTCAGTGATTACACTTTCAGTAACACTGAACACTTCTTCCATTAGTCACAAGTCAACGGACACTTGAACTGATTTATTCTTCATTTAACACTTCAAATAGTTTAATTTAACATTTAAACTGACATTTCAACTGTTGTCAGGGTTTATACACTAACTAACATTTACACAGCTGACAGTTAACACTTGAATTATCTCTAGTGCTTCCACTTAGACATTTCAACTACAAGTATATTGATTTCTTGATTTCAACTGTTTTAATCTCTTACTCTTCCAGCTCAGTTTATCACTGAGAACACCTTTCTCCTTTCACTTTTATTGACACTTCAGCTGCATTCAGTGTTAACACCTTTGTGAAAGGTCAACTCGCTTCTTTTCTCGAATTACTTACACTACTCTTACTTTACTTTCTCTTCATCGTCATTAAATGTAAAGGAACTTAAACTGAAATTTCAACTGGCTTCATCTCTTTTCACCACTTACACTCCTTTCAGTGCTTCCATTTTAACCACCAGTTCAGCTTTTCACTAAATCTTTCACTATATATTTAGTGTCTTTCAGTGTTTGAGCTACTCTTGCCTTTTATAATTTTCATTTAAAAGGACCAGTGCGTAGGATTTAGTGGTATCTAGCGGTGAAGTTGACCCTTTCAACATAAAAGCCCTCTTCAGAGCACTTTATCTTCAATTATTGGACCTCTAACAGATTCTTAGTGGCTGACATGTATTTCCTTTGTTCCACTTACAGGAGAATCAAGAAATTAATCTCTTAAATCAAAACACATAAACTGTACCCGTTTCCTTCCCCTGAACCAAGACATTGTCTCAGCATGTTTAAATGACGGCGACCCCTGTACAAATATGTAAATCACACACAAAAAGACAGTCTTAATGTGGCATGAGCTTGCCATTTATTGTTATTGAGGAAGTTAACATGGTTAACTGCATTGAAAGTCATACAATAAACCTCTGAAGCTTTGTGAGAGGTCCCTCCCTGTGTCACAGAGAGAAAGCTGTAGGAATATACATACAGTATATCTTATTGGCAAGTAGATATGTTTTTAGTAAGTACATTCTCCTCTACCAGGTACTCATGTACAATATACATGTTAAAAAATATAGTTTGTTTGCATTGCGATCACCGTTTTTTTTCCTTTTTTGTTCAGGATGAAATAATTCACATTTAAGTGTTACAGGTTCTTGAATGGCGGTGGAACTAAAGAGCACTGTTCTGTTGTCGTTGTCCTTTTTTTTTTTTTAATAGCTATCACATACACATAGGCATATGCATAGAAGGCACGTCTATGCATCTAAATTGCTTACATGATAAATGGAAAGCAGTTTTATCATCTGGGAAGAAGAAACAAAAACAAGAAAGTATCCAAGAACATATGGCTGATAGGCAGCCGCACTCTCACAGCACATACACACATCCACGCACACACACGCACACACACACACACACGCAGGACACGAAACACCACAAGCAAGCACTCCACGAAACATTAGACAAGTACAAACTCATCCGTTTGACGATAAAACTGCACACAGTACACCACACTACAGAAGATCTCATAACTCAGTCAGTGGATGGCGTTCACCCGGGAGGAGAAGAATCATTTCAAAAGAACACTTGCTGTGAAGCAGCAGCCGGGTGTTAAGAGTCCACCGGTGGGAGGAAGCAGCCCCCGAAGAAACACTGATTTCATGATTATTATTATTTTTATGTTACAGAAAAAGAAGCTGTTCAAATCCTGGATCAGTGGTTGTTGAGAACTGTCCCTCAAGGCAAAAAGAGGAGAGCCGCTTCTTCCTTTTTCTCCATTGAGAGATTCTGAGTCAGCGCTGTTACAGTAAGTTCAATCGCAAGACTGCAGTTTCTCAAGGCGCAGTGACGGCGAGCAAGTGTGCAGAAGCTGGGAAGGCTTGACAAAATGAAAATACTTTAGGCCACACGTTTGAAATGAGTGTTGTGGATTCTCACTTGAATGATCCAAAAGAAACATCTGACCCTAAATACTGCAGCTGATTGTGACGCTGAATGAGTAGTTTGACATTTTGGGGGGAAAAAATGCTCATTTGTTTTCTTGCTGAGAGTTAGATAAAAATATATATATATATATATATGGATTCCACATTCATGACTGTACGCTACATATAGAAGGCAGAGCTCGCAGATGATTAGCTTAGCTTAGCGTAAAGACTGGAAGCAGGGGGAAACAGCTAGCCTGGCTCTCTCAGAAGGGGGTAAAACCTTTGTTTGGACCACAACTTGTGACTGACAACATGTGCTATGTCGTGAGCTCTGGGGTTGCTAGTAGGTCGTAGGACCTTTGTACAGAGCTGTGCCCAATCTTTAAGCTATGCTAAGCTAATCAGCTGTTGACAGTGGCTTCATATTTTCACCCCAACTGACAACATATCAATGTGAAAAAGTTGTGGTTTTAAGGGTGGTTACATGCTGAAACTATTTCTTGGCCAGGAGCAGGGATTTGCTGGAGTCTTACTGACACCATTGGACGGAGCCAGGCTAACCGTTTCCACCTGTTTCCAGTCTTTATGCTAAGCTATGCTAATCAGCTACTGGCTGTAGCTTCATATTTAGCTTGCAGACATGAGCGTGGTTATTGATTTTCTACTCTTAACTCTTTGCAAGAGAGCGAATGCGTCAAAATTTCCCCAAAAATGTCAAAACATTCCTTTAAATCGTTTACTTTGATTAACAGAAACAGAAAGACAAGAAAATACTCTCCTATAGAAACCTGTATAGGTGTGTGTGTGTGTGTGTGTACATGTGAGTGTGTATAAACTACTGAATCCAGCTGACTATCACAAGGCCAATAATCTATAACCACAACAATGACTATCTATAGTGCCAAAGCTGAGAAAAGTGTGATTGCTTCTTAAAACAGTGACTCTTAAAATTAAGTACATGTGGTGCTCAAAATAGGCAATGGTACACAAAAAGGCATTTGTCTTAAAAAAAAAATAAGTGTGGAAAAAAAAGTAATATGCACTTTAAAAACAAAAAAAAAAAACAACTTAAAAAAACAAAGTTTTTTGGCAGCCGTGCGTCTGTGGCGATGCCTGCGACTGAGATACACAACAGACTCCCCTGAAATCTTAATACGTCATCAGACTGACTTTGACATAGAAGTGCAGGCATGAAAGGGAGGTGGAAATCAAACATGTGCCCCCTGCCCTCCCCTCCCTACCGCCCTCCCCTCCCCAGAAACTGCTCTCTTAAACCCCCCCAGATTAGATTATTTATAAATCCACCAGGTGAATCAAGGCTTCACTGTAACTGTTATGCTGCTAAATAAAAGTGCAGCAATAAGGGCATTCGGCTTGAGCTCAGGAATGGTTAACTAACAGACACCGTGTATCCCAACAAAAGCATATTAAACCCAACAAAGATTCACACCCCGAACAGCCGGAAGTTTAAGTTTCTTTTCGAGGCGGTTCTGGTGCAAAAAAAAAAAAAAAAAAAAAGGAATTCATGTTTAGTGGATTACAAATCAACAGTAAATATGGTAGTACACTACAATGCCAATAGTTCTTCATTCAAAAACATTACTCTATATAACACAGTGAAAACTAGACAATAATCACTGGAAATTTTGCCCCACTTTTGTCCACAAATAAGGTCTCGTCTCGCCCACTGCTTTAAAGGCTTCAACAGGCCAAAATAGAGACTTTTTAATTGGCTGAGAAATGTGGATAAAATCATTCGTGGTTTTGGCACACGCCTTTTTCAGAAAATCTCCTCACTTCCGCCTACAAACAATCTACATAATCTTCCTTTGGTTAATAAAAAAACAAAACAAAAAAACAGAAAAAAAAAAAGAGAGATGAGCAAAGGTTAGCTAGGTTTTTCCCTCTGAGGAGAGTTCTCGCTGTTTGCAGCCCTTGTTGGGGTGAGATTTTACAAAGGCTAAACCCAAACTGTGGTTTAATAGGGTTTAGTAGCATGTTAGGCTTCTCAAAAGGCTCTTCTGATGATCACAGTGGTTTAGAATTCAACTAGAGGGCGAATGTTCGTGTAAGATGAGCGAGATCAGGAGGACCCTGGTGTCTGGTCTCTCTCACGATTTGTGTGTGTGTGTGTGTGTGTGTGTGTGTGTGTGTGTGTGTTTTCTTTCCATTGTTCCATGACATTACGGTCAAGTCTCAGGCGTCAAGGTGTGGCTGGCGAAAAAACTGTCAGGTATCGAGATCCTGAAGGAGACATAAAAAAGGACGATACTTGTGGTTAAATGCGTAACTGCAGAGAGAGAACCAGGCCTTTACTCCATACAGGCTTATATTAGAGACTATTCCTACTGTTGTTAGCTGCTGTTTTAATTTTCTGTTAATCTTCATTCAACTCAACACTTCCTCCTTGTTTACATGTTGTCCGAACCAGTGTGTAGGATTTCTATGACTGTGTTTAGTGAAATGTGGTATAATTTAACGGTATCGTTCATGCTAACATTCATTCACTGAGAAGAGTCACAGCTAACTTTCCAGTTCTTTTTGTATGCATATGATTCAGGTTATACGTGTTTTAGTTAAGGCTCATCTGTGTGTCTTTTTTATGTGTCTTGTAGTTGCGTTTGTATGATTGTAAGAGTTAATTTATGTAATTAATCTGTAGCTCTTACAGTGTTTAAGAATACGGCAGAACATGAAAAACATCGCCGCTGTCTGGCAGTTTTTACTACACTCCGCCTCTAACTTTGCCCCACGAAGCTCAGATTTTAACTCGAACCCTGATAGTATTGTTTTCTATATGTGCAGCTTGTTATTTCATTTACCTGGAACTGATAGAGCACTGGGGTCAAAGGTGAATCTCATCTGTAGCTCTTCTGCTGTTGCATCAGGCCCACATTCTCATACACTCTGGAGCTGTCGTCCCTCATCCTGCCAACAACACACACACACACACACACACACACAATCACACACACACTTTCATGAGAAACTACTGCCTGGACTGTCTCAACAAGGTGATTTAAAATGTAAAACAGCCTCCAGCAGCAGCCCGAAGGTATTACTTACTCTGTGCAGGTGGGAGTAGGAATAGGAGTGCAAGGAGGCAAAGGGCTCTGCTCTCCCCCAGTCAGGTCAGACAAAGAGTACTTAATGTTGGTGTACTCGCGCCCTTTAATCTTACTTTTCTGCAGAGGAGAAAACAGAGGAAGGTTAAGAGGAGGGAGGAAAAAAAGCAGAAATGAGAACTTGAGGCGTTGTCTGCTGCGCACACCTGCTCCTCCTCTATGCGTCTCTGCAAGGTTTCTATGTAGTGCTGTACAGCCATATAGATGAATCTGTACTGCGCCTCAGTCTGCACCATCCCAGAGCGCTGAGAACGAACCATCTGGATGGTCTTTGGCACGTCGATGTCGCAGTCCACCCCTGCAAGAAGGAAAACAATATTTTACACTGAAGCATCCTTAGCATTGGTAACATAACCTTTGAAATAAACTCAGTGGATATTAGATCTTCAGATACGTGTGTGTGTGTGTGTGATCCTATTTACACTAAATCACTTCATGCTTCTAGGACAGATCGGATAGCAATCAGGTAGGGCACGGATTCTGAGAGAGTCTGTGGGAGCCTGTGAAGATTGATTCATAGATACGATTCATCCACGTGTTTGTGTACCTGCTCAACTAAACTGCTAAAGTGCATAAGTCACCAGTCTTGGTGTTTAGAGCTTCAGGTACTTTACCACCACTCTCTGGACTGGAGTGGAAACCAAGGAAAAACCAAGACAGATCAGGGCTCAACAACGAGGACTGCCTAATCGCCAGGGGCAAGTAAAATACCACGTTGGGCTAGTAAATCCAGCAACTCACTTTTCTGATTGAGCAAGTGGTAAAAAAAGAATTAAAACACCTTTTTTTCCCCCCGGAGGTAATAAAGACAACATTTATAATCAAAGTTTGAGAACGAGGCGGATAAAACAGGGCTTTTCAAAAGATACGTCACGTTTCTGAAAAACTTTAGACTCTATTGTTATTTGATAACCACAAATAAATCAAACTATTTGTATAGGGACAAGTTAAAATGTCAAGTCTGACCCACTTTTGCAACTGGGAAAATGAAATAAAAAACCCATTAACATTGAATCCTGTCGACTGTACTCCGATGTGGCCAACAAAAACACTAAATGTGGCTAAATGTAAACAAAAGTGTGTTAAATCTCATGTGTATTTAAATGTAAATGGGACCCGTGTGCACCATGCAGGCTCACCTTTTTCTCTGATCACATCTATCAGGATGTCAATCACTATAAACGTTCCTGTCCGTCCGATCCCAGCACTGAAGAACATGAGAGAGAGTGTTTGAGTTAACGTGTTAATGCTCACTTCCGCTGTTACTGTCGGGTTTATGGCTCGTTCACTGAAGGGTTTGACTCGTGCGTACCTGCAGTGTACCGCTATAGGTCCAGCATCCAGTATGCTCTCCTGTTTCAGGTTGACCTCCTCTAAGAAGTCGAGTACACCTCCCGGGTCAGTGGGGACTCCGTGGTCCGGCCAGGCCCTGAAGTGGTACTGCCAAACTGTGCGTTCTGTGTTGCCCTGAAAACACGCAAGTGAAGAACAACTTTGAACATACAGTGAGTAACCAGAGAGCTTCAGTTTAATTACATGACTACTGAGAGATAAGGCTGGTGTTAGTCTAGATTTTTGTTTAAACCAACTAACACAGTGTTAGTCCGTCTCTCAGTGCTTTCCAACTTCTGTTCATTCTATACAACCCACTGGTTCCTACTGACGACATCTTTAAAAAAAGGTCTTTAATATTTATTTTCATTTTTCAAAGGGCTAAATAGGTTTTGTAGTTTTTAGCTCACTCAAACAGGAATAAACACTTGCATTTGTGTGCGATTCTTTTCTGTAGAAATACACATTTGAAGCTCTAGTGAGTGTTTGGGGAAGCAGGACGCTGTATAACGTTGTGTAACACCAATAAAAATATAGAATATTAGCAGACTATTCCTTTAATTTAACAGCTTTTAAATTTACAGTTATTGTTATGTAATTCTGTGAAGTTGGATTTTTCTCAAATCCATACAGTGAAATGCTGATAAATAATTATTTCATTTCGTCTGTCATCTGAACAGATGAAAAGTAGAATTTTTCTGTTGGTATAAAACAGCAAAGTTTAAAGTCAATTGAAAAACTCAGAACAACCTTCACTTGAAAATTCAGCATTTAAAAACAGATCTATTTTGGGGAGCATGTGCAGCAGCAATCATGGACAACATGCATCTTATGTTAATTCAAATGTACACTTCAAACGCCCACTAGTGCCATCTAATGAAAACTGCATCTACGGTATATAGAACTGGAATTTCCTTTTTTTTAATTCTACAAACTGACAAGCAGATATGAATTACACCACCTATTTAAAATTATATTTCCTCCAATGGTCTGACATAACTCTTAAAACAACAAGAAATCAATTAAAACATTTATGAGCCTCCACAAACACAACTTACCTGCCCGACTTTGGACAGTTTGAGTTCTCTTAAGATGTAGTCGTGTGCAGCCGTCTCTCTGACATTGCGAACGCGCATCGCTCCGTACTCCTTCAGAGCCGACATGTCCGGCCAGTACTTCACACACTTACTCTGCAGAGACACAATAACACTCACTATGTAGGTCAATGCTATCAAGTATCAGACGAAGAAAATCAATCTAGTTTAGTTTGTCCGAATTAGGACAGTTCTAGTTATTTCACTTTATATTTCTGTCTTAATGTTTCTGTCCTTGTTTCTCTCTCAGCCAGGTGTCCAAAGGTCAAATCAAATCTGGTCAAACCACACCTTCACAGTCCTGATGAGTGTTTGAGTGTTAAATTCAATATAATAACTGTAATTGTTAGTCAGTAAGTCATTAACATTTAATGTTATAGAGAAATACTTTTGATTTGAAAGCAAAAATGCCTAAAATTCTCTGGTTCCAGCTTCTTCTAATGTGATTATTTCCTTGTTTTCTTTGTCTTCTATGATTATAAACTCATTATCTTTAGCTTTTAAACAAGAACTTTGAAGACATCACCTTGGCTCTGGAAGACTGTGATGGGTATTTTTCTTACAAATCAAACCCTGATTTTATTAATAAATTGTACCTGCATTGAAATGTATTGGTGCAACAATGTTCCACAGTCTGTGCTTTGTTATTTAACTTCAGGAATAAGAAAAGTTCTACCACAAAACTACAAAAATGTTTTAAAAAAACAGTCCGATTGGTTTCCGGGTGAACTGAACTTTTGCTCACCTTTCCTCTCTCCACCTCTTTGGTGGTCATAACAATGACTCGAGAGTTCTCCTGAAACACCATCCTCCAGAAGTCACTGATGGTGTTCTGCAGACAGCCCTGAGTGGCGATGTAGCTCTTCTTCACCTTGGTACTGTTACACTTAGAGTCCAGCTCCGGCTGCACACACACAGACACACATCACAGGTCGGGGTGAATACTCAAAATGAGCAGAAATACAGCACATGGAGTCAAAACAAGAGCACAGAATGACCAGTACAACATCTTATACATATGATCAAGTACAGAATAAATGATGTGTGAGTGTGTGAGTGTGTGTGTGTATTTGTGTTTGTGTGTCCCTGAGGATGAAGGGAGTTTACCATGACAGCAGATACTACCATGATGATATTGGCGTTGATGTAGTCAGAGCCTGGCTCATTAGGGTCCCTGTCATTCAGCACCACACGAGTGTGGTCGACTGGAAACAGAAACAAAAACAGTTAAAATCCCATCATGTGAAGGCTGATAACTTAAATTTAAATCCAGCATAAGTTTGGCTATTTGGGGAAATACCTTTACTTGCTTTCTTATAGAGATTTATACTAGAACTTTGATACCATTCTCACGTTTGTCCATTAAATATAATGTTCTAACCAGGAGCCGGTTAGCCTAGCTTAGCACAAAGACTGTAAACGGGGAGAACCGGTCCAACAATAACTTAATCTGCCCACCAGCATCTCTAAAGCTCAATTATCAACAGCTCTAGCTTGTTTAATCCGTACATCCGTGTAGGATTTAGTGGCATCTAGCGGTGTAGCTGTAGTGATTATACACTAATGAAAACATGAATATTATATTCCATTAATGCCAATAGATCCTCCTAAATGTTACACACTGGACCTTTAATGTGCTAAAAGCCTGCACTGTTCAGCTGAGAGGTGAAAGAGCAGTCAGGGTTTCTTACAAGGCAGAATGTTCTTGTATCTGTTCTTGTTTTTGTTCTCTGCTCTCTGGCCTTCTTTGCGGCTGTAGAGCAGCTTGCACTCTTGTTGCTGCAAAGTCTGGAAGGAGGAAAACAAAAACAAAAAAAACAAAAAGAGAGAAGGGAGTCAAATCTAAACATGCTATTTCCGACCAACAATGCATGATAAAGAATTCACACACACACACACACACACACTTTGACAACAACAACAGAACCACTCACCTCAAATTCTTCCCAGAAGCCCTGTTTGACCTTGTCTGTGGCTTCCGCTAGTTTGCTCAGCTCCCGAACGCGACTTTCAATCTCTGCAGCGTTAATACGAGTAGTGTTCAGGGGCTGGGGAGGAGAAAAGCACAGAAATTACAATTAGGAAACGCTGCCTGACGGTAAAAGTGAATATTTGTGGGGGGGGGGGAGGTACCTGTTTGAGCTGGAGCACAGTGCCCAGAGTCTCCACCATGGGGTTCTTTTTGTAGTGCTCTACCAAGTCGGTGAGGGAGTCAAACTTCTCCCCTCCACCCACGTCGTACTTCAGGTCATGCTAAAGAAGAAGCCAGAGCTACATTGAGTTCGACAGACCAGACTCAATGTCAAGAGACAATCACAACGCTTACACAAGAAACCAGGTGACAAGAGAAACCGTGTTCACAGGAAACCAGACGACGTGTTTACATTACAGCCACTGTAGCAGCCTGGTGACAGCGAATCCACCAATACTCACAATAGATCTACTTATAATAATGTGAATTTTATAAATGTGTAAATGTTCAGTGCTTGCAGGTCTCTTCCATTATGGGAACTTAATGACCTGTGACTTACAGTGTAGCCACTACCACAGGTTCTGCTTTTGTTTCCACTGTAGTCCGCGTTGGGGACGACTTCCTGGAACTAAATTCAGGCGTTTAGGCTCAGGAGGTCATACTTAATCCTCTTAAATAGAAAGCTGTAAACTGTAAACTGTAGATTGTTTGCACAGCGTGGGGAAGTACGCTACTATTTTTAATTCTTTTTCTTTGTTTTTTCTCTTGAAAGAAAAAACAAATGTTAAAAAACTGATTTTCCCGGTTTCTTTCCTCGTCTTGTGGTTGAGGAGCGAATCGAGCAGAGGGCTGGTTTGACGGTTCAGAACGGAGAGCGAGCGGGACCGCCAGCTGCTAACACCTCCTTCGGGGCAGCCACCTGTCTTCAGAGACACAGCTGGTCTGGTGCCAGTCTGTCCACCACCTCCTCCTCCCTTCCATTACTTTAATCATACTGACGTTTATCATGTAAACATGAAAGAAAATCAATAATAGCCGCACTTATTCCACCGTTGTCTGTCCCACAATTGCCCTCGTCTACCAAACGGTGCGCGAAAATGAAACCTTTTCAGTTCGTAAAACGCAGCGGAAGCACGAAGAAGAACCTCGAACCAAAGCCTTACAGGTTCACAGAGGTTCAGGTTATGAGAAGCACCAGCTCAGGTTTAGTTAAACTTTAAGTGGAATCACTACATTGTGTGTAAAGATCTCTCCTCTCGCCCTCTTTGTCATGTGCACACTCGCCAAGAAAACAATCCTGGATTATACCTGATATCTGTGTGCAATCAGTCTGCATAAATAATCTAGTGCAGATAGTAAATGTGGAATGTACAACAGCCAGACTGAATAACGCTCAACCTGCTGCAGCTGAGGCCTGACATTCCTTGCTGCAACATCCGCATAAGAGGGCAACTATCTTAATAGACAGTTCTGGTACTGAAACAAGGCACCCGACACCTGTATTGTGATTCGGTCCGGTAGAACCCGATCGTACAGAAACCAGTGCCTCATGACGCTTCCTGAAGGATTAGATCTTTACATCTACGTTGTCTGTTGCCCCTCTGTTTGTGTTGTTATATGTTTTCTTGCTGTTACATTAAAAAAAAACTTTATTTTTTTAAACCTCTACACACACACACACACACACACACACACACACACGTTTACCAGTAACACTTCTATATATATTCTGATGAAGAGGATGTGTGTAATGAGGGGCGTGTTCACCTGGCAGCGGATCATGACGTGAGTGACTTTGGGTTTGCTGTCACTGCTGTCCGTCTTGTCGTCTCCCGTACGGACGGACAGAACGAAATCCCCCGGGTGGCTCTGGCTCTCCCTCACCAGGAAGCTGCCGTTCTTGCCTTTCTCCGTCAGCAGCTTCTCCGCCTCCCTGCCCGACAAGTGCCCGTGGAACCATCTGGTGAAAGAGACGGTGAAATGCTGTTCGCTTGGACCGGACTCACTAAAGAGCACTTCACATAATGAAACACTGGCTTCCAGCGGAGAGCGGGATGAACTTTAATGGCTCTCTGTTTACATGTAGTCGGGGAGGATGTTCATTGTTTACAAGCATGGTTAATGACATTATATTAACCCCAAAGCAACTGCTTGTTTATTGTTTGAGATTATTGTAAAATGCTTTGATTTCGCTTTGGAGTGTAACTATAAAATCTGACTTTAATTCTGCATGTGAATTCCTCGGAGAAGAGCTCATCGGTCCTCTGTGCGCAGCTGGTTTTAACACCAAGATGTAGCTGCAAGAAAGTTTTGCTGTGAGTTGCATCAGCCTCCTCGCTGCTCACACTGTGTGTCTGATGGTGAGAGTCAGCCGAGGTAATATTTCGGTAACATTAAAGGTTGTTTTGTTTTCACGCTTTAATAGTAAAACGCCCCAGATACGTCTAATCCTCAGGTAGCAGCGGCAGCACAAAACTCAAGCTAAAAGCACAAAATCCTTTTATTGTAGCATGACAGCTAACAACAAAGCAACAACAGTCCTTTATGGAGGATGAGCTGAAACAATTAGTCTAACAAACGATTAGTCAATGAACAGAAACTTGATCGGCAACCATTCTGATAACTGATAATCACTTTTTTTTTAAGCCTAAACATTCTCCGGTTCCAGTTTCTGATACGATAATAAACTGAATATCTTTGGATTTTTGGACTGTTAGTTGGACAAAACGAGCTATCTGAAGATAAATTACAGACCGAACAATTAATCTGCGGATTAATCTATTATGAAAAGCCTTATTTGGAACAAATGTGCCGCCTTATTTCAACCTGCCTCGACACCAAATAGCAGAAAACGTTTTCAATACACAATCAATGTGTTTGAGATACTGTAGAGGACATAGTGTTTCTCTTTCTCTGTTTGTCTCTACTTTTCTCTTTTTTTTAAATTCCAGATGTGCTGATCCGATCAATTTCCCCGAAGTGAACTACTGCAATACTTCCTGATGCATCACACGTGAACACATCAATTTCCTCACTCATTTAATATGATTTTTTGCTGATTCCTGGTTTTACTTGAATTTACCGTTTCTTTGAATTGTCTTTTATTTCCTGTATTTCTTCTGTTTTCATCAGTTTTCTTCTTTCATCTGGTTGAATTTTTTATTTAAAAACTGATGATTTTATAGCTTGTGTTTTATTTTAGTTTTTTTGTGAAGCACTTTGTAACATGCTCTATAAATAAAGATTATTATTATGAGCTGTGTCATGTAGTACCACTGCTCAGTTTCCCTGAAGATGAATAAACCTAATTTTATATATTATATATATATATATATATATATATATATCACAAAAATGTAATAATTTCTTCTGACTTTAGTCGGGGTGAACTTTCTTTACTCGTGCATATTATTTTTCATAGATAACAGAGCAGCTGGCAGTAAAATTTGTACGTGCTCTATCCGGAGAAAATTAAATGTGGATAAATGTTATGGGAACATGGTTTGGGTCGATAACCACTACACATTCAGTTCCTCTTTTTCAGGAAGAAAAACTACATTTTCACAATAAGTCTGGTTGAGGATATGTAGCATATTTGGTTGGGAAACTTTTTTTTTTTTGCCTTCAACAAAAGGATCCTTAACACTGGTTACTCAATTTGTCTGATAGCAACTTCTCTCCTTGTTACACACCATAAAAAATCTGCAATCCACTTTATATTAAAGCACTCAGAAAATATGGAAATTCAAGCACCGAAACATAACATCACCACTAACCTCTCTGAGGTGGGGTCCGCACAGTTGAGTGGATACTTGAGCTCAATAACATCTCCGTTTTTCTCTTTCAGCTGCCCATGATGCTCCATGTAATACTGCACCAGTTCTGCCAGAGTGGCAAACTTCTCCCCTCCATAAAGGTCATAGTAGTCTCCTGTGTTCTGGATCTTAATATGGGTGACGGCTCCATTTCGCCTGCAGGAAAACATACAAATAAAAAAGCACAAACATTTAGAGAAATGTTGCCATCAGGGAGAAAGAACATCAGCAGCAAGGAAACAAACCAAAAGGAAGAGTATGTGCCTTGCAATTAAATGTAAAGTATCTTTCTCACCTAATCTCACATAAGCAGTCAGCATGGCACCGGATTAGCTGTTAAAGTTTCGTGTGTATTTAGTTAAATGGATGAAACTCTCAAAGATACAGCCGTGCTGCAGACTCATAATGTGTCCATATTTTGACAGAAAATGACTAAAAATATCTGTGCGAGCTGGTCCAAACTGAGGCTTTATAATTTCATCTAGAGATTAAACAATTAGTTGATGAATAGATTAGTTGATCGAGATTATCTGCAACTAATTTAATAATTAAATTGTCTGTTTTCAAGCAAAAATCAACAAACAAAACATTTACACATCTTCAACTTCTCAAATGTGAGGAAACTGAATATCTGTTAAGTTAAATGACATTGCTGCAACCATTAAATATATTTTCTAGATTAATTGATTGACTGTTTCTTCTATAAAATGGTCCAGTATGCAACTTCTACAAGTGTGATGTAGAAACTTGAAGCCACAGACACTGAGAATGGACTTTACAGTGAAGAGACATCTTGTGATGGATGGATGTGATAGATTCTGGGGTCTTTTTAGGGATTTTAATGTGGAAATTAAATATGTCTGGAGGGGATCTGTAATATGATATAAAACAGAGAAGAGAAAAACAGCATTTTCTGCCATTTTTACATGAAAAATAACAAATTTTTCTGCCACTCGACTAACCAATTACTTGTCTAATCGTCGCAGCTCTAAATGACATATTACAGATCAGCAATTAATCAAGAAAATAATCAGAAAATTAACTGAAACTGAAAAACAATCCTTAGTTGCAGCCGGAAATTGCATCATTATTGTGTGTTTGTTCTGATGCAGAGTTCATGTATTGTGATTGAAATGAGCAAAGTTATAAGTAGACACAAAGTCACACGCACCACGAACAACACGGTTACCATCTGCTATTTGCAAGAGGTGAGAGACACACACACACACAAAAAAAAAAAAAACTGTGAGAAGGCAAAGCGATGACACTGGGATTCAACATTGGCTTAACATTGTGTGACACAAACCAGATAGACAGCACGAACTGTGTTGAGTCATCGTAGGAGACCACCATTATATCGAAAAAAAAAACAGAAAAAGGAGAACTTGTGGCAGATCTGAAGCTCGGTAGCAAGAAACTTTTGAATGACTTATGGTTAAGTCTGGCAGAATGTGCACAGAAAGAGAGACAGACGTGTGCCGGTTTGAACCAGCAGGGACCAGTCTCCTCTTGTGGAAATGTCTCCGTTTCCACAAGAGGAGCATGACTTGTTTTGTTTCCATAGGAAGTAAATATGGTGTGAGATGAGAGACTGTAACGGCTAAAATATGAGACTGTTACAAAAATAACATCGGCTACATCAGCTAAACCGAGTTAATGATACTTCATCTGAAAAATTTATGACTCGACAGGCTCTGAGATAAAAACCACAAACTTTTTCTTATTAGTTAAAGTTGGTCTTCCTTCTTCGGATAAAGCTGGATTCCCACCATCACTCGACACAGCTCGTGCTTTAAGACGGAGCTTTAAGTGTGTTTTATTGTAGCTTTCATTAATAGTGTGAATATTACAGCACAGTTAAAGCTGCATTCATTGATTTTTAAGGCCCCTCGGAGACAGATGAACAAGCTGAAAACACCTCACATCAGCTCATAAAGTTCTCATCCCAAATGTACGAGCAAACATTATCACTCATTTGGAGTCGTGTTTGTGTCCAACATTTATTTATTCTCATCTTCACCAACTCCTGAGTGAAATATCTGGCTCTTTATCTTCACCAGCTAGTTGCTAACTATGTGTTAGTTTAGTCCTGAGCAGAAGGGTTTGACTACATATACTCTATCTCTATACCTTTTTTTGTTTGTGGTACATTTAGGATCATGAATCCCATCCTCTAAAACCCTTTAAATGTTATAATTTCTACTCGTTGATTGCTATTCTATCTAAAATCTATAAAGCCCCATTCAGAAAGACTATTAAATAAACTAAAATGACTCTTTTTTTTACCAATAAAACCCACTAAATAACAGCCTCTAATGAAAGCCTTTCACACTTGTGCACCAACAGAAGTGGAGGCAACAAGAATACTTTCAAAATAAGAGAAAATATAAAAAAAAAACATGAAGCAAACCCTCTGAAACAGACTCAGCAGACTGTTTATTTAATAGTTTCCAGCATCATACAGTATCCTGTTGTGCGTGTCGCATTGTACGCTCATTGGGGTTGCCATCACTTACCGTACAGAGAGGGTGAAGTCTCCTGGATTACTCTTACTGGGCCGGGCTAAAAAGCTCCCATCCACTCCTCGGGTCAGCAGGAGGTTTTCAGCCTCCACACCAGTGATGTTGGGGTGAAACCACCTGAAAGAGGAGATAAACAATGATTGGCCTCAGTCCAAAATAGCTTTTATATATAGCGTTTTACCATATAGTGCACTGTATTTACTTTCCACTGCTTCAGCTGAGTGTCTGCATCCTCAAAAATACTGATAATGCAACTAAAAACCAGTGTGCAAAACTACAACTGCACCATAACGGCACTATTATTCTTATTATTGTGTGTTTAACAACTTGAAATACAGCCTTTTACATTCATATAAATCAAAATAAAACCAATATTTAGAAGAAGTTTAGGAACTGCACCGTCGACAAAGATTAATCATCCACTTTACTGCCTGTTAAATCTAAATCCTTGATGTAATTAATGAAGGGACTCCTTCTCAAATACCTGCTGTTTATCCTTAAAACATGCACGTTATTATTTCTAATGGAACGATTGATAACAACAAGTCTATAAATGCTCGTTCGTTTTTACTGTGATTCTCCGGGTAACAAACACAACAGAAAAAAAAGCTTAGCATCCAGTAAAGTTCTGTAAAAATCAATAATATTGTCTTTTATTGTCATTTTTATCATTATATTCTATTTCCTCAGATTTTATCTTTGCACTTTACAAATATTTTTACACGTCCCGGTCAGTTATTTGCACATTCCTGCACAGCTCTTCACTCGTTTATCTTAGTATCCAACCATACTGTACATATTCTCTCTCTCTTTATACACATTTGTATGATCTTCCTTTTATTGTCTCTATCTTTAGTTTAACTGCAGGGCTGCACAATCGGCATTATAATGAAAGTACTGTAGTGCTGCACGTCTCCAGATTTAATGAAAACATCCTCGTGATCTGAAGAGTTTTTAAACGTGTGATGCACAGATAACCGCAATATGAGGTGTGTTTTTGTTTTTTGTTTTTTTAATGTCATGCACCAACTCACCAAAGGCAATAAACCTGCTTCTGACCTTTAAACCTACCTTCATTTAAAATTAAATAAACTTACACTCAAACTGAATGAAAGTGTGACTGACTGATTTCTGGTCTCTTTAACTCATCAGAATTCCTGTTTACCTACTTTTCCCCCTTTTAATTTGTGCTTTGTTTACCCAGCACTGTCTGTCTGTCTGCCTGTCTGTCTGTCTGCCTGCCTGTCTGTCCCTCCACACAGCATCCCCTCCTCTGCTCTGTGCACACAGACACCTACAGCTGCTGTCTCACGTGTGAGGGTGTTAAACAAGCAGTTGAACACCTTCAGACCGGGGCTGTGTGCTAACTAAATGAAGCGAGCTCCTCCACTGCCCATCAGTCGTTGTTGTTGTTGTTGTTGTTGTTGTTGTTTACAGCTTGTTTACGGACACACCAACATCCACAAACAGCTGGTTAAAGTTAGCTCAGCTCAGCTAACATAAGCAGCAGACATTGTTTTCCAGACAGCTCCCCCCCCCCACCACCACCACCTCCTCCTCCTCCTCCTCCTCCTCTTCTTCTCTTACCTCCGAGATGTCATTTTTTTGTTTTTTTTTCCTCCTTCCTCACTTCCTCGCTGGCAGTTAGCAGTTAGCTTCAATTAGCTGGCGAACGTTCTCCGACCGTTTCCGCTTCGATCACCGGTTGAAGAGCTTCATCGGCTCACAGCCGCTGAGTACGGGCGGCGACGTCCGGGCACCGGGGCTCCGTGTTTGAGAGCGGGAGCGTTTTACCCCCCGAAAAAAGAAAAGTCTCTAGGCCTCGGCCCCGGAGACTGAACAGCGAGTCGATTATTGGACGTCACCAAACATGCGACAAAATAGAGGGGTGCGCGGATTTTTACACCCTGGGCGGCCGTTCTTCGCCGCCGCTTCGCCCCGCTTTCAATAAAGCCACAGAGCTCGGGCCGTCCGGCAAACAGTGTGACACAAATTAAAGAGTCCTATCACTTTCACTCCGCGCATGCTCATTTGACAGCTTGTTTTATGAGTACAGCGGCACAAGCGGTAAGCGGCGCGGAAAAACGTCTCCGGAGAGTTCGTAGAGGCTCATCGAAGGGTCCGCCGCTGCCGCTGCCGCTGCCGCGAAGGCGTCAAAGCGAAACATTCCGGAGTCCACCGCGCATGTCACATGATCACATCAACACAAAAAGTTGTGTTTTTTTTTTTGTTTTGTTTTTATTGCAAAACAAGAATTTAACAAACATTATATCTTCCGAGAAAAATAGAATCCAGATAACAATTTACATGTACAAGTACAAGACAAAAAAATTAAATAAATATAAGACAACAATGAAATATGAAAAATAAACAAATAGAATAACCAAATAAATTAAAAAGGTAAAAAAAAAACATCCATTTAATCTTTTGTCAGGCTTTTTGAAGACGCTTTGAAGGCTCCCCCACCGCCGCTGCCGCTGCCGCTGCCGCTACCGCTGCCGCAAGCGTCAAAGCGAAACATTCCGGAGTCCACCGCGCATGTCACATGATCAAACCATCACGTCAACACAAACAGTTGTGGGTTTTTTTTTTTATTGCAAAAACATGAATTTGACAAGCATTATAACTTCCAAGAACTCCAGATACAAGAAAAAGAAAAAAAATTATACTACAAAATAATAAAAAAATAAAAAAATACATCCATTTAATTCCAGTTTGTGGTCCAACCAAACGGACAAATATTCAAATAGAGAGTGGGTTTTCCTAGAGCTAATCCATTTCCATGAAAACAAGTAAAGCGACAACTCTCTGTCAAGAATGTTGTGAAACCAGGAGCGGTTTTCAGACATTTACATTTGTGTACAAAGTGTTTGGTAAAAGTCGGCTGGAGGAGGAGATAAGCCGGGAAAAGTACTTAAACTGAATTTTTATTGCTTTGTTAAATTTTATAGGATATTTGCTTTTCTGTCGAAACGATTTGGTTTCAGAATGAATCATTAAACCAGGAAATAAAACACCTATTAAAATGACCTCTTTCTGACTTAATCCCCCAGCACAAGTCATAAAGTTTTTAACCAGAGTCTGTTAGGGTGTTACCAATTGTTTAAACTGCTTACCCTACGTCATTAATGTAATTATTGTGACAGGCATACATGCAACTTACTAAATATGTCAGTTTTCATAATAAACTGAAACAATCTAAAGCAACAGTCTAAAGCAAGATAGATAGGAAGCACTATAAATGCATTAACAGATGAGCCTGGACTCACAGAAAGAGGCTGCAAATAAGCATTTTTCTTCTAAAAAAACAAACTTTTCAATCTCAGCTTGTCTTTAACTCAGGCGGCGGTGGGTGCCATGGATGTCAGGTTAGCTGCCACACTTTCTGAGCTTGTGACGTGCTGCTGTACCTGTGTGTCGCTGCCTGACAGCTGCCACAGTATATTAACTAATGCAAGGTGGCGCTCACATGTTTGCCTGCTGCAGGTATTCTTATAATGCTGTCAGGTTGCTCAGGTGGGGAATTACTATCAAGACGGTCAACAAAATGTGCTTTTAAGGTCAGGTTGAGCTCTTTCAGCTTTAAAGAAAGGGAGTAGGAAATACAAAATCAACAACAGGTAGTACGCTTTAAATAAAGATACTAAAAATATATAACTTTATAGAAATACAGGAGGAAATCTGAGGATTGATTTCATGCCATCGAGTGCAGCAAAGAACAAATGCTGTTTACTGACCACAGTTTATGGAGAAAAACAACACGGTCGAGGGTTGAGAGAGTGTTCAAGCTTTTCCTTTCTGATTGGACTTTGCATGTCACCCCCACAGCATGAGTTTCATCCAGGTGTTTCAGTATCCCTCCACAGCAAACACATGCATGTTTGAAGTATTGATAAAAGCTATCTGTGCAGGACAAATTCCCACCACATGCGTTTGTCTGACCGCTTTAGTTACTTCAAAGTGAAAAAGCATGTGTTAATTCTAAATGTTTGTGATAAACTGAATGATGAAGTGTTTCTTTATGGGTTGAGAAAGTTATCCTACTTCTTAAGCTAATAAAACAATTAAAAGAACTGTTTGATTAGCTGGAAAATGCGTCGTCACAAAGCTGCAAACAGGGCGGTTTTTCTGAGCTCATGAACAGTTTGACTTTTAGAAGATAGCGCTACAAACACATCTTATACAATATGATGCATTGCTGTGGAGTTAGAGTTAGTTAAAGAGCTCAACCTTCAACATCTACAGCAATAAAATGCAACATACACATTAATGCAGCATTAATATTAATACAAAAACATCAGATATAATAAGTGTGGGTGCTGTACCATGGAGTTTGGGGGAGCTCACTTGTTTTGAGGGGGAGGGGTTGCTGATAATAAACATTTGTAGCTGCAATCGTGTAGGCTCACTTAATATATATATATAATAATCAATTAATTAATCACATGCATATTGGCCAGAACTTTACTGTAAGAAATATGGTACTATTACAGTAAAAGGACATTAGTGCTAGTATTAGAGTTTTATTCCATATTTTACCGTATAAGAAATTTATTTGCCCATCAACAGAAGTAGTTTTACAGTCTATAATATAAATAAACTTTATTCCATATACATTTTACTGTCTTTGTGTAACAGTTTTTCACCGTAAAATCTACAGATATTTTTTACAGAAATACTTTTATGCACAATCCGGGATGATAAAGTTACAAAAAAACAAATAGAAATGCATAGTAAAATTAGTATATTGTCAATATTTTTGCATTTGTTTTCATTACAGTTGCTCAAGGTGCTCCGAAGACAATAAAAAATACAAATAATAATAATAGAGAACGTTAAAAGTATGTCTTATATTACAATATCTAAAACAATAGAAATAGAAAATAGAAAAATATATACATATGCACATGTACATGCATATAAATATATACACACACAGTCATAATATTACGAGAATAAAGTTGTAACATTACGAGAATAAAGTCATAATATTGCAAGAATGAATTTGTAACATTGCGAGAATAGAGTCATAATATTGCGAGAATAAATTCGTAACATTGCGAGAATAAAGTCGTAATATTGCGAGAAAAAGGTTGTTACATTGCGAGAAAGAAGTCGTAATATTGCGAGAATAAAGTTGTAACATTGCGAGAATAAAGTCATAATATTGCGAGAATTACGTTAAGTTGTAACATTACGAGAATAAAGTTGTAATATCACGAGAATAAATTCGTAACATTGCGAGAATAAAGTTGTAATATTGCGAGAATAAGGTTGTTACATTGCGAGAATAAAGTCGTAATATTGTGAGAATAAAGTTGTAACATTGCGAGAATAAAGTCGTAATATTGCGAGAATTAAGTTGTAACATTACGAGAATAAAGTTGTAATATCACAAGAATAAATTCGTAACATTGCGAGAATAAAGTCGTAATATTGCGAGAATAAAGTTGTAATATTGTGAGAATAAAGTCGTAACATTGCGAGAATAAAGTCGTAACATTGCGAGAATAAAGTCGTAATATTGCGAGAATAAAGTTGTAACATTACGAGAATAAAGTCATAATATTGCGAGAATAAATTTGTAACATCGCGAGAATAAAGTCATAATATTGCAAGAATGAATTCGTAACATTGCGAGAATAAAGTCATAATATTGCGAGAATAAATTCGTAACATTGCGAGAATAAAGTCGTAATATTGCGAGAATAAGGTTGTTACATTGCAAGAATAAAGTTGTAATATTGCGAGAATAAAGTTGTAACATTACGAGAATAAAGTCATAATATTGTGAGAATAAATTCGTAACATTGCGAGAACAAAGTCGTAATATTGTGAGAATAAATTTGTAAAATTGCGAGAACAAAGTCATAATATTACGAGAATAAAGTTGTAATTTTGTGAGAACTCTATCATCTCGAGAATAAAGTCGTAATATTCGTGAATACAGTGGTCATTGCGAATAAAGTCTTACCATCACTGTTTACATTGCTATGACAATGTCGCTATTTATTCTCCTGTACAATAACTTTGGTCAACTTTAGTTGAAAATGTCATAAAGTCATCACGAGAATAAAGTTGTAATTTTATGAGAACTCTATCATAGCTTTTATCTCATTAAAACATTTCTCTTGTATTATTATTATATTATTCTCGTAATATTACGACTTTATTCTTGTAATTTCCCCCAAAAAATAAAATATTTTTTTCTCTTAGTCTGGCCCTAATACTCCGTTGTAATATATATATATATATACATATAAACAGCAGTAACTGAGCAGAAAATATTGAAGTGTACAATACTAATAGTGTAAGTAGTGTATTATATTATTATGTGACAGTGTAGTGAATAAATAATAAGTAATGAGTTCAGATGATGTGAATGTGAATCCTTAAACAAATGCAGTATGAGTGACAGAATAAACAAGAATACACTAATATAATATAATAAACAGACCACAATGTGTCTGTAGCAGAAGTCCATCGGCCTCATTCCCGACAGCCCCTTTGCGCACTCCGTCAGATTTGGCCCTCGCCGCTCGCCGTTTAAGCCTGTACGTGGCAGTCAGCTAGCGGCACACAGCAGTCGAGGCTGATGCGGCTCCTCTCCCGCAACAATTCACTCATTCAAACGGACAACCCCGCACTCCGTACCGGACACGCAGAAGCGAGGAGCCCCGTCAGAGCCGCTAGAAGAGAGCAGCAGCGTCCACCATGTTCACCGCCTCGGAGCTGGTCGTCCTGCTGGCCGTCCTGTCCGCCACCGCGTCCGGATACTTCGTTAGCATAGACGCCCATGCCGAGGAGTGCTTCTACGAGCGGGTCAACTCCGGCACAAAGATGGGCCTCATGTTCGAAGTGGCCGAAGGCGGCTTCCTGGACATCGACGTGGAGGTGAGTCGGTCCTCTGGGGTTGTAAAGCGGACTCCTAACTTTGGAGGAATTTGTGTTTTATTCTACTTTAAAGTCGTTTAGCTAACGCAAGGCCCGTGCTAACGTCAGCTAGCGCCTTTTGCGTAACGCCAGGTGAAACTACATTTGCTGTCCGGGCTGCTGTTGACTCACTATCACATACAAACCACTTTAATTCCCGTTAACCTATCACAGATGCACAATTCGGCCACATTTCTGTAATCAAATACGTGACAGATGTTATTAAATTATTCATAAAGATACAGGAAGTGCATCGTTAGCATTGCGTCCGGGCCGTGTCCAGTGTCCTCTGTGTAACATATTGTGAGGTTGTGTGCTGCTCGTCCTCCCTTCAGATGGTTTCTGTGCAGAAGTTGTTGTGGTTTTCAAGTAAAAATTGTGTATCTTGTGTGCACACATGTTGCTGCCATATGTTACAGCCAGTAACTCATTACTAGTAATCACATTACAGCATTAAAGGTTCATTTACTCAGTAACTAGTAGTGTAACTAATTACTGATGAAAAAAACAAATTAGTTAGTATTTTGTTTGTGATTGTGGATTGTATTCAGCAGCTGGAAATATTACATTAATTAGATTTTAACAAACAAAAACTGGATTTTAATTGTCGTAAGTCTGAACGAACAATTCTGTGGGAGTAGCAGAAAAGGTAATCAGTTAACTAGTTTAACTAATTACAGGTGGCAGGGAGTAATAAGTAAAGTAATGCTACTAGTTTTTAAAAAGAGTCGTGAGTAATAAGTTCAATTTGTTTGTGTCTGTAGCAAATAAACACGTTTTCTTAAATGTGGAGAACAAGATTTGTAGTATGACATCTCTTCAATATTTCATTATAAAGCTGTTTTGTCAGATTTTACCAAACATGTGCTTTTGCTCCCGGCCATATTGGGGTTAATTACGCAGCCCTAGTCCCCGTGTGTCATTTGTCATGCCGCAGTCGTCTTTATTCACGTTCACTTCTTGTGTCCGTTCGCAGATAACAGGGCCTGATGGAAAGCAGATTTACAAAGGCGACAGAGAGTCCAGTGGGAAATACTCTGTGGCAGCACACATGGACGGGACCTACAAGTTCTGCTTCAGCAACAAGATGTCAACCATGACACCCAAGATCGTCATGTTCACGATTGATATCGGAGAGGCCCCCAAAGGCCAGGACATGGAGACCGAAGGTACACGGAGAAGGGTTAATGCGTATGAATTAAGACATTCCCACGTGGATCACGCAGAGCTTTCTGTTTTCTGCTGTTATTCTTCACTGTTTTGTGATAGTTTCTTTTCTCTGTTTGACTTTATTCTGGGCGCTCTTTCCCTCTTTGTAGGTGGTGACAGCTGGGATGGTAGGGCACAGGGCAGGCTATGGCAGAACTGCTGTTGTGACATAGACTTTTGAGTTTGTGATGCACTGCGGAGTTTTCTCTAACCAGTTTTGTTTCCATAGTATAAACTAATATTGTGCATTTCTACTTCACGTAGGAAGTTGTGTTGTTTGTGAATGGTTTGACTATATGCACAGTGAGAACGTTTAGGGGATCTATAAATGTCTCCGGTGATGAGATGGCATCGCCTGCGACATACGGCACAATCGTTTACGCATGTACCGCATACATCGTGCATGTTTTTTTTTTTTATTGTGCACTAGAACTGTGCTGCGGTCTGTCGCTGACGATTACTTTTACCTGTTTTCAGCTCACCAAAACAAGCTGGAGGAGATGATCAACGAGCTGGCGGTCGCTATGACGGCTGTAAAGCACGAGCAGGAGTACATGGAGGTTCGCGAGAGGATACACAGAGCGAGTGAGTCCTGAGCAGAGTTATTAAAGTTTATTATTTTATTTAGTTTTCTAAGTACACAATATTGTTTCTGTCTGTTGTTTTCTAAAGTGTAGGTAACTGAAATGTTTTTTAACACCTAGTTTTTGTATAGCTATTTATAATACCCTTGGTCATTAAGAACATGTACCAAGCGGCAGTTAATAGTTTGAATGTAACCTCACACACTCTTTCTTTTCCTCTTCCTAGTCAACGACAACACAAACAGCAGAGTGGTGCTGTGGTCGTTCTTCGAAGCTCTGGTTCTGGTGGCAATGACACTCGGACAGATTTACTACCTGAAGAGATTTTTTGAAGTACGGCGAGTGGTGTAATGCGATTACATGATCCCTCTGTGTCCTCCACTGTTTTTTCTCCAACACCAAGACAGTTCTGGAAATGAGACTGGCAGTTTTGAGTAAAGCCTACATATGATTGGATCTCAGATGTTTTGTTCTCCTGTTACTATATTTGGTTCCTCCTTAAAAACAAAATGTAATTAGTGTTCGTTTGGAACGAATGGCCAAAAGATTCTTGGATAGATGTCTGTTTTTATTAGTTTTTCTTTTTTTTGTTTCACAAATTATTATTATTATTTTTTTTGGTTCAAAACTGTTTGATAATTACAGTTTAAGCATCAATTACTAGCCAGTACAGTTTTGCCTGCGTGAATGACTGTGAGGCTCATAATTTTAAGCAAAGGCAAGCAGATGAAAAAGACATAAAGGAATAGGCATGTGTGGAGTCTCCACAGGAGAATGTAGCCCTTATTAAGATATAAATGGGACCCTTTTTCCTCTGATAAAAAAAAACGGCAAATGAGAAAAAAAATAAACGCATTTGATTTTTGTCTGAGGTGCCTGAGGTTTCGTCCCAGCGTCTACGTCAAGTCAGACAATGTGCCGGCAGATATGTGATATCTGTACATTGTGTTAGCGCTCTCAAACAACAAATTGCACTCCTAATGAATACGTCTAAATATCTGAAGGATTTACACTGCAGCTGGTCTTTAAGGGAAACTGTGCAGCTTCTAGCTCCGTCTGTTGATTCATAGCTGATCCATGCCATGAGGGGAGGGTTGGGGTGGTGGGGGGGGGCTTCGGTGGACTTGTTTTTGCGTGGGGAAACTGTGTAAAAACTCTACGTAGTTCCAAAAACGGCAACAGGCGCGTGGTTTTCTTGGCCTAAGAGTTCACGTGTTGATTTCCTTTTCAAAACTCCTAAATTAAACTTTCACTTAGCAGTAAGACCCGAGTGGCGCTGAGGCAGGGGGTGGATTTTAAACTGAACTACTTGGGGTGCGACTCCAAAAACAAAGTGTAGAGGAATACTGAAAATACATGTTACATGTTGATCGAGGCTGGCTGGCTGGGTAGGGGGTTGGGGGGGGGTCTGACACCTAATGACTGCTGTGTGCTTTAGTTGCTTCTACTATAGTTATTTTGTTGGGGTTGGGATTTTAAATTATATGATTGTATACAATTTTGAACCGTTTGTTTTTTCTTGGAGCATTTCCTGTAACATGCAGCTGTTTGGATGATGCCTTTCAAACGAATCTCTCTTACCTTTTTCTATCCCCGTACAAGGTAAAAGCTGGAGTCCAAGTAAAGTAGCTTCACATCTAGCACACGGCTGCAGCATCACAAGTGTTGCATGTTACTGATTAATGCTCCAGTTTTGTATTAAAAACAATCTTTGGTGAGCTCAGGCAGGTGAACTGCTCTGTACACAGTCTCTTCCTTTTTGTGATTACAACAAAATCTGCTAAATGGATCTGTACAAATGTAGAATGGTTTGTCTGTGGAAAATGCCCCAGGTTTCATAATAAAGCCAATATTCTGTACAATTACTCGGATGTCTTTCTAAACGGTAACAGTGTGTTCAGATATGATCTGTATCAAACTCAGAGGCTCGGCTCACAACCGGGAGGAAACGTAGATTTAATATCTAGAATTATCTTCACAACAATCAGTGACAATAAAATACTGACCCATACGTTAATACATCAAAAATAATAGTCGCTTATTATTAATTGTAATATTTATGTACTTTTCTTTATAGTAAGTAAAGTTTTGAATGTAGTTTTACCTGTAACAGGTATTTTTACAATGTTTTCTTGTCATTAACGTGAGTGAAGGTGAGTAAGTGGTGTCACACACACACACACACACTGTACATAAGCACAGGTTTGTTGTACTTACACTTGAGTATTATGCCTTACTCTCACTATATATTACTTTATACTTAGGTTACTATGTTACAGAGAGAAACATTGTTTAAAACGTACAAGTTACTTTGTATAACTGTATATTCAAATTCAACATCCAAAATGCAACATTTACTAATTATGTGTTGTTGAAAATGTAATTACTTGTATATAAAGCACTAAGAATTAGCTTTAACTTGAGCAGTGACAATTAAAATGTTGCCTACGTGTTAATGCATCAGTAATTATAATCTAATATTATATATAATGCAATGACCCTCTGAAAAGATGATTTCACGGTATTGAGTACCTTAAATTTTGCTACTTAAAGTGTTTAAATATTAAGTTTTAGTATATTTTTTGGATACAATTCAGAATGCAGGAGTTTTTTTAACAAGGCGATATTAAGACCTTAAATATATTCCCACTCAACATGTATATGTGTGGGTTATAATCGGGCACCAAGTGGATACCTACGTAGGTCCTAATGGGGAATGAGATTATGTGGGCAACACAAATTGTTCAACCGCTTACAGGAAACAAACAGCAAAGTTTCCACCAATTAGATATTCTCTGTAGTTTATACAGTGTAATTCACCAGTACACACACACACACACACACACACACACAGAGACAGAGAGAGAGAGAGAATGGAAAACTTTAGAAATGTACAGTTTTTAATGAGGTAGGATGAGTAGATGCCTTTTTAAATGGGAAAAATCAAACACACATTATTGTTCCAGACAGAGTATTTGTATATGTGACTTAATACGTCTGCTCTTTAAACAGTTATAACAGGGTTATTGTATGAATGCACTGTATTACTGTATGTATCAGCCTAATGTAGTCACAGAGACATATTTAACATTTTAAAACTTAGTTAATATTATTAACAGAACTGTTCTATATAAATAATTAAAGATAAAAGATAAAAAGTTAAATAAAAACTCTGTTGTGCCATTTCTTTTGCCGTCAAACTGTCTTTTGTAGTTTAATTGGTTTCTTAATTACTGTCTCACATGTCTGCTCAGCATGTTTAATGTTGGTGGATTATATATAACACAGTACATTTACTCAGTACTGTACTTACATACAGGTTGGAGGCACTCACACTGACAGGGGCTATTGTGTATAATAAGTACTTTTCTTAAATAAAACAGCCTAATATTTCTCCCACTATTGTTGTATTTATCGCAAACAATAAGAAACATTTAAACAAAATTAAATAACATTTAAAAAACGAAAAAACAAAAATCCATGGGTAGGCGGAACCATACTCGTGACATCGGCTCCCACCCGGGTTGTAAACATCAGCGCAGCCGGAAGTAGGAGCAGCGTGGAGAGTTAGCCGAGCAGTGGCTAACAACTGTAGCATCAAACCGAGTTTAACGCTCCGTTATCCAACATGGAGACCACGACAGACGGGACGTGGGACAGTTTACCGGTTAAACTCAACGAGAGGATTTTACAGACGATCGACGAACTCAAATTCACTCACATGACACCTGTACAGGTAACTTTAATACCCTAAATCTGCCCCACAAACACTGTACAGGTAACTTTAATACCCTAAATCTGCCCCAAAACACTGTACAGGTAACTTTAATACCCTAAATCTGCCCCACAACACTGTACAGGTAACTTTAATACCCTAAATCTGCCCCACAAACACTGTACAGGTAACTTTAATACCCTAAATCTGCCCCACAACACTGTACAGGTAACTTTAATACCCTAAATCTGCCCCACAACACTGTACAGGTAACTTTAATACCCTAAATCTGCCCCACAACACTGTACAGGTAACTTTAATACCTAAATCTGCCCCACAACACTGTACAGGTAACTTTGATACCCTAAATCTGCCCCACAACACTGTACAGGTAACTTAAATACCTAAATCTGCCCTACAACACTGTACAGGTAACTTTATTACCCTAAATCTGCCCCACAACACTGTACAGGTAACTTTAATACCCTAAATCTGCCCCACAACACTGTACAGGTAACTTTAATACCCTAAATCTGCCCCACAAACACTGTACAGGTAACTTTAATACCCTAAATCTGCCCCACAAACACTGTACAGGTAACTTTATTACCCTAAATCTGCCCCACAAACACTGTACAGGTAACTTTAATACCCTAAATCTGCCCCACAACACTGTACAGGTAACTTTAATACCCTAAATCTGCCCCACAAACACTGTACAGGTAACTTTAATACCCTAAATCTGCCCCACAACACTGTACAGGTAACTTTATTACCCTAAATCTGCCCCACAACACTGTACAGGTAACTTTAATACCCTAAATCTGCCCCACAACACTGTACAGGTAACTTTAATACATTAAATCTGCCCCACAAACACTGTACAGGTAACTTTAATACCTAAATCTGCCCCACAACACTGTACAGGTAACTTTAATACATTAAATCTGCCCCACAAACACTGTACAGGTAACTTTAATACCCTAAATCTGCCCCACAAACACTGTACAGGTAACTTTAATACCCTAAATCTGCCCCACAAACACTGTACAGGTAACTTTAATACATTAAATCTGCCCCACAACACTGTACAGGTAACTTTAATACCCTAAATCTGCCCCACAACACTGTACAGGTAACTTTAATACCCTAAATCTGCCCCACAACACTGTACAGGTAACTTTAATACCCTAAATCTGCCCCACAACACTGTACAGGTAACTTTAATACCCTAAATCTGCCCCACAAACACTGTACAGGTAACTTTAATACCCTAAATCTGCCCCACAAACACTGTACAGGTAACTTTAATACCCTAAATCTGCCCCACAAACACTGTACAGGTAACTTTAATACCCTAAATCTGCCCCACAAACACTGTACAGGTAACTTTAATACCCTAAATCTGCCCCAAAACACTGTACAGGTAACTTTAATACCCTAAATCTGCCCCACAAACACTGTACAGGTAACTTTAATACCCTAAATCTGCCCCACAAACACTGTACAGGTAACTTTAATACCCTAAATCTGCCCCACAACACTGTTCAGTTTACACATAATTTGATTAATTATTATTTCCTCCTCCCAGTCTGCTTGTATCCCGCTGTTCATGAGGAATAAAGATGTGGCTGCTGAGGCGGTAAGTGTGTGTGCATCTCTAATTTAATCCATATAGATAAATAATGTACATTATTCTGAAAATGAGCCATTCTGCATAATACTTAAAGGTGTATCAGTTAACTGCAGGTTTCCCACGTGTAATCTATGTGAATCTACAAAACCTGGAGATTTAGAGACCAGTTTTCTAGTCATGGAAACACCTGGAAATGAATTAATATGACCAAATATCCTGGAAGTAATCTGTGTTGTCCTGGAAATGTTTTGTTGTATTTTAGCCTAAATTAACGTAGGCAGTTCAGACTAGATCAGAAAACACATAAGTGTCCCATAAACAGCGAGTTCTGTCCTGTATCGTGAAGAAAAACTCCTGGAAAATGTCCTGGAAAGTTCAAGTTTTGGGTTTCCAGCATTACACTACAGCCCTTTTCATTCATCGCTACTCTAAAAGATTGTCTTATTGGACTGAAACTTACATTTTCTGTCTTATAGTAGGATAAAAATGCCCTTAAAGTTTCCCACAGCCGAATGTGAGCTCGTTTTTATTCAACCAACAGTCCAAAACCCAAAGATGTGTGACCAATAAAGGCTTAAAATCCAGACATTTTGAGAAGTTAGACCCAGCAAATGTTGCAAAAAGCCAAATAATAACATTTTATTAATTGTGCAGCTCACTTAATGTCACATCATTGCAGGTGACTGGGAGCGGAAAGACGCTTGCTTTCGTTATTCCCATTATAGAACTGCTCCTGAAGAGAGAGGAGAAGCTAAAGAAGATGCAGGTGAGGATGAGACTGATACAAAATACTGTTAGTGTTTACCTTGAGATCTCCTGGTTGGCTGAGAGCGTTGATCTTTACACGGGGTTCGCTGCAGGTTGGCGCTCTGGTGGTCACTCCCACGAGAGAACTGGCCCTTCAGATCAGTGAAGTGATGGAGAAGTTCATTCAGAAGTTCCCGCAGTTTACGTAAGTACAAACGTCACCAAAGAGGACCTGAATCTTCCCGATTCTTCACCTTTTTTTTTGAACACTAGTTAAATATCATTCTTCCGGAGCTTTCACGGTCGTCATGTTATGATAACTCCAGAAAAAAATAGATTATTTTACCCCAAAAAAACATAAAATGCTAATTTTCTTACTGCAGATCAAGCACACCTTTTTAAGAAAATGAATCTGTCCTTGCACAGTGCTTCTCTATTATCTTCTGGAGTCCATAGCTAGTATTGCAAGGACACTAAAGACTAGTAGCCACTACTACTACATACGAAGTAACGTATGACGCACATTTTAGTTGCATTTCGATCTGCAACTTCACCTCCGAGATGTCTCTAGATTCTGCACACTGGACCTTTTTTCTTTAAACCTTTTCTTAGAAACCTTTTGTACTTGTTGAACTGCGCCCTCCTCCCGTTTTGTGTCAGTTAACCGTGTTGGTTTTGATCTTAATGCTGCATGTCTGTTTGGTTTTACAGGCAGATTTTATTGATTGGTGGCACCAACCCGATAGAGGATGTGGAGAAGTTCAAGGATCAGGGGTAAGTGATGGTCACAGGTAAAGCCGGACAGAGCTGTTTTTATCAGAAACGTTATAGTCAGACTCTCCAGATAAAAGTAATGAGTGTTTTCTCCTGATGGTTTCAGAGCGAACATTGTGATTGCGACACCGGGCCGTCTGGAGGATATGTTCAGGAGGAAGTCAGACGGTCTGGACTTGGCCAGCTCAGTCAAGAGTCTCGATGTTCTGGTCCTGGACGAGGCCGACAGACTGCTCGACATGGGTTTTGAAGCCAGGTTAGAAATTAGCTCCTTTTTTTTTCTTTAATTAGACGTACATGTATTTAAATGTTTGTGTTGTAGTTCTTCGTGCTGCTGATGGAGTCTGTGCGTCTGTGTTTGTGTATCCAGTCTGAATACCATCCTGGGCTACCTGCCTAAACAGAGGCGTACGGGCTTGTTTTCGGCCACTCAGACGCAGGAGCTGGAGAAGCTGGTGAGGGCCGGCCTCAGGAACCCGGTTCGCATCACCGTCAAGGAGAAGGGCGTCGCTGCCACCTCCAGCCAGAAGACGCCCGCTAGACTCTCCAACTACTACACTGTGAGTCGGATCAGTCTGCGTCCGTGAAGTGAAGCCAATACAGAAGTGTCTTAAAACTGCAGTCTATGTAACAACCAGCAGGGGGCGGCTCCATTATCATTCAGTCTTATGGAGAAATGAGTCGACTTCTCAGTTGATTTATTAGCTCAGTAAACAGTTTCCTGATGAGTTTCTGGTCTCAGTCTCTAGTTTCAGTCTTCTTCCATACAGCATGATGTTCATTTAGTAACTGATGGTCCCATTTAGAGTAAAACCAGACCATAAAGCAGGGTATGCTTTAGGGCGGGGCTACCTTGTGATTGACAGCTCATTCTCAGTGAGTCCGTCCAGCTCAACACAATGTTCTTTCCTGTTGTCGTTTCAGATTTGTAGATCAGAGAACAAATTCAACAGCCTGGTGACGTTTCTACGGCAACACAAGCACGAGAAGAATCTGGTCTTCTTCAGGTACGTTAAGATGTATGTTTTTATTGAGCTAAAGGCTTGAACACGGTATTAGTTTTATCCAGTGACGATACCAATAAAGTTAATACAAACAAGACGACTTTGTTCTCAAAGCTGTTGGCAATAAGAGAAAGTCGGCTTTACTTTTTGTAAATCTATATGAACAAAAGGAAAGTAAGAAGAGAAAAGGAATCCTCCTCAAACTGCACAACACCTAACAGCTGATCTGGTAGAAATTTGGCCTTATTCTAAAATTTGTTGGTGACCATTCGGGCCTAAAATCTGGCGTAGTCAGTCTGCCCTTGACATTCAGAGTGTTTCCTATCAGGTCTGCAGTTATCGACTGATACTAACTTTGTTGCTGTCTCATCATCAGTACGTGTGCATGTGTGGAGTTCTACGGTCGGGCTCTGGAGACTCTGGTGAAGAAGGTCACCGTCCACTGCATCCACGGCAAGATGAAGAATAAACGCAACAAGATCTTCGCTGACTTTCGGGCCCTGAAAAGGTGAGACTTGCGTGTGTGTACAGGTACAGTCAATCTGGTTGTGTGTAATTGGTGCTTTATGTCATTTTTAATCTTTTTGATATGTTTCGTCGCAGTGGGATCTTGGTGTGTACAGATGTCATGGCCAGAGGCATTGATATTCCCGATGTGAACTGGGTGCTGCAGTACGATCCTCCCAGCAGTGCCAGGTGAGTCTAATATAACTGTTTCAAATTAAAAAATGTTGTATTTCTTACAATAAAAGTTGCATTTTCATCAACATTTATTTAATTACAGCTCACAAATATATAGTCTCATTTTAAAAAAAGGTTAATTAAATCCTAAAAGTGCTGCTCACTGTTGTTTTTAACAAAGATTACACAACAGGAGGACATAGGGCATTTGTTAGGGACTATTTCCAGCAGCGGATTCACACATTTGGTGCTCTAGAGAGTGTTTGTGTGTGGGATGGAGCCCAAATGAACCACAGTGTGTGTTCATGGTGATGAAGGAAGATGTCACCCAGTGCAACAGTGTGGCTCACTGATGTGTCTTTAATAGTTTTTGGACAACAATGGAGCTCTATGGCACAGAGGAAGGAGACATATCACGCTTTGACATAAACACAATACTATAGTAGTTCATACATTCACTGTTGGTTTTAGTCTTATGGGATTTCTTCATGTAGACTTTGGGTAGTGGTAAAATGTGGCTTTATACCTACTGCTTGCATAGGATATTATGAATTTAAACATAATACAATAAGTTTCATGATTATAATGTTATTGTTATATGTGTATTTAATGTTTATGTTAATGTCTCAGTGCCTTTGTACATCGATGTGGACGTACAGCGCGCATCGGCAATCAGGGTAACGCCCTCGTCTTCCTGCTGCCAATGGAGGAGTCCTATGTCAATTTCTTGGCCATCAACCAGAAAGTGAGTTATTTTCCATTATTTTGCATATTTCTCTAAAGTTTACCCATATTCTGTAAAAAAATCTGTGGAAACTAGAAAGTACACCTTCAGGGAATGTTTTACATTATTAATACTGATAAATTAATGCATAAGTAGCAGTCAGGGGAGCTAGTTTTAACAACCTTATACAGTGAAGTTCAGTAGTTTGATCCAATGGTTGCCAACCTAGGGGGTCGGGCCCCTCCAAAGGGTCACAAAATGAATCTTAAGGGGTCATGAGATGATTAATGGGAGAGGAAAGAAGACACACATTTCTGTTTTGGGTGTTTCGATTATCATTAGGGAAGTTTTGGATCATTTGATCTCTTTTTAAGTGAGTCGTCTAAAACTCGTCCCGCGCTCATAAATGACGTATTCTGTCCCTTCTTCAGTGCCCTCTCCAGAAGATGCCCCCTGTAAGTGATGTTGTGGACGTGCTGCCCAAAGTGAAAGCCATGTGTCTGGCAGACCGCGCCATGTTCGACAGAAGCATGAGAGCCTTCGTCTCGTACGTCCAGGCCTACGCCAAACACGAATGCAGCCTCATCTTCAGAATCAAAGGTGAGAAACTTTACATTTTAGATCCAATTCTGTACGTCGCATAAAGTACAAACCTCACATTTTGTGCTTCATTTCTTCGTCTAGATCTGGACTTTTCCTCCTTAGCCCGCGGCTTTGCCCTCCTCCGCCTCCCGAAGATGCCGGAGCTGAGGGGAAAAACGTTCCCGGACTTCATCGAGACGACAATAGACACAGAAACCATCCGCTACAAGGACAAGAGCAGGCAGAAACAGAGAAAGAAGATGCTAGCCGAGCTGAAAGACAAGATTCCCTTTCCCAAGAAACACTTCATCAAGAATGAGGCCTGGTCTAAGCAGAAGACAAAGAAGAATCGCAGGAAAAAGATGTCGGCCAAGAGGAAGCACGATGAGGTATTTCAGTCCAGTGAAAGTTAAATTTAATGGGGGGGGGGAGTGGGAGTGGGCTGGATATCTTCATGAATCTCCTTTTATCCTCTGTGTGTTTGCAGGGCTCTGACGTGGAAGACGAAGACATGAACGAGCTTTTAGATGACACTCGCCTCCTCAAGAAACTAAAGAAAGGGCAAATCAGCGAGGAGGACTTTGAGAAACAGATAACAAGCAAACCAAAATCAAAACACAAAACAGGAGGACCGTCACACGACAGCTCGGTGGGAGAGGACGTAGAGGCAAACATGTAAAAACAAATTCAATTAAATCCAAAACATTTGTTTCCCTTTCGATAATGGGTTTTTATTGAGAACTGAAAGGCACAGTTATAAATAAAGCTTGATGAGTTCATCGCTGACAGCAGACGGGGTGAGGACTCCCAGGTCAGTGAAGAGGAGGGTGATGAGCGAGGGAGGCGTGTAGTCAATCATCGGATGCTCTTCTGACAGGTTCTGTACAGTCTTCAGGGTGTCTGCTTTGTACTGCGGAGGCGAGGAGGAGACACGTAAAGAAAACACTCAACAGGATAAGAAAACAACATTAAATCCTCTGACGTCGTACCTTAAATTTATCGGGCACGTCCTGTTGGTTGAGCGGGTACAGGCGGACGAATTTAAAACTCTCTGCCACGACGTAGAAGGGCTTGTTGTGGGCTTTAGAGCACAAGGCCATCTGATAAGTGCCGATCTGCAAGAGCAAAGGGGAAACGCTTTAGTTCTCCGTTTGTATCTCTGGGCTTAACCGTACTCCACCGATTTATCATCTCACTCCTAATATTGCCAGACTCACGATGGAAGTGAGAGATGCTAAAAAATATATAATATCCACATATTCTCCTTCCTTGTCATATTTGTATGACAGTGTTTTGTTACGATTCGAGCAGATTTCACTTTGTTTTTCTTTCTATAGGTTTATTGTGGCTTATTCTACTGTCAGGAGTACATAAAATATAAAAAAGTGACACATTTTATGTATATTTCTTATTATATCCAAAACTATACGATGAACCCGAATTCAATATCAAGTAACTGTAGGAAGTTTGTGTAAAACAAGTGATTTGGATGAATTTGGAGCAGATTATTTCCTGTTTAGGGAACTTTTTATACAATTCTGTCTGTATTATGTATTTATGTATCAGTTTTTAATCATACAGACTTAAAAGGCTTATTTTTACCTTAATGTACTTCCCAGTTACATTTCTTGACATTAGTGAACCAAATGTTGAGATTTAGGCCTACTGTGTTAATTTCAAGTTTTCTAGCACGCCTTAAAAGTACACACCAGTTACACACCAGTTATCCAGACTGACGATTCACTGAACACACACCTTGTTGATGATCCCTCCGCTCTCAACGACTCCCTCTGCACCGACAATAACTAGGTCGACTTTCTCCAAAACATACCTGCAAAAAAAACCCCCCAACAGAATCATACTGAATAAAAGCAACTGAGCTCCACACTGACACAGTTTGGTTTTAAACTTCAGTGTTTTTACCCCACAGCTGCATCCAGGACTACTGTTACTGGAACATTGAGTTTTCTCAGGGCTTCGGCCATCTGTCGCCTGAACACAGAAAGGATAAAGGCTGATTCAATGAGTGCGTGTCCCTTCAGAATAAAACAAGGACACAGTTTACTGACAGTATTCACTCACCCAGCTGAGTCAGGCTGCGATTCAGTCACATAGACAGAGAAGCGTTTCTTCTCCGCTGCAGCTTTTTCCATCACCCTGAGGACGACTCTGGAGTACGAGTGAGTCAGGATTTTCTGTGAGAGAAAGCAAGAGAAAGGGATTGAACTGCCTAAATACTGTATTGTATGCCTGCCTACATCTGAACTGTGCTGAATCACTGGCCAACTCACAATTTATGTGTTTTTCCTGGAGGATAATGATGATCTTTAGTCGGAGCAGTCAGGTTTTTAGAGCGGCTCGTCGCAACAATAACTGCTGTTGTGCTGAACTCTTCATAGACCTGGTCTGATACAGGGCTCATTTACTCTTAACTGTAATCATTAAACTGCTCCGATACTGTGACTAGGTACTTGTGTAAGCTCCTGTTAGTTGAGCAACTAACAGGCGGCAGTTTGAAGATATTATAAGCAACTTTTACAATAAAACATGTTTTCAAAATCATTGTTAAACCTGTATTTGGTATTAAGGACTCACATCGGTACTCGGTATCTGCAAGTATCCAAATAAGTACTTCTATTTGGTCTTTAAAAAAGTGGTATTGGTGCATCCCTACCACAAGGATCATTATCAGGCCCCCCCTGCTTTTTACTCTAGACCGGGTTAGGCAACCTGTGGCTCTTTAGCCCCTCTAGTGGCTCCCTGTGCCTTTTCTTTTATCACTGCTGATATTGCCTAAAGTGAGTCTTACATTCTCCAGCTGTAAACATGTGTAGCCTTTATTCCTTACACCCTGACCTGGTGCCTTTTCCTCTATATTTTGCCAAACCTTCAATAGCCGTGGTGTCCCTAGAATTCAATAATGCTTTGGACAGATTAGTTTGCTCTCACCGCCAACGCTGCTGGCTTACTGGTTAACTTTATCTGTGGCAAGGAAATATATGTTTAGTGGCTCCAGATACAAGCTAGAGATTTGATGTATTACTTTGAGCCTTTGTGGTGTTGGATATTGGTGGCCAGTTATATTAATCCTTGTGTATTTTTCAGATCTTTCTAACTTGGTCATATTTGTTGTTTTTAAGATTGTTTTAATGTGTTTTGCGGGCTCACTTGCCTCAAATTGCCCCTCGTAGGACAAATAAAGTGTTTAATTTCTGATATCTGAGCATTGAAATGTAAGTTTTCATGCTGACCTCCGTCTTTTGACACCCTTGTGACAAAATCCGGTTTTAAAAATGAATTTAAAACTTCTTCTAAACTCTAAAAGAAAATAAATGTTTGCATCTCACACGAGCAGAAAGCTTTAATGTTCCCACTCTGATCCATAACTCATGATGGAAATGATTAAATATACATTACAGCATTATAAATTCTTAAGTATCTGATTAGATTTGATTTGCTCAAAAACTAAAAACTCAAATTGGATTTTTATTCTCTAACGGAGTTCGATTTTCCCTTCAAATAGAAAACAAACGTAATAAACCATCCTGTGTGTGATTGAATTGTCCGTGTCGTTCTGTTAGCTTAAATAAGTGGTGACGTGTAGGTAAAATACTCACAGCGCCATCTTTGATGAAGGTGTGACAGAGCTTAGCAACCTTGGTCCTGGACATTGAGATCTTCTCTAGAAAGAGTTCTCCTCTCTCCTCCATCACCTTCTTACAGCGAGACAGATCCTGACAGGAAGAGGAACAAAAGGTCCAATTAGACCTGAAACAACAATATTGTGGAAGCAGAGACAAATTATTCTTCTCATCACTTCTCTGGTTTATCCAGGAGTCGGGAACTTACCCACCAACCAAACTCTGTACAGTTTTTTTGAGTATTTAAAAAAAAAAAAAAAAAAAAGCCACCTTTTATTTATTCTTTCAACTGTTCAGTTACATTTTTATTCATTTTATGTCTCTACGGTCGAAACGTTTGAAAGCCTTTCCTGCACTGCCATTAAAGGTAACATTTATTCAGGAGCACCTAACTGTGAAGCTGCAGATGGAAACCCACTGAATGCATAAAGCCCCTTATAGAGCCAGAGTTTAGTTTGTCCTCTCTGGGCTACTATACATGCCGGTTCCACATGGCGGACACCGTAGAAGAGGAGAGGATAAAAACGGCTCATTGTGAGGTAACAACAACGATTATACACTAATAAAAACATCCCTATAAATATTATATACCATATCTGCCAATAGAGCCTCCTAAATGTTACAAACTGGACCTTTAAAACTGACAAATTTTAAAGGTTTTTAACGTCCCTGGTCAAATTCAAGTGGATATTTTCCAAAAAGCACAAAACTCAGGCTTTGTGTCACAATCCCTCCTCCATGGATCAGCGAGGAAACGCAATCCAGGACACAGACAGAGGAATTACTGGAGGAACTTTGGATAACAAACACTTCATTTGAAGAACAGAACGACCGCAGCCAGATGAAACAGTTGCTTTGTACATATAGGCATACTGTTGGAGTCACACTGCAGTCGTGGCCTCATGGCGAGCTGTTTCTGGATCTGGACTTGTTCGGGTGCACAGTGGTGTTCCTCTGGAGGGGGGGGGGCTGCTCACCTGATGCTCCAGCGATGTGAGACTGATGAAGCGCAGGAAGAGCTCTCCCCCCGAGGACACGGCCACAGAGGAGTCCACTCCCGTCAGGCAGTCTGTGGCCCACGTCAGGCTCTCCCTCAGGCCCAGGATAGTTTCTCCTGAATTGGTGGTGGTGGGGGGGGCAAATGGTCAGGTTGTGGCAACAGAAGCAACACAGGAGAAAAAGCTACAGACTGGGAGTGAACACACCTTTGTCTCTCTTTAGGAATTCAAGCAGGGTGCGGATAGCGGCCACAGCAGAGGCCATGTCCGGATCCTTCATCATCTGAGCCCTGAAGTACTCCACCAGCTCTACAGAGGGAGGGGGGGGGGGTTAATATCTGCACTACTGGACACAAAACATGAGCCGAACTGTGAAACACGACACAACTCACCTCCTTCATTCATCCTGAAGCACTGAACGGACACCTGCAGGCTGCAGTCTGTGAATCAGTGTGTATGTGAACGGGGTTCAGTGAGTGAGACAGCCTCCTCCTCAGATCTCTCTCACACACACACACACACACACACAGTCAGATACTTCAGGCACCGCTTCTAACCGAACCCCGTCAGTCACACGTCGCTCAGCGCCGCCACAGAAACACGTTTTGTAGTCCGTCCGGAAGGTTTTGTTGTTCACTACTTCGCCGAGTTTGCGCTGCGTGTTGACGTGACGCGGAGAGATGACGACGTGTGACGTTCAGGTGCCGTCGGAAATACCGAGATACAAAAAAAAAAAAAAACTTTTTATTTATTTATTATTATTTTTTATTTTTTTTGGGGGGGGGGAATATTTAAGTGTATGTGTGTGATTTTGTAACTTATATCGGGAGACACTTTCCCCGTTTATTGTTTCACTCATTTATTTTGGGTAGACGTTCAGTTTATGAGTTTTATTAATATTTTATTAAAATGTTTAAAATCAGTAAATGAAGATTTAATTCACAATAATAACTCATTATAGTGTAATTGTGCGAATTACACCACTAAAGGGCAACATGGTCCTTTTTAATTTTTATTAACTTTACTGTAGAGAACTACAAATGCTAACTTTAGCATTAAATAAAATAACATTACATTTTGGACAGCTCATTTAATATATAAAAATATAAATATATATAAATATAACTGTGTGTATCAACATGTTGGTCTAAGGACTGTGAATGAGGACAAGCGTCTTCCTCTCATTAATATCAATTTGATCAACAAATTTCACTGAAAATTACACTTTAATATATTTTCTGTACAACTGGATCCTGTTGGGACGAGAGGAAAGGTCAAGGGTCATCCTAAAAATGGCAGGGTTCATCCTCTGAGAACCATGAATGTGCAGTTCTACATTAAATATATATATTTAAATTATTCTGGGTGCTTTTGGTTGTTTATTCTTACAGTTTTCCCTCTTTTTTTTGTTGTTGTTGCCCGTCTGATGTTGTTGTTTTTATCATTTGTGTCTTGTTTTGTTTGTTTGTGACCTCTGTAAAGCACTTTGTGTTGCCTTCAGGACACAGGACGGTGCTTCCCAACCTCCACTAGTCCTTTCACACAGAAGTTCCTAAAAAAAACATCTGATGCAACAAATAACCTGCTCCAAATTCACCCAAATGTGCTCGTCCTGCACAGATTATATCCCTCAGCGAGTTAAAAAAGGTTAAATATTTAAGTTTATCTTTCTTTATTGTGCTTATCTTCAGCTGTGTGTTAACTTATATCTTTCCTGTAACTCTGAAACACTCGAGAACTTAAAAAAAACAAAAAAACCCCACAGAGTTTCCTGAATGTGGAGGAAAAAAAAAAAGATCACCATGATAGTATCTCAATGATTTTATTTTAACTTAAATTAAAATAAAACTTCCTCCAGTCTGTTTGCAGCCTCTTTGTTCTCCCACACACACACACACACACACACTCTCACTCTCTCTCTCTCTCTCTCTCTCTCTCTCTGTGCTCATGCTACATCAGTCCCGCGCAGGCGCAGTAGCTCCTCTGTGGCGCTCTACTGTTTGCATTGTGTCTGAACTGCCGGCGAGCTTTAAAAAAAAAAAAAATATTATACCCACCGCGGCAATGTCGGGCAGGTCGGTCCGAGCTGAGACCCGGAGCAGGGCGAAAGATGACATCAAGAGGGTTATGGCCGCTATTGAGAAAGTACGAAAATGGTAAGAGGAAGGAGAAAGAAAAGAAAGAAAGAAAGAAGGGCTTCGTTATCTAACACGAGAGAGGAGGGAAGAGAGAGAGAGAGAGAAAAAAAAAAAAAAAACCCTCGCTTGTTGGGGGAGGAGAGGAGACGGGAGTGAGGGATGAAATTGAAAGAATAAACGAAGGGGGAGACATATTTTTCTCTCGATCCAACGGGCAGATGTACTTGCAGCTCAGGTGCAACCGGGGCGCACTAGTGCGGCGCTAACCGTCGACTGGCGGCAAAACATACACCAACGTACCCGGTTCTCCCTCTCCCTCTCTCTCTCGCGCTCCCTCTCTCGAGCTCTCGAGCTGGTTTTAACGGCTGAACCCAGAAGCCATTTCGATGCAGTCACATGAAGCCATTGCTGCCCGTTTGTTTGTGGCTCAGGCGGGCGGGTTTGGTTTTACTCTTCGACTCGGGGAGAGAGAGAGACGCGATTTTGACGACGGCGCTCTCGAGTCGGAGGAGTTTGTTTTATTTTTTAAGTCCGTCTGGAGTTTTTAAATTAAGCGCTTTGAGTCGCCCTTTAGGTCTGATCGAGAGCGAGGCACCGGGTGGGGGGTTGGGAGACGGAGAGAGAGGGGGAAGTAGGCTATACATGGCTGAAACACGGAGTGACTCAGTCTTTTAAACGTTTAACACTAAATTACGGTGTTTATCCGCCTTTTAATGGCGCCGAGAAACACATTCACGTCGAGGTTGTGCCGTTTTTAGGTGTGTTAACCCCGCCCCGGTGGGAGAATTTATCCCATATTCTGTTTGTCAGGTGGTTTAATCAAACGTCCCCAAGTCAGTAGAAGTTAGTGGTCTGATTATAAGTTTAGTGGAAATGTTATATTTTAGTTTTAAAGAACTTAAAAAAACACAATTAAACTCAATTTTAAACGTTTATTAAATTTAATGTTTGGTTTTTTTTTAATCAATTTTTCAAAAACATTTAAGTTTATGTGGTTAAATCCCTCCGGTAAGGAAACAATGAAAGCTACGTACTACTAAGTTACTTTATAGGAACTAACTTAAGTACAGTTTTAAGATAATTATAGTTGAGTATTTCCTTTTTTTACTACTTTAACTACATTTTAGAGGTAAACATTGTTTATCAGGTGGTTTATAACTTCATTGGAAATGTTATATTTTAGTTTAAAGAACTTAAAAACCATTAAACTCAACTTGATACATTTGGGTACAAATAGACTGAATTCAATTTAATGCATTTTATATATTTTTGTAAACAAGAGTTTGTTTTCTGCCATAAAGTAAGCAAACAATGAACTAACACGCTAAAAAGTTACTAAAGACTTACTTAAGTACAATTTTAAGATAATTATAGTTGAGTATTTCCATTTTGTACTACTTTAACTACATTTCAGAGGTGAATATTGTACTTTCTACTAAAGGTGTAAGGAAATATATAAAGTATTGTATCGTGATTTTGTATTAATTCTCAAACACACTATCGGTTTATGTGGTTAAATCCCCCAAGTAAGCAAACACTGAATGCTACTAAGTACAATTTTACTTTTTACTAATTATAGTTGAGTATTTCCATTTTGTACTACTTAAATACTTAAACCTAACTACATTTCAGAGTTATCAGGTGGTTTAATCAAGCGTCAGTAGAAGTTGGGGTCTGATAATAACTTTAAATGTTATTTTATTTAGGTTATAGATATTAAAAACTGAATTATATAAATTCTGGTACAAATAGACTAAGTTAAATTTAATGTATTTTATATATTATTGTAATAAGAATTTGTAAACACTGAATGCAACTAACTAAAAACCCACTAAACACTTATTTAAGTACAATTTTAAGATGATTATAGTTGAGTATTTACATTTTGTACTACGTTTCAGGTTAATGTACTCCATAAATAAATATATATGAGTTATGCTATCTAAATATTTACACAATGTAATGTGATAATTATATCCAATAGTACATTATGAGTACTTTTTATGATACTTTAGGTACATTTTGCTGATCATTCTTGATTTACTTTTACTTAAGTGACACTTTTAAGCTTGTAGCAGATTGTTTGTATCGCTGTATTCCTATTTTTATGTAAATTAACTGAATATTTAGAGATGAAACAATTGGCTAATTGATAAGTCGATCCCTGGAAACAATTTTGATAATTAATTAACTCATTTTTTTAAAGCCAAATTCACAGATTATGTTGATTTTATATCCTATCTTATCACTTTGACAGTATCATTGTCGATTCTAGTGTGTTTATGTCTCTAGATCATAATATTGAATCTGAATCATTCTGTCAGTTTGGTTGTTTAACCAAATATATCAGAAATCCTCTGATTCCAGCTTCTCCAATATGAATATTTGCTGGTTTTCTTGGGTCTTTCTGGGTTTTTGGACTGTTGATCAGACAAAAAAAATCATTTGAATATGTCTATTTGGGCTTTAGTGAATTGTGAAGGACATTATTTTACTATATTGACATTTTATAGACCAAATAATTTAAGGCTGCTACTTTTAAATGTGTTTTCATTATCAGTTAATGCTGCAGTTATTTTCTCACTAACACATTTTGGTCTATAAAATGTCAGAAAACTGTGAAAAAATGTCCATCACAATCTCTTTTAAATGTATTTTATCTGCTGTGGTGTAATTGTATTTAGCGATGTAATGAGTCTTTGGGATTCAGTCGTGATTTTAATGTCTATTTATTCTAACAGGATGTTTCACGCCGTGTTAATCACAATCTTTCCCATTTACAGACAGATTTAAGTCATTTTTTTAAGCATAAATGCCAAATATTCACCGGCTCCAGCCTCTGAAATATACTAATTATCTGTTCTTCTCTGCTTTATGTAACTGCAAATTTATTATCTTTGGGTTTTTGGGCTGTTGGTCGGACAATATAAGTAATTTGACAATGTAATAATGAGCTCTGGTTGATCAGGAGATTGATTAGTAACACAAATAATAATTAGTAGCAGAATAAAGAATAACCTTATTGTGTTTGTAGCACTTTTAAAGTCATTTCAGGATAAAATCCCATCAGGAGAAGTAGTTTTTTGTGATGTTTATGCAGTATAATAGTAGTTCATTGACATGGCGTTCAGTGTTCGCTTTACATTATGTCACAGTGTTTTAATTTCGAGGTGTCGGGGGGTTAACGTACGTTCCCTCAGAGCTTTTGACTCAGCTTTTTGGCTTTTTCGCTCCCACACAGGGAGAAGAAATGGGTGACCGTCGGAGACACGTCCCTTCGCATCTACAAGTGGGTGCCGGTGACGGAGCCCAAATCAGATGACGTGAGTTCAGACCTCTTTTTTACTGACATTGTCATGAGCAAGAAACCCCCCCGAAGCACGCGGCGTAAGAGCGTGTTTTCAGGAGGCGCTTTTATACGAAACAATGAACACAAAAGAAAATGTTTCAAGGGCAAAATATTGTTTTTAATGCATTTTTTTTCCCCCTCCGTGAAAACACTTTTCAAACCACTGTTTTTGTATTGTTGTTTTTTTGCATTATTATTACATGTTGATTGCTTTTAAATGGAGCTATTGTGTGTGTGTGAACACTGCACCGTCTCTCTCACTGTAGAAGAACAAGAGTAAGAAGAAGGGAAAAGATGAGAAGTACGGCTCAGAGTTGACGACTCCAGAGAACAGCTCCTCTCCGGGGATGATGGACATGCACGGTAGGTCCCGAAAGCCTTAAAGCTCCAGTGTGTCACATTCAGGAGGATCTGGTGGCAGGAATATAAGATAATAGTCACAGGTATGTTTTTATTAGTGTGTAATCAGCGAAATATAAGAATCATAAACCAAACACTGACTCTAAATGGGGACATTCGTGTTTCCTGGCCACCGCAGTTTGTCCTTCGTGCTTGGAAAGAGAGCGATCTGCAACTACACCGACAGTTAGTGGCTAGTTGTTGTTAGTCTGTGTCTCTCAGTGCTGTCGGACTTCCTGTCTGTGGCCCTCAGCTCCAAGCCAACTGGTTCCCACTGGAAACATCTCTTAGATATATAGTTTAATTTGAAACGATGCTCAGTGATTCCCTAAAATGTCTGGTCATTACTTAAACATGAGGAAATAGTGGTGTAGTGGAGTTTTTCTGGTGAGTGTAGGACTGCGTAAAAAATAGAAATAAGCTGGTTTGTAGCATTTAAAAGGAGGAGGGGGGGTCCTACTGTGCACTACTGTGTCCCAACATCAGTATTTAATAATCTCATAATGACAAGCACCAACTGAAGTGACTCTTCTTTCTTCTTTCTTTCTTTCTTTCTTTCTTTTCCAGATGACAACAGCAACCAGAGCTCCATCGCCGACTCGTCTCCAGTGAAACAGGAAAACAGTTGTAGCACCAGCCCCACCCCAGAGCCCGCCAACGCGTCCCACCGCGAGAACAGCGAGGCCAAGTCTGACCAGAGTCCGGACAGCAAGCGGGGTCAGACACACACACACACACACACACACACACACACACACACACACACGTCGATCTCCTCACTCACAGCTAGCAGGTGGTAGCGTAGCAACGTGGCTGATCAGTTGGAGCCACTTCCTGTTTTTGTTTCCCTCCTCGTCCTAACGTCAGGACAAACATCACACTGAGAGAAAATTAAAACGACTACCTCCCCCCCCCCCTCCCTCAAGGTTAAACACACAGGAAGGGACACAGATGTAGTGCAGCTGTGGCCACGCCGGTTCCCCCCCCCTCGAGACTTCAACCGACGACTTTCTTTGAGGTTTCTCAGCCTTCTTCTTTCCTCTATGCTCTCGCCGCCAGATTAACGTAACGGTTAACAGCAAAGTTCACGTTTTATACACCATATAAAGAGTTTGGTTACACATTTATCAATCAGTTATCGTCTCCAACGCACCAAAGAACAACAACAGTATAATAAATAAATCATGAAACACTGAATGAGACTAATTTAATAGTCTATAACAATGTTTGTTCCCTCGTGGTGGAAAAAGAGGTTAAAATCCTTCGTACAGCCACAATAGTAATCAGAGCGGCTGTCTGCTTGTGTTTTAAATTGTGCCATTTATTCCTTTTGATAAATGAGTATCGAGCAAAGTGCCTCACACACAGTACATCATGTGAACAAACAGGGCTTAAATGAAAGAAGGGCTGCAGCCAACGGTTAGTTAATTCATCATTTGATCTGTAAAACAGCAGAAAAAGGAAAAATTTCTCCCTACCAAAACCCAAAGATCATCAATTTACCTCCTTATTTTATCACATAAGACAAAGAAAAACAAGAAGATCTCACAATTAAGAAGCTTGACTTCATATTTTTGGCATTTTTGCTTGAACAATGATTTCACAATTAATAAATTTATCAAAATAATAATGTTACTTCATGTATTGTCATTGACTTAATATAATAGTGGCTGTGGTTGATGAAAACATGCACAAGTGATGTTAATTGTACGTGCAATGAACACTTTAACTCTTTTTCTGTAGAATAAAATACATTTTACTTGATTTGAACTGTTGCTTTTGGGCTGTGGCCAAATGAATGTAGTCAGTTTGCCCCAAACCTGCAGCTTTTTAAGCAGGTGATGTCCTGTATTGTCATGGGAAACTCCTGGAAAATGTCCTGGAAAGGTCCTGGAACATTATGTGTTAAGAGTGGGAACCCTGAAGTAGATTAAAGCAGCAAATATTCCCATTTGAGGAGTTGGAAACTGTAGATTCTGGACTTCATGTTTTGTGATAATGTTCTGTTTGGATCTATCATCCCCTTTTATTGTTTCCACTTTGAGGTCTTTCTCTCATGTTAAAGAGAGTTAAACTAAACTGCCCCAGCTTCCATTTAGTCTCCATGTTACTGTGCAGTTCCTTCACACAACCACACTGTGTCATTAAAGTGTCAGAAACCACAGCACCTGTAATGTGCACCGCTCAGAGGAAGAAGAAATGTGTCTGTTCTGATGTGTTTGTGTGTTTCAATCCTTCAGGTAAGACCACCCCTTCATCAGAGACCTCAGAGAGAGCACAAAGTGCCAAGAGAGACAGTCTGTCCTCAGGGGAGAAGGACTCCTCGGACAGTAAAGCCACTCAGGTACGAACAGCCCATCGGTTCGGGTGTGAGCGCAGTCTGTGTCTGTGAATGATTCCTCAGCCGTGCTCTCTGATTTCACTGAGATTTCTATTAAACTTACAATCAAAAGCAACGTCTGCGTCTTTAAAAATAGTCCAATTACTCCAAAAACCAGAGATATAAAGCAACAGTAATCTCCAAACCAGGACAACAAACTTACAGGTCCAATTTATCAGCGTTTTGTTCACTTCTCTGTGGAACTGCTGCTCCAGTGTTTACCTCCCTCCTCCAGCTGCAGCTATAACGCGCTGTATGTTGCCTCTAGGCTCTCTGTGAATGTTGAATGGATATTTATAGCCACATTGATACAGTAAGACCTTGAATAACAACAGCACTGACCGCAGGGACCTGCTGCCCTTGGAGCGTCTGTATATATCTCTCTACGCTAACTAATTCAGTCTTTATTCTTTCTTTGAATCCTCAGTGAGCTTCCACAAAAAGAGTTTTTTAAGCTTATTTTATTATTAAATGATTTTAAAAAGTTGGAAAAAAGAAACGGCAACAAACTGACACAATAAAATACAATCCTTAAAGTCATCTCTGTGCGATTCATCCACACTGAATCCGTTAAATACCCACCGCTGTTACATCGTGTAAGTAAGTAAGTTCACGAGGCGAGAGATTGACTGACTGAAAACGCAGGAAAAAAAACATTGCGAGTTCTTCTGTGGACGCTGCAGCGGCAAAACGGAGCCCATTTAAAAAAACAATCTATACCAATTAAAGTGTTCACGACATTTAGAATATTTTCACTACTTTACCTCGCGGTCAGACGGCCTGATGACGGCGAACTGACGGCGTTAGATCCATCAGAAACGTTGCATTGTCAAATTGTAATCAAGCTAAATAACCCCCCCACTTCGACCTGATTCAGTTACATGTAATCTATTACTCCTCAAGCCTGTTTAAGGGTCCTGATTTATTCCGAGTAAGTAAACAAGTAAACAACGACATCATCGAGCGTTGATTCTCATGTGTGTGTTATTTGTGTCTTTCTTATAGGACCTAGAGGAGGAGGCCCCGCCCAGCAAGAAAAGCAAACAGGAGTCCTCACCTCAGGACTTTGAGGAGAGTTAAATGTTTGGGGCTGAGTCATTTCTCTCCTTCACCCTCCTCCTCCTCCCCCCTCCCTCCCTCTGCACCTCCCTCCATTATCTCTAGATAATTTAGGGCTAATGGACACACCAGCTCTCCTCCCACTCCTCTTACTCCCCCCCCCCCCACCACCACCTCACCTTCCTCTACCCAAACTATACCAAAGGGAGAATGGACGTCTCTCTTCCTCCCTCCCCTCTCCTCCTCTCTCCTCGCCTCCCCCTCCAGTTTACCACCTTTGCCCTAACACTCCTCTGCCACAGAGGGAGAATGGATATTACCTCTATTCACCGGTCCCCTCCCTCCTCCTCCTCCTCCCCCCTCCTCCTCCTCCTCCTCCGTGCTTCCTTCCAGTTCTCCACACTTTTTTCCACTAATGCCAAGAGAAGCTCCGAAAAAACCCGGTCCGCAATCCTCTCCGCGACCAGAGGGGGGGGGGCGGCGGCGCTGTCAGCCGAGCCCAGCCACCCGCCAGGCCAGACCACAAACACTGACCTGCATCTGTGACTTAAAGAGTTAACACTGGGGATCCGAGATTAGGACGAGGTTGATATCCCGGACGCTGCTCTGAGACCGTTTTTAAAAACGTTTTACTGCTCACGGTTTAGCTCAGGATACTTCAAGAGGCTAACCTGGTCTCAGATCAGCGGCTGCCGGGGGGGAACCTCCACCCTAAGACCACACGTCACTTCAAAAATCCTCCCGATTCTTCGCCTCCTGTTAGACTAATGTTCTATATTTGTTTAGGAAATGTTTAGGGTTTTTTTCTCAGGAGGGTCAATGCACTGTTATGGTATGTCACAATCGATCACAGATAGATTTGCTGCTGTAGTGGAAGTCTTTTTTCTCTATCCATGAAAAGTTCTCCATTCACATGTTTGTTTGTTTGTTTGTTTGTTTGTTTTTTAAAAGGTGAGTTAGTTTGTGGTGCGTAGTAGAAGACGACGAAGAAGACGACGGTACTGGTCAAGATGAACTCTTTACAGGATAAGTAGTGAAGACAGGCGTAGGTAGCGTAGGTCCCGAAGGTGTGCCTTGAGTTGCTACGATTTAAATGCACGTTTTTTTTTAGGTCAAGCTGGTTTTGAATTACAATTTTGGTGCCATGTTTTTTTGTTTTTGTTGGGTTTTTTTGCCTTATAATCGTCACTAATTAGCATTATCCAATATTTACAACTACAACAGTTAGTTTTTCTTTTTTTCTTTGAAGGAATAGTTCCAACATTTTGGGGAAGAGTTCGACGAGAGGGTCGATAGCGCTCTTAAAAAAACACCTACCACTACCTTTTAAAGCTCTCTAACTAAATGATATCTGTTCTGTTCCTCCAGGACGAGAAATAGTCGGGCACATAATTCCTCATTAAACTGCTGGTTTTTGTTTTTTAGACTTCAGTTTTTCTACAGATTAAATAAATGTGATACAACATGTTAATCAGTGAGCTTTAGAGGTGGATTTAACTCCATTATTAACATGTTTTATATTTTATTTGTATAAAAGACAAAGTCTAAAGATGAGAAATTGTGGTTTTACGTGTGCCGGACTGTTTATGGGTTAAACAGATGAGATATAATATGTTAATTGAGCTTTTAAAGGTCGTTTTTAAAGGCTTTTTTTTTTTTTTTTTTTTTTAGCTGTAGCGTCACATTAATACCAACCCTCTCATCCAACTCTCAGGAACAAAGTGATTCTCAAACTGTGGAACTGTTCCTTTAACAACCGTTGGAGACTGGAATTTAAACACTACCCACTTTAGTTTTTAATCTTCTGGAAAACTTTAACATCTGCAAACCTCATAAATCAGACTTCCCGCTCGCTGGTCCGCGTCTCCTTCAAGGTGGCACCTTTTTTTTTTTTTTTTGTTTGTTGTTTCCCAGCCTCGAGAAGCAGAAACGGACCATTCGCAGCTGGCGGTGGGGGGGAGGAGGGGGGAGGAGGAGGGGCTGCTTTTTTTCCCGCCTCGTCCGCCAATCACGACTCGTATTCAATCTCTGTTCTGTGTATCACTACTTACCTACGACCTCCACGTGTTTCTGTAGCTCCAGACAGAATGGGTCCAGTCTTTTTAGCTCAAACATTGGTTCTAATCCTCCTTCAAGGTGCTGTCTGTCGGCTGAATCCATACACGCGTGGCATCGAGATCTCGGTTTTTGTGCATATTTTGTGCAATTTACTTGAACTTTAATAGTACGGATTCAGACCTATGACCTCTAATGTACAAACCTCACACATGCAAGGTTTAGTTTCATTAATCGATATTGACTCGTGAATATGGATTGGAATCGATTGACTCACAAAAAACCAATGACTTCATAACACAACAGGGGCTGTAGAAATACTTTTACGACGCGATTACTTGATCCGATTTCAGAATCAGCATTCACATGGATGGAGAGAAAAGAAATAAATAAAAAAAAAAAGACAATTGTCTCAGTTTAGAGGATGGATTAGCATATACCTCATTCCCAGTCCAGCAGCGCTGGAACTTAAAATGCTATTGTATTGACATTAACAGTTATAAACAGCATTATGTACACTCAGTTTAAAACAGATCTCACTTATGTTGTAGCTTTCACCTGATTGAGCCGATTGCTTATAGTTTGCTCATAACTGTGTTTTTAAAAACAAAAAAAAAGAGCTGTGAGATATAAAATCTTGTATGTTTTTCCTTTTTTTTTTTTTTTTTTTTTCTTGGGACCATTTTGTTTCACTTTAGATCTTGTACAGATTTATTGGTTTGGTTTGACTTATTTATTCCATCAGTAGTGCTTGGTTTTTATCATGTCCAATGGTTTTGTTTTCTTAATAAAATTCACAAAACTTATTTGTGGGTGTTTGTGTTCAGTGTTTAAAGTGTGTGTGTGTGTGTGTGTGTGTGTGCAGTGTGTAACATTTAGGAGGATCTGTTGGCAGGGACCTTTTTTTTAAATGTTCACAGGTATGTTTTTTTATTAGCGTATAATCTCCTGAATGTCGGGATCGTTGTGTTTTTGTTACTGTAAAATGAGACGCATATGAGAGGAAGGGGCCTCAGTGATGAGATGTTACAGATCTGTTGGTGTCCTCTGTTTTAAAAAGGTCTGACCTGTGGACCCGTTGCTGTGTCTCTCTCTCGCTTTGTGCTGCTGTAACACCTGAATGTTACCAGTTTTCTGCCAACAAGCCAGAGTACAGTGCCTGCTCAGCAGTAAACGGCAGACGGGCACAGTTAGAGACTAAATGGTGAACATAGAGGAGCATTTATCAGCTATAGAGACAGGTATTTCCCTCAGGAAGAGGTGGAGACTAATAGAGGGTGAATATTGGACTCATCAGGTGCCACATCCTGCAGCTGCAGCACCTCCGAAAATCTGACATAATGAAATTATTATTTGATAAGGAAGGACTTTTTATGTGAAGATGAAACTATATTATCTTGTTGCTGCTGACCTACAGAATTATTTTCCTGGGTTTAAACCTGTATGTATATATTTAACTGTACATATATTGGTTTATTTTATTTATCTTTTGTTGTTCCATGAATGTGAATCTTTTTCTGTGTGTAGCATGAAGGAACTACTTTCATTTAATTTTATAACCTTGTGTTTCATAATGATGAATATATTTCCCTGATTTCTTGAATCTGTCCCCAGAAGGGTTTTAATGACAATAAGAGGTTAAAAAGGGAATATAAAAGAGTAAACACAACACAAAAAGATCCTTGAAACAGAATTTAAGACGTCACATTTTTAAAAAATATACACAAGAACAGGATTGTTGCTGAATGAAATGTTTTTATTTACTAAAAAGTTATAAAATGTGTGTAAAATTATGTTAATAACTATTAAATAGTCCTCTAATTAGTATGACGTCATTATATGATGTTAAAGAAAGCGATATAAGAATAGCAGCTGTCATTCAGATCTTGTTTTTATCTACATTTTTACCTCATTTATTATAGTATTTATTTATTTTAGTGTTCTTTTATTCATTTAAGTCCTGATTTTTAGAGCCTGGAGCACTTTTATCTCTATCATGTTTGTCTATTGTCTGAGCCGATCTTATACTTTTGTCGTCTTCTACTGTAAAACCAAAACTACCCTCGGGTACAAATACAGTAACCTCGTATAGACAGACTTTCTCCCAGCAACCACCAACAACTCTGACAGCGACACAGCAACAGTGAAAAGAGCCAAAAAAATAAGCCTGAATCACAAAGTAAAGCCTGGTTTTAACTGGTAATCTTCATTAATGTAACAGCCCTCCGGAGCTCATGAAAAATGGAGCAGCCTTCTTTGTGCTGCCTGAACCTCTCTGGAGTAAACGGATCTGGGGGGATGAAACTATAATGAGCAGTGCAGCAGCTAATGTACCACCGTCCTGTGAGCTAGAAAGAAGAACGTCACACACACACACACACACACGGTTTCTTTTCTTAGTATTTCTATTGGACTGCTCGGGAATATACAGTACATAGAAAACAGTGACAGTTTACACCACGCCGACATCTGGTTCCCAAAACCATTTCTAGACGGTGCCGGAAATTGTTACATATAAAACATTACACTAATAATTAGACGCATCACTTATAAAGTACACAATGTTTTTTAAAGTCTATACAAATGGGCTTTTTTTTTTTGTTTTATATTGAAACCTCCTTATACAATGTCAATCTTATCAACAGGGCAGAAAAATAAAAATGTAGTACACATAAAAAGCTATTCTTTTTTGTTTGTTCCATGGCACTGTGTACACATTTATCAGAAGGGGAAGCCTCTGATTAGTATTTACAAAGACTCAGTGGTTAGTCACATCATGTATTATTATACACTGTTACACTGAAAGATTCAATATGATCCAAAATTGTGCTTAAGAACAACAAGTCAAACACGTGTTGCTATACAGGGTTAATTTAAAAGGTTTTTCACGTTTTGGGAAATTCGCTTGTTCGACCTTCGACAAGAAACTGATTACACTCTTATATATCTGTGCGTTAGTCCTTCAGGAAATTATAAAACATAAAAATCAATGCAGAGATAAATCGGGTCTGACGGTTGAGCGATGTGTGTTTGTTTTCACTAACGATATGTTCAATCTTTGCATTTGTAAAATGATTAAATCTGACGCAATTTATCTGATTGTTTTATACAAATTTAGTCACATATGCAGCAGTCTGCAAACAGACGTTGAGGTGTGAAATTGTTGGAGTTTCCCTTTTAAATACAGTAAAAAGTTGAAAATATTTTAACTTTGTGGCGACGTGTGGCGAAAGAGAGGAACGCACGCCAGGAGCGCCGTACCAGAGGAACACAACGGTTTTCACACTGTCTCTGTAACAAAATCCATCTACCTCTAAATCTCACTAACATCTTGTTTTAGTGAGAGACAAAAAAAACGAAGCGTCAACAAGTCAATTCGCTGTTTTACGGGTTGTGAAAGTATAAATCATCTCATCAAACTCTCAAAAGACAAGAAGCGTATTTCCCAAAAGGTTGAAGATGTTTGAAGCTTTAAACGAGGGCAGAATAATCCGCACTGACCTCTCCGATAAAATCGTCCCTTTAGTTTAGAGTCATAAAGTTAAAGCGCTGCGTGTGTTTTTCTGCTGAATCTTTAAAGTGAACAGTGCAAAAACTTAAGTTAGTCGAGGCTTTCTGGGGGACTTCCTGTACTCGGTCGCCTTTATACTACAGTAGTCCTACCTACACCTCTCCTCAGTGCTAGCTTATTTCCCTGTAGGAACATCACCGGTTAACGAAAGATCGGACAATAAATAACAAAACAACAACTTCTTCTTCTACAACGAATCCTCGGTGACTTTCAGAGGCGTGGTATTTTTTTTTTTTCCCGAGGACGTTAACCTGGATGCTGATCTCATCCCAAGGTCCATTTAGTAGCTGTTCTGGAGCTTTTGATTCAAGTGTGAACCCGGATGGACTCTCACATTTTAAGCCAACGTTGACGAGAAACCCTTAAAAGTGCCGAGAAAGACAACTGCCGAGGAAGGTCCTGCGATCGGGATGAAAGCTCCAGAGCTCATTAAATGGACCTCGTAGGGAGATCAAACACAAAGAAAACTTCATACAAAAAAAAAAGTAAGTAAGTAAAAAAAAAAAAAAGAAGTAAACTGACCTCTGAGTGTAAAGTCTGTGGAGTCAAAGTCCACTTACTAGCTTTTGGTGCAGTCTTCATTTGTATCTAATGGTCTTCTTCAGTAGATGGAGTAAACACAGACAGTTAACCCTTTAGTTTGCTGGTTGAACTCCATCCACTGAAGAAGACAGTGAGACGCAGTTAAAGCTCTGGAGGAGTTTATAGTATTATTGGTTTTCCATAGGTTAACATTTCTGTTGGTTATGACGGAGCACGAGGGCCAAAAGTCGATTGATTAGTACGTTAAATTAAAAGTTATATTTTAAAGTTTTCTTGAAAGGAAAAGAAAGTTGTTATGTTTTAAGAATACAGTCAACAGTAAAGTTTAAAGAGAGTAAATCTCTCAAGAATAAAGACGTAATATTACGAGAATTAATTCATATTAGTTTCATGATAATGTTTAAAGACTAAAGTTGTTATATTACGTTATATTTTAAAGCTTCCTCGTAGTAAACAAGGCAAAGTTTGTAGTAAGGAGTGTTTAATAACTTTTAATTGAGTAATTTATGAATGTTTCGTTGTAGATAACGATTGATAATAAGAGTTTTTTCAGCATTTTTGAGTATTTCTGGAAATCTTTTCTCGAAATATTAGGACTTTTTTCCGGTAAAATTGCAGCTTTATTCTTAAAATCTCCTCCGACAGCGGCCCTTATACCCGTAGGTCTGTACGCTAGAAGAAAAGACATAAAACATTAATAAGTAGTGACGGGTTTGACATGGCAGTATCGCTCTCTGATTGGTTCGTAGCCGCGCAGACGGAGGAATGTGAGACAGACGACAGGAATGTAAGAGGTGCTTCTTTTTCCCTTCAGTTTGATCTGTGCTTCACTGCGTTGCATCATTTTTTGGCTAAATAAAAAAAAAAAAAAACCTGAAACTTCACTTATGCTTAATTTAGAAAAACAAACTTAAATGCAAAAACAACACGTTAAAAACGACGAAGTGCAGAGGACGAATTCCTTCTGTTATAAACATCAATATTGCACCAAAGCAGCATATTTGGACGAGCATTCTGCATTACAGTCAGAACAGTTTATCTTTAGAGGAAAGAGGGTTTAGATCAGGACAGTGGCTACGAGTGATATGCATAAATACAGTATAAAAATACAATATGGAAATATCTGATGGGGATTTTAATCAGGCGTGTCGGGGGCTGGATTGTGGGGGGAATGTAGTGGGAGAGTAGAAGGTGAAGGTTTTAAGGGGAAAGAGCTTTTTCGGGAGCCTCTAGAAGGTCTGATCATCGTTGCAGGACTCCGTGGCGTGTCCGAAGGCCTCGCAGATGTCGCAGTAGGGCCTCTCGTCGGACGGGTTTCCGTGGTAGGTGGTGTGAGGGACGGAGTCGGGGCTCTGGGCCTGAGTGGGGCAGTCCTCTGTGTCGTGGAGGTCGAAGCAGTCGCAGATGTCGCAGAACAGACGCGGGGTCGCCTTCTTTTCCCGCTTTGAGACACCTCCAACAAACCTGAGAGAGGGAAAGAGGGAAGGGTTCATTTAGAGGATCTGGGTGGTGGTATTCTGTTTCCTAGTAACAGATATAGTTGTTTAGCTGCCCCAGATACTCACTAAAACACTTAATGTGGATTAATCCGCTGCGGAAAATAGTCCCCAACATGCACTATTTCCTCCTGAATCTACTGAGCCTTTTTCTGTGTGTGTGTGTGTGTGTGTGTGTGTGTGTGTGAGGTGTTTTCGAGGCTTTATGTTCCAGTTTATTGTTTCCAGTTTAAGAGTCAGAAGCAAACAAACGACAACATTTTTTTACATTTATCTTATCAAGTGTCGGAAGTGTTCAGATGTTGCTTTAATCCGCACATAATCCCCCCATAATACCACAACATATACACCTTACACTCTTTTTTTTTTGAAAATAAAAAAAAAATTTTTGAAAAATATTTTAAAAAATAATAAGAAAAAAAAATATAGTTTATATTTTCCATAATCCTGGTGCTCTTTTCCATATTTTATGATTTCCTATCCGTCTTACCCATCAGTCCCGTCGTTGCCGTTGAACTCTGCCAGAGCGAGCTTCTTCAGTTTGATCTTCAGCTCCTCGTTCTTCCGCTGCAGGTCCACAATCACGCTGTTCAGGAAGTTGATCTGATGGAGACAATCGGGACACAGACCAGAACTGAGAACCCTGAACCCAAACTGATTTAATGGAACCGTATTTCAGGATATTCTGACGGTCTTACCTGTCCCTCAGCGAACTCCTTCTCCTCCCTCAGCTGCTGCAGAGCCGCATCGCCTGCAGAAGGAAATCAGAGAACAGGTTGACAAACAGAATAAACCTCTTTGCCAGAACAGTGTGAACGCTCTAACTGTCTCCTCACCTGAGGGTGGAGCTTCAATGTCTTCTCCCTCTGAGGCCTGACTTCCCATGAGCCTTTGCTCTAGACTGTGAACGCGGCTCTGCAGCTGAGCTTTGTCTCTCTCCAACGTCTCCACGGCCGACTGCAGGGTCTTGGCCATGGCGTTTTCTCCTCGCAGCACCGCGATCTGCAGCGACAGAGGACGAAAGTAAATGTCTCACACGGCTCAGACAGAAGTTTCAGAGAAATGATGAAATTCATGTGCGAGTACCTCATTCCTCAGAGTCTCCAGTTCCCGGTCTTTCTCCGAGATTAAGGCTCCAGTGGATTTCTGGAAGTTTATTTCTCCCGCTGGTCCCTGATTCGAGATGGTTTCTCTGTAGAAAAATGGAGAGAATCAGAGAGCGGAAATATATCGACTGCTGTCAAACTGCACCGGAGTCAAATGAGAGGTCTAAATAGCAGTGAGGAAGGACTCTAAAGGTCTTCATCTGGGCTTTAAACAAACAATAAAAACACAAACATGAATGTTTGATGTTTGCCTGCCTGTGTTACTACATCTTTCTGCACATTACCGCCACCAACTGTTGACACCAGAACAGCATGAAACCACTGATAAGACCACGCTGTCACTTGCGTGTTTGTACGTGCAAAATAGCAACAAAATGGGAACCAACTCATGTAAAACGTGGCTCCATAGCGCTACTAGTGGTCAAAAACTGCACATGGTTCCTTTAATATAAACTCATGTGAATACATTTCAGACGTTATTGTGTCCGTTCCACGTTTGAAATCGACCTGACTTCACAATTCTAATATGTAAATGATTGATGAAGTGAGAAACCAAGGATTCAATATAAAGAATCATCTCGGCGGCGGTTCAGTGGATTATTAATAAAGCTGTGGATTTTACCACCTGCCTCCAAAATCAGTTGTATAAGCCCGATGCCACCCAGCTGATGCCCTGTCATCCCTGTTCTTGATAAATGAGACTGGATGTGAAGAAGCTCGTTTCACTGAATCACATCTCCTGTCTGTTTCTTGTGTACCTGAAGAACCTATTAATTCTGCTCTACTTGTACATCACCTCTTCATTTCCCTCTGGCCAAGCTGTCAGCTGCTCTTCACAGACCTTCTCCTTCACTTCATTGCTCAGATCTTACATCACGTACCCGGCTTTGATCCACGTCTATCATCCCCACTTCATTAAACATTCACTCTCAACTTAAGTCTCTGCTCTGAGGAGGCGGTGACACGTTTTAATCCTCCGACTGCAGAGCTGAGATGCGTGAGGCGACACAAAGTTTCTGTTTCTGTTCTGAGAAGAGGGCTTAAAATAAGACCAAAGACAATGAATAGACCATAAACCATATCACATTTGAAAAGTATAAATCTAACTGTCCTATCATTTGAGTAAGAGTCTGTCAGGAATAAATCCTCCGTACTCTCTCAGATCCTTTTCTTATGTAAAAGTAGAAACACCATGGTCTAATAAAAACTCCATTACAAGTAATGTTACGCACAATATGTCTCTCACATTAAAACAATAACAAAAGACGTAGTTTGATGATGTTGTGAAGTAGCGTGGGATCATGGGAGTTGCGGTCTTCATCGTTAAAGAACAACCACTGCTGATGGAAATCTGACATGACTCAGTCACGTTCGCCGACTTCCTTCCTCACTCTCTGACATATCCTATCGTATCCCACGTTTACCCAAAAGTTATAGCAACTGGAGGCAACAAGAACATTTTAGATACTTAGATACTTTAGATATTGTCCAACCTTCAAGGGCTCATAAGACACCAGGTTGCTGTGATCAAACATTTGATTCCATTACAAAATTACGAATTATACATGATTATACGACTCGGTCTTAAAACTAAATATTCTGCCTTCTCTCTCAAAAAGTAAAACAACAGATCCTTTCCTGAAGCAGAGTTCAAGTTTTTCCTAAAATTCAAGCCATAAGAAATCATCAGAAATGGAAGATATTTAACTAAAAAGTACGTCCTTTAGGTCATCGTAGACAAGACAGCATAACAAAAAGTGAACCTTGATCACTTAACAAGCAACGTCTGTCCTCCTCTATAGAAACTGCATCGTATCATGTAAGAATATCAGATTTCTTTACGTAAAAGTATAAAAAGTAAAAAGAGGAGTAAACTGAGTAAATGTACTTAGTTACATTAGTTTAATAATAAACACATATGTTATAAACTGCAGTCAGTCGATCAACAGAAAATTAATCAAACTATTTTGATAATCCATAAAATTTGATCATTCATCGAATTTCTCTGGTGGTCACGTTCGGCTCTGGGAAATATAATTTGATTGTAAACTCATCATCTTTGGATTTTTGACTGTTGGTGGCACAAAAACAGACATTTGAGAAAATAAATATTAAATAGGGGATTAAATTATGGTGTTATTTATTAAAAGCCAGAGTATTATGAGTCCAATGCTGGAGAAACAGTTATTAACTTCAAGCCTTCGAACACAAAGTGAATTTAATTTCACTTTCTACAATGTGACACCAACACTATCGTGAGAAATGTGAGAATTACTCTCAGTTAATAGAAATCTATGATAATAACTGAGATAAAGGAACATATTAGTTGCTTACCTGGTCTTCATGTCTGGCTGCTGAGTGCTGCGGTCCTCATTGTGCTGAGAGGCAAACACACACAAATATAGAGGCATTTTAAATAGAAGCTAAACCCGTCTGAGCTTTAAGAGTTCCAGTCACAGCGGGAGGTAAATCCTCGCTATGCCAAAACCTGTTAATCAAATCACCGTTCCCGACTTAACAAACCCAAACGATCTATAACAGGAGGAAGGGGAAATCGTTTCTATAATAAAAAACGCTGGAAAGGTCAGTTACCTCCTCGAGATGCTGAGACTTCTGGGAGGCCAGCTTCAGCTCCTCACTGAGGGGGGAACAGAAAGAAAGGAGAGGTTGACACACTTAAGGAGCTGCACTGAAGGCGGCGCCGTCAGGTCTCCGTGATATCTGTGTCACCATCGCTGCTGTATGCTTAAATCTGGTGTCTGTTAAACACGCAGACGCACAAGAACTGAGTGTAGTTTCACCCGCTCTGATTGTAGTTGACCCGATGTATGTTAACGGTAAATAAACCAAAATTTTAAATCTTTCAGATTTGATTATGAGCTGTAAAGTGCTGCTGCGTTGCTCTGTGAAATGTGTTTGACTGAAAATGTTCAAAAGCCTTTTACGGTTTCACTCAGAGCTGCAATGGTTGATACATTAATTGACAAATTAATTGTCAGAAAGATTAACTATCAAGTATTTGGATGGTCTGTTAACTGTTGAAGTCAATTTGTGAGAAAATTTACCAAATTTGCTTTATTTAAGTAACTCAAGTATAAGAATTTCCTGCTTTCGTCTGTTTTATATTACTATAAATGGAATATCTTTGTGTTTTGAACTGTTGGTTGGACAAAAAAACAAGCCAAACTAACTGTTTCTTACACTGCGTACCACCTCTGGAAATACTCGACAAGTTCTCTACAAGTTAAACATACATACGGTTCATGCAGGAGGCAGGTTTATTTTACTTTTCAACCTTAATAGCAGCTTTAAATTAAATTTGCATACACTGTTTCTTGCCACATCAGGCAATGCAACAAACTGTTAACACAACTGACATTCCCACAGTACAGAGCAACATTAGCATTTCGTTGGGAGTCTGTACACCTGATGAAGTATTCACTCTATTTTAGCTCCGTTTTTAGACTCCTGAGGGAAATATTTGGCTCTTTAGCTGTGAAATGCTCCAGCTGGCGTCCAACTGTGTTGAACTGCTGTTTGCTGCTGAGCAGGTAGCGTACACTACAGTGGGGGTTTTTAAGGGCTTTTAGCTGGAAACAGCAGGAACAAATGCTGATGAGTTGGTGAAAGTGAACCAAAATGCTTCGGTTGAGGGCCATAAAACCAAAATCTATTAAGCTGAAAGACCCTAAAAAGCTCTGTAGAGCCGAGGGAAGCAGCCGGTGATGATTATCAGTGGTTTCATCATTATGTTTGAACCCCTTTTAACATTACACAAAGTCATTTGATCCATTGTTAACATAAAAATATTGATTATAGCAGCTTTAAAGCAATCCAAGCCAATCAAAAAAAGCTCCTTCTGGTCAATTACTTTCTGCATGTTAAAAGCAGCCAAATGTTGAAGGACAAAATCAGTTTGGACCACAAACCTCCTGCATTGATTCAAAGATAACTGATTCCCATCATTCAAAAAGCCATCTGTTGGTCTATTTCTGCTGCTTATGTCCCATTTTAAACATCTTAAAAGATTTGACAGCTGTAAAACACAGCGGTTCGTACACTCTGTAACGCATAAGACGTGCAGTGATATCAGGATTATAAAACCGACGCTGTAATCTCAGCATATAAATCACATTTGGACACAGAGACAGCAGCAGAGACGGTTGCCGTCTGGGAATTTATGAATCCGGATATTTTTGGATGCTGGAACCAAATAATTTGCTGGAGAAATCGAAATTAGCTCCACGTGGGTTCGTTTTTAGGCTTTAGCGTCGACGGAAGAACTCTGAAGCCTTGTGTGACTAATAACCCGGGCTGAGCACCATCTGGGTGAAATATTCTGCTGCTTGCTGTATAATTGCATTGGCCATGGCCTCGAGAGCAACCACTCCACTCAAACACAACAGGAAAGAAGGGAGAGAGTTCAAAAGGGAAAACTTATAAAAAGGAAGCCTGTCCGTGTCTCTGTCACTTGTGTTCTCTGTCAGGGTGTAAACAGGAACAGACTCAGACGGACAAATACTCTATTCAAACTGTTTCGTCTCTAATTTAATCCCCTTCGTTACTGTAGGTTTATGCTTCATGTCTCACCAAACAGAAATGGATGTTGTGTTTCTAAACACACACACATGGAACCAACTACAAGAAATCTTAAAGCTGCATTAATTAAATAATGGATGTTGTGGTTTTGGGGTTTTCTTTGGTCGTTTCCTGTTTTATTTTGTAATTTTCTTGGGTCTTGTGTCTTGTTTGCTCCCCCTTTGTCTTGTTACTCTGCACCTCACCGGTGTGTTCAGTCTTTGAGTTTCTGATTCATTTGCTAGTTTGTGTTTGATTACATGCGGAGCTTTCTGCCTGCTCCCTTAATCCGGACTACTTGGGATTTTCCTTTTTTTGGTTTGTTAGATTTTGGAGTTTGTCTGTTAATTTGCTTTATGGACCTTTTTGTTTCACCACTTTAACTGCTCCTGCTCTGCTCTGCTCTGCTCTGCCTGCACTTGGGTTCAAATTCAAACTCAACTTCAGCGACAGAAATGTATTTAGTACCGAATCAGGTTCCCCAAAGGACGAATCCCCTGACTTTTCCCTCTAGTGCCACCATGAGGTTCACATTTATAGGAAACTCTTTATGAATGTCCTTAACAACAATAATACTATATATACACAATTAGAAATAAAATGTACCAAAAAAACTCATTAGGTATCAAATAATAAGAAAATCAGGCGATTGTACTCAAAGCAGAACATTAAAATTGATCTAGAAATTGTGTTTTTTTAGAGAAATATCTCTACAAATATGAGACAGATTGCCATGACTGTTGGTTAAAACATTTATGTTCCCCTCATGATGAATTGTAATGACTTTTTTAATCCCTTAACTTTTCATCAGGTCAACTTTTTCCATTATTTGGTTTTTTTGGACCAAATATCTGCAAAACTACTGACATTCCCATCAGATGTTCGCATGCTAAAGTCAGACAGTGAACATTATATCTGCTAAACATCAGTGTAATTAATAATCAGAAAGGAATTAATTCTGCAATAAAAATAAGGTTTGTGATGGGTTATATTTTTTTGCTATGCTATTTGTTGGTGTTTGATGTCTTGTCTATTATTTATCACATGGATACGGGCGGCGACGCAGAGCTGATTTGAGCATCTGTTCACCTGTGTGTGTGTGTGTGTGTGTGTGTGTGTGTGTGTGTGCGTGTGTGTGTGTGCTGCTTGCTGCATTTTTTGTTGACTGCATCTTTCTGTTTGATCACTATGATTATCTTAATTAGGATTTTGTGCAGGTTATAATAAGTTAAGATTAACATTGTGATCATGTTGCTCTAGACTCTTGTCATACTAGCGTACTTTATAAATGAGGACGCAGTAAAATAAAGGCTATATGTACACAGCGACAAATGATGAATGAACATAAACTATTCTGGATGTTAGCTGCAGGATTTAACAGACGATCCATTCAGGATTCGACTTACAGTGGCACCAAAAACAAAACCCCACATCTGGGCTGTGGTGCTTACAGCTGCTCTCTCTCAGACGCCACAAAAGCCACATTGATTCCACACAAACACACACTGTGACACACACACTGTGACACACACACACACACACAGTTTAACACAGAGACACACACACTCTGATGTCATAGTGAGAGAGGCGGCCATGTTGGAGCCAGGCGGTCCTAGGAGGAGAGACGATTACATAACAGCAGCAGACTGAGGAAGGACGCGCCTCAGAGAGGATGGAGGAACACATTGTTGGGACAAGATGAGGATGAGGGTGGAGGGAAGGAAAAAGGTGTTTAACATGATTCCTCCATATATATATGGAGACTTTAGGAGGATGAAGCTGCACTTGTTTCACTGTAACTCAGTATTTGCTCACATTTCCGTCTCCATCTGCTGCTCCTCCTCCAGGATGCTACATATTGATGACTATAATTCAGCCAGTCACATCCATCTGGAGCTCTGACGTCACAGCTCGGGGGAAAGATGACACACACACACACACACACGTGCAAAACACACACACCACATACTTCCACATATGCACACACACACGTGTACACACACAGTCTATAAATAGACCTCGGCATCAGGCCGGAGATCCACCACAAACACAACAAAGTCAGCTTAAAAAACGTGCCGAGTTTCAGCTGAGCGATCAGTCAACGATCTGCCGGCAATTAAAATGTTAATTAATCTGTTGCTACAGCAACCAAGAGGAAGCCATAAAAGTAGTCGGTAATAAATCTTAATGTTTAATGTTTGATGTGTCCAGAGAGGTCTTAAAAGGACCGTATCAGTGCGTATTTATGTTTTCATTTCTCATTTCGTACTTTACTGACGGCCCCCTTTACAACCATTGGTTTTCATTAATTCTCAAACACAATATATTGACACAGAGAACACAGAGCCCCGTCTACGAGGCGACACATACACCGACCAACACAAGACCTCGACATGTGCCTTCCCCTGTGCAGATGGGTGGGAGCAGAGCCACAAACAGGTGGGAGGTTAATTCAAATGAGACAGCACAAAGAGAGCTGTTTCGGTTTGGAATTGGGTCTTCGGCTGCACTGAGAATAAATACTCAGATAAACACGTCTGTTTCTGGTGCGACTTCAATCTGCTGCGACTTGGAGCAAATGCACTAAAATAACAGAATAAAGTTTAAATACACACAAACTATTTTAACTCTACAACCAGCAGTTAAATCAGCATGAAATCTGATGTCCACAGCTGCTTTATACTGTATGAAAAGTTTCTCCTTCAGTTCATTAAATCCCTGCAGCTGTCTGAAGGCAGCAGGACACTGGATGTGGATAAATCTGCAGCCTCTCATTAAATCACATGCTAATGACACCAGAGCGCTGCACAGTAAACATAAACACCTCTACTCTATACTCGGTTTATACCGGAGACGTCAGATTACCAGAACTCATTAATCCCCTGCGTCATGACCTCGTTTCCATCTTTCTTCACAGTTTGTTATTTCTTGTTTTTAATTCATGAATTACAGAGCAAACGCTGCTGTGTCACAGGTTACGTTGCATTGACACATGATGCGTCACTGTGATTGGTTCAGCTGTTTCAGAGCGATGAGACCGGTGATGTGATTGGCTGAGAATGTATTTATTAAATCAACACACACTCCACCGTCACCCACTGCTTTTGGCCATGTTGTAAACTACAGAAAAATATGTGACAGAGATTCAGAAATGGATCCAATATCTTCCCAGGGAGGAATATAACTACTGTAGGTGACAAAAGGTTACATAACTTTCTTAATTTTGCTGCTATAAAAAGTATAATTATTACAGTGGACGAGTGATAAGAGCCCTTCTGTTATTGGTTGGTGTAATGTTATATCTGAGCTGGTTCCTTTCAGATATTCTGAGTACCAGAGCAGATCAATTCTACAAAGTCTGGCACTATTTGAAAGATCTTGGACATGATTTTTCTCCTATTATTATACAAAGAGTCTACTGAACCTGAACTCTTGTACTCTGTGTTTTACCTGCAACATGAGCTATTTCCTGTTATCGCCTGTATGTTTTTGTTTGTTTGTTAATGTTACTGTTTCTTATGTTTGTGTTGTTATTACTGAAAAAAGGTCTGTTTGCCCTTTGCGCTGCTGCATTTTAACTGGGTTACCACCAGTGTTGTGCAGTAAAGCATTACTTTGGTAACGTGTTACAGTAATGTTAACAATTTGAAATACAGTAATTATATTATAGTTACTAAATCCCAGTAACACAACGATCGACTTGTTCACTGTCATTATAACACCAATTATAAAATACAATATTAGTTGTTTTTTGTAATTACCTTCAGAGGCTGTTAGGTTTTCTATTTAATAATGAAACTACTTTGCATTTAATGAAGTAAAATAAAGACCAATTTCCTTTTTTAACATGATTTTATGTTACTTTTATCCATCTAGATGATTATGTTGGCTGACATACATTGTGTTAATATCTGGATGTGTCTGTGTTGTGTTTTGGACTGATTTAATGTGACTTTGCTGTTGTTGTTGTTCTGTCTTCGCTCTTTTAATAAATAAATAAATTAAAACTACATTTAAAAATGTTCAGCAAAAAGGATGTACAACATTTCTGGATGCTGTAATACCCGAGGGAGTTTTCTTACTGTGATTACGAGTATTGTGCATTGTACTCCACCATCATATCCATAATCACATAATAGCACCCTCTGGCTAATTATGGGCTTTGCACAACAATTTATAGCATATTTACAAGTGGGAGCATCTCTCTGGAGGGTTACAGATGGAGCCACCTTAATAACACATTTGACTTTTCAGTGTGGGACCAATGCAGTCAGTTTTTTACATGTTTATATTGTCTGAAAGCAATTAAACCGGGCCACATTTGCACAGTCCATTCTTTGTGCTGAATTAGAGCTTGAAGATGCAGACTGGGGGTTTTATTTAATCAGCAGTATAGACCCCCACAGGATGAATTTACCACACCAGTCTAATGAACTGGCTGGCTGGGGGTCACCTTTAGAGGAGACCCACGCCAGGAATAAACACATTAGTTATCCTCAGCACTCACATTTCCTTGCAGAGGACTCCGATGCGCTCGTTTTCTTCCTGGTATTTGGAGTTCTGTTGTTTCAAAGCCTCAAGCTGAAGAGAAACACAGACAGAGAGGAGGAAAGAAGGTCAGAAAGAATATACATATATACATATACACACAGCAAGTTAGAACAAAGGACGTCACAGGAGGGATCATTTTTCTCTTTGGCTCATCTTCTTAATATATTCACAGCTAAAATGTTGTTACACTTACCGTAAAACTTCCAATAAAAGCAGGGTCCCTAATAGACGCAGGTCTCTTTTAAAAGCCTGGTGTGGCTACACGTTTTGACAAATAAACGCAGGCTTCCAATAGAGGCCTGGTCTGGATTTTATAGAAATTATCTTGATGTATAAAACTTCTTAAAACCCACCAGGTCGCCCGCTTGAGAGAGTTTTAAGTCGTTTCAATCTCCTACACAAATATAAATACTTAAACTCCTTAATATTAATGTTAATATGCACATGCTGCACATCATTAGATCAGGTATAGATTCTCCACAATTCAATCTTTCACTATATTTTACGAAAACTATCAACAACAAAGTATAACGTTAATTCATTCTGACTTACCGGTAACACGGTAAACAAGAGAGAAGGAAAAAAACCTCTGAAGCATCATAATCATCATGTTAGTTGTCAAATTTGCTGAACAAAATCTCAAGAGAAGCAGCAGTTAGAGTTTAGTTTATTTTTGTGCTAAAGGAATTAAACGCCTGTCCCAAATAGAGGCCTGTCCCAAATAAAGGCAGGGGGAGTTCAGTGATTTACGCAAATAAACGCCCGGGCTATTATTAGTTTTACGGTAAGCCCCATTTGGACTGGATTTATTCTCTAGGAGAGTTGTGGCGAGTTTAACATCACCTGCTCTGGTCAGCAAACCTGTCCAGAGTGCGTATGTGTGTATTATTTACAGCTGCAGTTACTTTCTTATTCATTTTTGACAATCTCGTTGGTTTTCTCGTAATTTAAATCCTGTCTGGAGTGATGTCCTCGTATTTTAAAGAGGAACTCTTGAGGGTGTTTTCTCTGCATTGTGTTTCAGTCAAAGCCTATTTGTTAACCAGTACAACAACAAAAGAATAAAACCATCAGGAGAGCAAGACACCCTAAAAGTTAATTTAATGTTATCCTGTTGTGTTTTTCGGCTTATACGAGTTCCGTTTTTGGCACAGGCACCATTAAAAGTATGGTGAATTAGCTGTTAGTGGTTCCTATTTGCAGTGAGCTCACTGATATACAGACAACTATCACTAGATTACTTTCAAACTGAAGAGAACTTGTGATTTCTAAGTGGATTAATGGACTTTATTCACGATGGACATCAGAGATAATATCCTGACAAAGTGTCCCCATTAAAGGGGCACTCCACCAATTTTACGCATTAAGGTCAGTGTACTTGTCATGGTTAGTATTACTCTTTATGCAGCCTGTAAAAACAGCCGGACAAAGTCTCCTCTGGATCTGATGATTTCATCAGGGTTATCCAGCATTTTCAGTCCAAAGTGAAGTCTTTAATTAGTTTATTCTGTCCGACCACGAGTCCAAAACCCAAATACATTCAATTTACTATTATATAAGACAAAGAGAAGCAGTAAATGTGCACATTACAAGAGCTGAAACCAGAAAATGTTTGGCATTTATGCTTAAAAAATTATTTAAACCATCAGTTATTGAAATAGTTGCTGATTGGAGCAACGCCAGAACCATCCATGAACCACAATGTCCTTTGTTCGAGTCCAGAAACCTTCGTTGCATCTCTCTCTCCTTCATTTCCTCTCATCTCTCTACCGTCTATAATATAATAACTTTATCAATTCAACCCACCAATCAATTAATCAACAAATCATGACTACACCATGTCTCATTTAAAAGCTTTTACATCTTACAGCTGCAGTCACACAAGAGACATTCTGGGTCATTCAGAGTGAAACAGCAGTTAATACTTAAAATACAACCCCTTGATGTCCGTGATGAGTCAGCAAACAGTAGAATGCGTTCAGTCCACGTGAAACTAAAAATAAAAGCTCCAGAGACGTCAGATCCTCTACCTTCAGCTCAATCAAACTTTTTGTTTCTCCTTCAAGTCGGAAATCATTCCTGACAGTTCAAACTGAGTTTCAGACACGCGCTGCTCTAAAATAGCCGCAGTCAATAATTAATTAACATGTATGACTTTTAAAATCAATGCCCTTTGCTTCGACTGGCTTCCGATTAAATAAATGAATAAGTAAATAAAACTTGTGTGTAAGGATTCACACTGTAAGGCGTCTGCAGTATGTTTCTGTTTGGCACATTAACACATTATTGAGTGTGTCATCTGCAGTGTTTTGGATGCCTTGCACGGGAGTTTCTGACTTTTTTAACCCCTCAGCATTTATCTACGCCTCCAAAGTGAGATCTAGTCTGCAGAGCAAGCTCACATACGCACAGAAACATGCAGATACACGCAAACATGCAGAGAGCACACAGGTTATCCGCTGGGTCACAAGCACAAGTTTTATCATGAAATCTTACACCAACACCAAGTAAAAACAATCAATTATGAGAGCTAATCAGATAGAATAACGGTACTTCTTCCTGCTTGAAGTGGCAGTAAAATGTCCTTGTGTTGCAGCACTGATTAGGTTTTTTCTCTCAGTTTGAGAAAAGCTACCTACCTGGTAGTGAGGCGAGTAGATGTTACTGGAGTAACCCTGATGCAGAGCAGTTATGTCCATACCTACACAGCTCACCACTGCCCGGATTTCAACCTCTGTTCAACCTGCTAAACAACAGCGCCGTTGTTGCTATGCCAGCGCTCGACCTCTGCATCTACAGCATAACATGCACAGGCTAACACAAGCTGGGCATCAATAAACCATCAGCTCTCATCCCCCGCCGTGCACGGCTGCGAGAGGGAAAGGGAGAGAGTGTCGCCTGAGCAGCCTCTCTCTCACTCACTCTCTCTCTCTCACAGCTGAACACTTTCATTATGTAAGACCGTATAAGCTCCTCCCAGACACCCCCCCCCAGCCTCCCCACCCGTCTTTCTGCTGCTCACAATCTTGTTTCCTCACAGCATATGTACACACACAGTCTAAAGGATTCACCGTTCATTCATGGTGTTCAACATGAATCGCAGCAAATCGAGAGCAAGTCAGCTGCTTTGCTTTACAATCCGAGGTCTGATCAACAGACGATCTAACCGGGGCAGCAACTGATCATTATTTTTATTATCAATTTAATCGTTCTGTCTATAAAATGTTACAATATCTTGAAAAATATTTAATAAATATAATAAATATTCAACTTTTCCAGAGCCCAGTGTGACGTGAGATGGTAAAAGATCCACCAAAAGGTTGCAGGTTCGATCCCCGGCACCAGCAGGAGGGTGTATTCCAGCTTGATCTGGTGAATGAGGGTTGGCTGATATCAAATCAATGATGCCCAATGCCAATGAACCCCACCATTGCTGCACTACAGGCGACCTTGCACTCTTACTTCCCTGAGGTAATGTATATGTGGAGTTATTGGAATTGTTTGAAATAATCCAACGCTGCCACCACTGGAAGTCTACAACTATCATGAAAGAAAGCCAGCAAATAACCACCACTGAGAAACTATTAAAAGCAGTTCAAATAAATAAATAATACAAAACAAAAAGCCAGTGATGGAATGTAACTAAGTACATTACTCAAGTAGTCTTTCAGAGGGAAAGTTTTTCTTTTTACTTGCACATAAAACACAATGAAGAGCTCATAAAATGTGTAACTACCCAACAGTTCACACCAGTACAGCTGAAGATCAGATTAATCAATTAGTTGATCGACAGAAGATTAACTGGCAACTATTCTGATAATCTTTTATTTATTTTATGGTCCCAGCTTCTCAAATGTGCAGATTTGCTGTTTTATTATTGTAATTATTTTAATTTATTTGTAATAATTTTGAAGTTTTAACAAGCATACTGACTTTGAACTCTGGGTAATTAACAGTAAAGTCCTGCTTTTACATAATAATCTAACGATATCATTCATAATAGTACACAGTCAGTACATTTACCTGATTATACCTGTATACCCGCACTTATACTATACTAAAGAGTATTTGTTTACAGAGTGTTATTAGTACTTTTACTGACACAAACAATTCATCGATTATAAAAACTGTGGACCCACCAGATGTGTGGGAGCACAAAGCAACGAGGGGCCAATCTCAAGTCAACCGTTCATTAACTAAAGCAATGTTCTGTCCAGCCACGCATCACACACACACACACACACACACACACACACACACACACACACACACACACACACACACACACACACACACACACACACACACACACACACACACTCTGACATGTGCAGTATTACATCACAACCTACAGTAACATGGCTGAGTGGAGAGAAGAGGCAGCTGTAATACATAATAAATAAATAAAAGCTCTACAACGTGTGTGTGTGTGTGTGTGTGTGTGTGTGTGTGTGTGTTTTCCTCCACAGAGACGAAGTTGCCGCTCTTTCTATTGTAGCTGCAAAAACATTTTTTCATTTTTAATGACGGTCACGTTACACTGATCCCTTCAGTTTCATTAAAACGTGTATATCTGAAGCGTAATGAACAGTGGAAACAGTTTAAATACTGGATGTTATTGTTTGTCCTGCGTGCTTCTGTTTGTCCCGATTAAGAGAGCTTTAAATATTTAGTTGTTAATGCTGCTCTTATATTATAACTATAAACTATAAATAATCAATCTGGAATTAAATTCACTGTGACAGAGCAGAAAAGAGATTTACGTAAACAGCTGTTGTAAAGGAGGAAGTTACTTTGGGTGTGTATTTAATTGTTATTTATAATAACAAAATACTAATATTAAATAAATAATTACCCAATGAGGTAAAACTTTATTCTAACCAGCTTTATTTATCATTTATAAGCAATATAATAAAAGATTTATAACAATAATGTGGTTGTAAGCAGATAGAAGGACATTTCTAAGTGTCTATTATTCCAATTATCTCTAATGAAGCATCTGAAACTGGTTTTTAAACTGTTAATTGATTATTACCAATATTACCCAGCTGAAATAATATAAAACGTCTATATATCTTATTTATTATTAAATATCAGGTATGCACTTTGTATAATTTAATAATGATGTATGTTATGTTTATGAATAAAGTATGTAATATCAATAACTGTTTAAACAGCAGTTTGACAAATAAGTGGTGGAAAGTAACTAAATACTTTTACTCAAGTACTTAAGTACAATTTTGAGGTACTTTACTTGAGTATTTCCATTGTCTGCTACTTTATACTTTATACTTATTACTCTACAACACTTCAGAAGCAAATATTCTACTTTTTACTCCACTACATTTATTTGATACTTTTAGTTACTTTTCAGCTTCAGATTACAAAAACAAAATATAATCAAAAAATAAATTACAATGAATTAAGCTACCCGGCATAATTTAATATTATAATATTTATTATTCTGAAACTGGTCATTCTGCATAATGAGTACTTTTACTTTTTTAAAGTATATTTCGATGTACTTAAAGCTTGTAACAGAGTATTTCTACACTGTGGTATTGCTACTTTACTTAAATGTGCTCACAACTACATTATAGTCTTATAAACATTTATTAAGTGTTAATATACTACTGCCCATAAATACTGAATATTTGTTTTTATTTCAAAATCAACTCTCAAAACTGATTTTCCAAAAACAGGAAAATAAACTATATAGATTCCTCCTTAAGTCACCACCTTAAATCAGCCAGAGTAGCAGGTAGAGTGCTGTAAGTGATATGGTGCCTGTCCTGGGATGATTCAAATAAACACGACAAAACAGAAAGCGTGTTTACATTCGGTCTCTATCTCCCCGCTCTAATCCGCTATCCATTTCCTCTCTCTGCCGTTAAAACCGACCATCTGGAGCTCACAGGCCGTCGGGAGTCAGAGCCATCTCACAGAGTGGAGATGAATGTAGGCGAGCAAGAGGGCACCAGAGAGCCGCAGACTGAAAGAACGGCTGCAGGTGGACCGCAGTTGGAGGAGGAGGAGTGGCATGGATCGAGTATGAGATGATAAAAATATCAAGTTACAGACGGCGGTGAGAGACTGAGAGACTGGAAGGAGAGAATTAAAGAGAGCGAGAGACGGTCCACAGTGTTTCATGCGTGGCTGATTAAATGCGATGAGCGGGGGACTTGCACAGTCACATGCGGTCAGTGTGGGAATCCTGATGTGAATACGTAATAAAAAACCCTGCAGGCTACCAATGCTAAACTTATGTATGTGCATGTGTGAATCCTTCCCACAGGACTGTGTGTGCACGAGGGCTGTAAGTAAGAGAGATACACAGCATTTAAGCATTGCCACAACCAAAAATACAGGAGCAAAAGGAATTGTTTTGACAGTGTTTGTCTGCTTTTAAGCTGCAAACAACCAAACTATTTAATTTCATGAGCCAGTTTCCCTGCTGTGTGGTCCTCTGTGATACTATATCAGAGTTTACAGTAACATAGCGGCTCTGTCCTGCTCTTTACTGGATTTGAGGAAGTTTACACCCCAGGAACTCGATCAGTCCTAATCCTAAAAAAGGTTTTCTCTTTTAAAATTTACCAGTGAAACACACAGAGTATAAATCTAACCTAAGTAACCAAACAGGGTTATGTCAGAACGAAGTTAGAGGAAGTGTCTAATCTCACATTTATCATACTTATAATACAAGTAGAGCTGCAATGATTAATCAATTAGTCGCATTTCAGCAAAAGAAAAAGAAAAGAGACGAGGGCGCAACAAGATTACATAATTAAAAAGAGCATCAGTCGAGCCTCAAGCTGTGAAAAACAACACACAAAAAAGGTTGGAAATATGACATTTCTGTTAGTTTCATGTATTAATGTGAGGAAAGTTACATCAGATCTGTGTGGAGTGATCTTGGATGTATTATAGAGCGATGACGAAACAACTGAACAGCTGATCAGTCATGTGAGTTAAGTTAAGAGAACCAAAGAAGACCAAATAAAACACAGTTTATGAAATAAATGACAACATGGCGACTTCAGTTTATATTTACAGTCTTCTGCTGTAGCTGAATATTACCTTATATATTATCTATTCGGGCCTTTTGCTCACCTGTGTCTCCAGTGTCTTCTTCTCATTGGTCAGCTGTTCAAGCGACAGCGCCGTCCTCTCTGACTTTTCAGCAGCCTGGAAAACATATTGATAATATTTAGCTCGACAGGGCACAAAGATGATTTATTACATAACGAGCTTCAGGGTTCCCACTCTTTTTAATAAATCATTCTCCGGGACATTTTCTTGACATTACAGGACAGCACTTTCTCACAAACGGTGGTCAACCATAGATGGTTAGCGTTTATGGGACACTCCACTTTCCAAACTTACTACAGCTTTCCTCTAACCGTAACAATTCAATCAGTCCAACTGAGCTTCTCCTTTGCATAATAATGTATAAAAACATCATAAAAATCAGTTTCAAGTTAAAGCTCAAGTCGAATCAGCATTCCATAACAGACCGGAGGGATCAGAGGTCAATAAAAACCTTGTCTAAAAAAGGAAAGACGGCTCTTCACTGAGTCAGCCTCAAGCTTGTTCAGCTGCTTCACTTTTAAATCCATTTGTAACGAGCTCCATGAAGCGAGAGCAGTAAGTATGAAAGCTCTGACTTTGGGGAAAGAGAACATAAATTCTCTCTTTGAACTGTAAACTGTAATTCCACTTTACGTTGTTTACCTCTCCGTTTATGCACCTGCTGCTGAGACGTGTGCAAAAAAACCACTGACAACTAGAAGCACGTAATTACTAAATGGGTCTTCCTGTAGCTTGAAACACATCAGTGAATTCGTCTAAAGGTACACAGATGAGGCACATAGGACAAATTACACACTGGACCTTTAATGGAGGTTTCTACAAACTCTTTTTTTCAGCAAATCATGGTCAAAACCCGAAAAGCTTGAATAAAAAAGGAGACCGGTGCGTTGACTTATCAAACCCAAGAGGGAATGAGAGTAATGTGTGCATGTGCGTGTTAGTAATGTTTTAACAACATCAAATTAGCCTGAGGCCACAGTCAGCTCTAGAGTGGGAGAGCGTCATTAAGCCTGAATGAAAGCACACAGGAAAGAGAGAAATTATTTAAAGGAAGGATTATTAAAGGAAAGGCTACTTGAAAGCCTCCAAAACTTTTACTTGTGGCATTTTTTTAGCACTTCCCCACCGGCCCCCCAAACCAGGAAGACCACAAATAATTTGTTGAAATCTGACAGCTAGAAGCAGACTGAGCTATCTTGGTGAGAATCAGTAAATGCCAACGCGCTGATTCATCGTCTACAAACGCGATCCGGACCGTTAGCTGGGAGCTCTGTTCAGTGGCTGCAGGAACATCAGCTCTCAGGCTCTTCTGGAAGCACGACAACACGAAGGCGGTTTCCACGAGGTTAGGATGAAACGTGACGCTGATGTTTTTAAGTGTGCTGCACAAACATCATCCATTGTGTAGTTACACCAGCGGATTACTCGACTACACACTCAGTCTACACTGACAGTGTGCAGGGGTGGAAGAAGCACTCAGATTCTCTTATTTACATTAAAGTACAAATGCAACAATGTGAAAATAGTATATTAAGTAAATGTCTGTACCTAAAGCAGCTCTAATCTATATTTATATAATAACAACAACAATATAAGAGCTGCCACTTGTAGTGATAAACCTACAGAGAATGATATCTATGGAGCTTTATAATGAGGTTCATATCATTGTTTATCTGCTTGGCCACAACTTTACTGTTGTGGTTCACTCTCACTATTCTCATAGCTCTAAAAACTCAGTGTACAATACCTGCTCAGCAGCAAACAGCAGACACACACACAGTTAGAGACTAGCTGGTGAACATAGTGGAGCGTTTATCAGCCAAAGAGCCACATATTTCCCTCAGGAAATACCTCAAATGGCCCCAAAAGTAAGAGTTATTGCAGGTTCAAGTAAAAATGTACTTAAATATCAAAAGTAGAAGGACTCATTCTGCAGTGAAATGTCTCCTGTTATTATGTTGTTATATATTAGATTGATACTGATGCATTTTACTGTTGGAGCTGCTCCAGGTGGAAAGTCCAAAGCCAAAAATGTCAGAATCCACTGGTTTCATCTTTAACAATGTGTTGTGTTTTATAGGCTTATATGTTTTTAATTAGACGCTTTTCTTTCTGCCTTTGTTTCAATAGCACCAACACCTTCATACCTCTCCCCCCTTTCCTCCCCAATCTGTTGGTGAGAACATTTACCAGCACACAGTACGGTAATGTCTAAGACACATACACACAATCACAGCAGCTTGCAGAGCCTCCCCGGGTCTCAAGGGTCACAATGCAGCACCAAACGGCTCACGGATAGAGAGGTCATATTCACCGGGTTCATCTCAGCTGCCTGTCCCAGGGTTCTGATCCGATCCGTTAAGATGTATTAATCAGGGTTCATTACAGGTAGGTGGTCAGGGTTTATCAGACACACCACACAAACTCACTTTTGTGATGCGCTTGGCTGTTCTCACCACAGCTGAAATGTTTGTTATTGTACAATGAACAATAGGCTGCATGTAGATATGAACGTTTACAGTCTGGAAAAAATAGACTGGGTGCTGAAAAGACGCGTCTGGTGTGAACAGCTTTTCCTACCTACAGTTTCGAACAAAATACACACCCTATGTAGGTGATAACATAAATTGTTTCCAGCATTTTGGGGAATTTTAGTCAAATTCCAGGTGTTTCCATGACGAGGAAAACTAGTCTCTAAAGTTAAAAGGTTTTCCAGGTTTTCCAGGATGTGTGGTATCTCCGATTAATACGTTAAAACACCAAAGTCAAACAAACAAAGTAATCAAGGCAGCGACAGAGCAGCAGCTCTGATATTCTCTCTTTATAATTTTAGTGTCCTTAAAATACAGGGTGACAATCAACAGGTCTGCCATGAGTTGTGATTACGTCGCTTTCTCGTTGTTTGTACAGTGACACAAACAACGGTTTAAAAAAATATAGTGACGTGCAAATTAATTGCCCGAAACTCCCCCAATGTGTAAAGTAACTTCATCAGTCAGTCAGATAAATGTAGTGGACTAAAAGGTATAAAGTCACATAAAATGGAAGTGAAGTACCTGAAAATTGCACTTAAGTACAGTTCTTGAGTAAATACATTCAGTTATCTTCAACCACTGACTGCATGTGTGATCTTACCTGTATCAGCTCTTTCTCTCTGCACTGACTCTCCTCTTTCAGGGTCTGGTTGTCTTTCTTAGACTGCTCCACACTCTGCTCCAATTCTGAAAACAGATCATCAGCTGTCACAATCAACTTGACACAGAGATAAAATAAACGGTCGAGAAACATCTGATATGTTTACCTTGCATGGTCTTTGCCGTCCTTGTGTTCTCCTCCTCAGCTATCTCAAGCTTTTGTCTCTGAAATGCAGAAACATCAGCTTGACTACGAGCTAATCACTTACATAGCAACATTCTTGTACCTTGAGCTAACCAGAGAAGAATGACTGGATGCAGAAAACATGCAAGGTTTGTGGATGAAATGCTTCTCTTAATGAGGCCACTTTCACGATGCCCACGAGCAAAACACGTCACGGTGAAACAATATCTAAAGCTGCAGATCGGACTCTCACAGACATTATTCCTACTTTATTACAGAAATGTGCTGTCAATTTTACACAAAGAAACCCAGCAAGTCTCTTTTCTTTAGAAGTTATGACGGCATTATTACTCAGTCAGACCTAATAACATTTCTGTTGCACTTGCAGAGATGAAACAATTAGTGGATTCGTTGATTTGTTGATCAACAGAACACTTATGGATTTGATTTTAAGCAAAAATACAAAAAAATCCACAAGTTTCTCAAATATAACATTTATTATATAATTTTGTGTCTACGTCTCTTAATTGGATGATCAACTGGTGAGGATGAGACACGCAGCTTTTCTTTTGACTCTGACGAAGATACACTTGCATTAATCAGCTTGCTTTTGTCCTTTTTTTATTCTGAAGTTTCCCTTTTTCTAAAAAAAAAAAAAGCACCTGATTCAGCTGCACATTGCTGGTAGATGTGGAGAGAATCTCTTTTCACATGCAGTTGTATAAAAGTGCATATTTAAAGACCCCCTTTTACAAGATGCTGCAAACATTAAAATGTCAGCTGCTGACAGCGTTTTCAACCAACTCATGGAGTTAATGTTAGCTTCATCAGCTAACCTGCTAGAGCTCGGAGAAAATATGCAAGCAACAGTTGTCGATGGTTACTTCTGTGAAATCAAACACCCACTGACAGAAAAATTACAATGAATTTTGAAAATCACATGTTTTTTTGGAAATAAGACTTCAGGAAAACTGGAACAACAAATACTAGGATATAAGGTCCCTTAGTAGCTGTTAAGTTATCTCTACTAGTTTCTCTGAAGCGACAGATGTTAGGTTAAAATACTGTTAGTAGCAAGAAAAAAACCTATTATAGACACATATCTTGAGACTATAAGAAGGACAACTGGAAGAGAAACGGCAAATAAATCCATCAATAGCACGGCATGAATGAAGGAAATAACTGAACTTTTTAGTTAGTGATTGTTAAATATGGAAAATTAGACTTTAAAATTCAACACAGTAAGATTGCTGTCATGACTTTTACATAAAAGTGACCTGGGCACACCCTCAATTCATGACTTTATAAGACAGAGATACTTCATCCTCTCTCTGAATGTCCCATAACTGTATCTCTTCTCTCTTTGTGTTACTGTGATTATTATGTATTATGAGGTTTTTCCACTTTCTTACCAGGCCGGTTAGCTGCTCTTCCAGAGAGCTCTTATCTTGCTGCACGGACTGAAGCTCTTTCTGTTTGCTCTCCAAGTCGACACTCAGCTCACTGATCTGTTGGGGACACACAGTATTGAACATACAGAACACACATGTACATCTGAGCAGAGTCATAAATTACACACAATCACAGTAGCTTTAACAAACTGCACACAAAAAGGACGTATGTCTATTTACATTAGGGGCTAAATGGAGGGTTGTAAATAGGAATTACGCCAATTCTCAAAGATCACATCATGGCATAAATTATATGATAATAATAATGATGAATAATCAATTTTACAAGCAGAGAGAATCATGTAACTGCTGCCCAGGCTTCACTGAACAAAACACCAGCGCTGGGAATTCTCCAACGCTTTCCACAAACCTTTTTCTCCTGAGACTGCGCCTGGGCCTTGAGGCTGCTGATCTGTTGCTGGGACAGAGACACCGCATCCTCCTTCTGCTGGGACGCCCGGAGCCTGAGCTGGAGGTCTGCCACCTCCCTCTCCAGCTCCATGATCCTGGAGCGCTCAGACACCGTGGCCACCTACAGCAGAACGTGTAGAGAGGAGGCATGAAGGCAAACGGGGGAGGCAGGAGAGCTGACAGAGGAGAGCAGTAGTGGAAACAGTGGGTTGTACACTGTGAACCAAACGGGAGCAACTGCTTTATCCTGATTATATCTGAGATCTTTAGAATTAATAAAGTTTTCAACCACAGTGTATATAGTTTGATTTATATATACAAGTAAAATATTAGAAAACATTCTTTCTTTCGTCTAACCATTAATCCAAAAGTAAAAGATATTTAATATAATAGAGAAAAGCATCAAATTCTCAACATAATTAATTAATTAACTAATATTATTATATTATAGTTTCCTTCTTTCTATATTATAATAAAACAATTTCTCTGATTCCTTCACATTTCATAAAATATAAAAAACTAAAAAGGACACCACTGTAACCCAACCTCTGTTTGAGTTTCTGCCAAAGTTTGACAGTATTTACTACAGAATAAAACCTTCAGTAACATCCTCAGTTTCTGTCTTGGAGGACATTTTTTTTTTAAAACCTTGACATTAAAAATGTTCTTGTGGATGTTTAAGACTTGTATATTGGCCTGTAAACCTATAAAACCTCTCATCTAAAACAGGCTTAAACAAACTGCACTTATTTTGAATGGATGCAACTGATTCATCGGGAGGAAAATCACCTCCACAGAAGAACCTGAGCACCGTTTCAACCACCAACAGGGACTCTTGTATAAGTTTCACTGTCTTTCTCCGGGACACTTTGACTCATCAAACAGGTCAAAGTTTGGACCTTCTGGTTAAAGGATAAAGGATGGCAGTGTTTTACATTTTTCTTATTGTCAAGAAATCCCATGAAAAGACAAAGACCAGCAGTGAACGGCAAGTGTTACAGTCGGGAGCTGAGTCGGTAAGCAAGCACAAAAGTCTAAATAGTTACATAAAAGTAATGGATGAATGTTAAAATAGCTAAAACTAACAGATACATGGTTTCTATTCTGATGACTACTGACTAACTCACATAATTTATAGATATATTATATACATATTATATTATATTATATTATGTTTAAAAAAAACATGAAGAACAACTGATAAACTGAACAATGAATCCAAACAGTGAACACAACAACTGCCGGAAGTTTGTGTTAAACAAACAGATTATTTCTTGTGAATATTGCATCAAAAATGAGTTTTCCTGATATTTTTTAGGAACTTTTGATAAAATTTTCTGTCTGTGTTTTCATTGTTTTCTTCTTATTGTTCTATTAACTCCTTGATTGTACTTTTCTAATGTAGGAGGCTGGCGAGGAAGGCTCTTCACTATGCCCTTATGCTATTCATATCTTAAATAATAAAGCTTTGGTACCCCTATTAAAAATTTAATAAATGACTGAGCCTCTTTTAAAAATTAAACTACATATTTATAAGCTATTTTTAAAGTTTTAACATCTTCAGAAGGAACCAACGGGTTTTGAGCTGAGTGCAACAGATGGGCCAGAGAAGAAGAGGAAAGTATTAAAAGATGGGACTAAACAACATTGTTGGTTTTGGCCTTTTCATGGGATTTGCTGAAGAAGAAAAATGAGAGCCGGCATCGTCAAAAGCACAGGCATTTCCAAACTCTATCATTTAAAAAAAAAACCTTCATGCACACATGCACAACTCTCAGTATGATATACCTGAGTTATTAGAGCAGCTCAAGGCCGATGAGATGTTAATGTCCCCATGCCAGGGCTAATCATCGACTAGGCCGCGAGAGAAGCAACTTCAAATCTGACAATTTGCATAAAGTTTGCACGCCGAGGTTCCTTCGATATATTCTGTGCATCATTATTAAACCTAGATGGGGGGGGAAGCGTATCACTCAGTCCTGCTGTGGGACTGGGACTGCCAGCATTTACCCTAGTGTCCTCTAAATCCCTCTGGAGTTTTTCAGCTTTGGTCTTTTCAAAGAGCAGGCTCTGCTCAAGCTCCTTTATGTGGGCATGCTCCAGTCTGGTCTGCGTCTGTTAGTAAGAGAGAGCAGGAAGAGGAGAAGGAGAACAAATACCAATGCAACACTGACATGCCAGCTTTGTGCCACGAACAGAGAGAAGACAAGACTTTAAAGAGAAGGCCAGTAAGTAAGGAAAAGCACTGATGGTTTCCAGCATTTCAATTACACATCAGTTGGTCGTGAACAAAGGAAGAGATTGTTATTCGCTCATTCTGCTCTGAGGAATATCAGGAGTTAATTATTTCAATCATCTCATTCTGACTCTCTATATAAAGTATCCTTGGATACTTTCACATTTCCTCTATTGGCTTGTTTGTCGTACTTGAAGGAGACTAATTCAGACAGTGATTCCTCTGAAGGGCGAAGAAGATGCAGACAAGAGAGGAGGATGAAAGCGTACGAGAAGACTGAAGGCGAGGCGAGACAAAAAACAGCTTTCAAGAACAGGCACGTGGATGAAAAGATGACGAGAGGATGGTAATTCAAAGTGCTGCAGATGGGTGGAAAAATCTGAGTGGAAAGGGGGTGAGTGAATTAAGAGATGGATGAATAAATAAAAGGAGCAGGAAGAAAGACGTGTCTGAACAAGAGAGCGAATGAATGATTCAAGGAGTGCAGGAAAAGGGAAAACCTTAAACAGAATGATTTATTTAATCATCAGCTCTTGTTTTTAATGGAAAACATAAAGCAGTAAATTAAAAGTTAGTGGCCAATTTTAAGGTTCCTTCATGTGGTAAAGCAAGTAAAAGGAGATCAAACTCATTAGAAGTTCATTATATACTCATATACGGGAGAGCTTCAGGTTATTTTGACTGGTTTTAATAAGAACTAAGTAAGTGTGGAAAGGTCAAATAAGTTAACTGTCCACCTGGTTTGTCAATAATTCACACATTAAATCAGCCTGACAGGTGGGAGATTTAAAGCTCGAGTGAGGGATAGAATATGTTTAATGCAGAATCAGATTATATAACCTAATATTACCTCCAGGTCTCCTTTGGTGATGCATGCTTCTTCCACACGAAACTGCAGGTCTTCCACTTTTCTGTCAAACAGGAACAATAACAACATTTCCTCACAATGACAGTGACCCATAACCAACAGTTTCACACCTGTTGTCCACCGCTCTCGCCACCTAACGGAAATCCATAAACAGTTTCATGTGCAGGCCGCAGGTGAAGTCAGACCACCCACCTCTTCTCCTCCTCCAGCTGGTTGAGCAGCTCCACTTTGTCCCGATCTGCTGCCTCCACCAGCGAACGCAGCTGGTCCAACTTTGCTTCCATCTCCACCGCGTACTATAAGAATGAATGACACCCAGCATGAGCACACTTGGTGAATGCACACACTAAGCTCCAATGTCAGACGTTAAGACCACGCTCTGTTCCGCTATTCATGGTATCTTTAAAATGTTGTTGGGAATTTATTTAAAAGTTCTAGATTTATTCAACTGACCATGAAGGTCACCTAAATATATACTGTATACTCGACAGTGGAAAGATTAACCAGGACCGTTTTGGTGAGTTTTACTTTGTAACGTCCACTTTGAATGAAGTTACGATGTTACGATGATCTGTGAGGTAAAATTTAAGTTTTTGTCAGTGGAGTCTGGTGGTGACTGATAGCGATAAACAGGCTGTTTCTGCTTTAACAAAAAGGATCTTACTCTTTACAAAAATGGTCTATCTCTAAGATTTAAGCCTAAAATTTGATTGTCAGTTCTAGATATATTTGTGAAGTCCAAAACTAGATAAAACCTTTGACATAATAAAAAAATCCCAATTCTTTAAAAGGTGCATTAAGTAACATTGTCATATTGTGACAATCACATAAGTCATGTTTACTCGCCAATTTACAAATTAACATCCAATATTCAGGTTTTGTTGTGTTGAACAAACATAAAAACTCACAAATAAAAAAGGGGAAATTTGAAGTATCTCATAAAAGCTTTTGGTATTACAAACAACAAGGTGAAGGATTTTTTTGCTGTGTTCTTGTTTGACTACACACATCCATGTGTGCGTGTATCTGACCTGATCCCGTCCTTTCCTCAGCAGAGTCAGCTCCTGCTGCACCTCTCCTGCGTGGCTGGTCGCCTTTGCAACCTCACATCTCTCCAGGTCTCTCTCTGCGAGCAGCTGTTCGATGTGCTGCTGCTTCTCCTTCAGAGCCTCCTGCAGCGCCGTGGTGCCAGAAATCTTCCGGGCGTACCGAGCAGACGTCTCCGTGAGCTGCAAGGACACAGCGATAGATACATTCATGCATTTAACAGTTTGTTTGTTGTCGGACTCTCCAGACTGAATTACGACCAGTGTTTAAACTGTATCAGAGGTGCTTCAGGTCTGGGGGTGGCAAAATATGAAACAACATAATAATAAGGTTAAGATGCCAGAAAAACAATAAAATCTGATTTAACATGAGTCTCTCTCTCTCCATATTGAATCACAATATTACCTGCTAGAATAATTTCATTCAAAACAAGTCAATATGCTTAGATACACACAAATCCACAAGCAAAACGAGGCCCCAGTGTGCAACCCAGTCTCCTAGAAGTGATGTTTATATACTACTGATTTGTTTTACCTAATAGAGGGAAATATAACTGCTACCTGTGTTCAGTTCAGTGGAAAGATGTTTTTGTACACAAGTCGTAGGGACGGGTGGAGGGGCTGGGGTTAAAACCCTGAGTCCTGCGTGTGGTCAGGGATAGATTGTGGTTTCAGCTGGCTGATGGGAATGTCAAGTATTTGGTAAGAATTGGTTAATGTTAATGTTTTGACTGGATGATGACACTAGATGGAAAGTCAGAGAATCACCAAAGTCTTTACAATTCATCCAGAGGGGCACATGAATTATTAGCTAATTTCACAGCAATCCATCAAATAGTTTTTGAGACATTTCACTCTAAATACTCTAAATATGAACCTTGTGGTGCCACTAGAGGAAAACTCAGGGGATCACCAAAGTCAGTGGGATTCATTGTCTGGGAATCATGAATGTCTGTACAAACTTTTACAGGAATCTGTCCAGTAGATGCTGAGATATTCCACTTTGACCTGCTGGTGGCACTAGATAAAAAGTCATAGTCCCACAAGATATCACAGTATAACGGTATTACACAATTATTATTACTTTGATCGAACAAACACTTTATTATAATTTCACAAAATATTAAGTCCTTTATTTTTTTCAGTAACACTGATTCAATACTGTAGATAAGTAAATTGATAACCATCAATTTTCATACCATGGTTTCAGTATACCGCTGCAGCCCTCGGTGCTACAAGCTTGTGTTGTATTGATAAAAGCAAAAACTAATGAAATACTTCAGGTTGCCATTGACACTTTTACAGATATGCTCAGTTTGAACATTTTGTGACCTAACAATTAAGTTTATTCAAAATGTTTCCTTATCGTGTTGAAAAAAATGTTGATCATTCAGGTAGTATTACGTTTCTCTCAGAACGTACTTGCTGTTGCAAATTACTAGTAGATAAAGATAATTTCTAGGAGACAGAGCTGCAATGTGCCATGTAGTCGTACGGTCAGCAGACAGCTGGTCAAAACTGTCGGTTAAAGAACTTCTATATATAAATATATATATATAAATAACCCAAATACTCAAAACTTGAAGACGAGTTTTCAACCTACGAAGAGACAACTTCAGCTATGACTAAGAGGAAGGTTTAGAGTTGTAGCAGTGTGAGTCTTACCAGTCCTGCTCGGCTTGGTTTGCCGCTGATTGAAGAGGTTGCGGAGCTGAGCGAGCTGATGGAGGAAGCGCTCGGGCTCCTCTTGAGAGTGGACCTCCTCCGTGAGCTCTTGGCCTTGGTAGGCGTGGTGCACGGGAAGCCAATACGCGTCACCTTGTGGACCGGAGCAAACAGACCATACCTGGGCAAGCACTGAAAGTATCTGAGAGGGAAAAAAAGAAAGACGTTGCTTGTATGGTCGTATTACAACAGATAGTTAATAATGGTCCTTTGTCGGTGATCTTTACCTGGTCCCTGCTACAGCTCCATCATTCTTGCCGAGTGGTTCATCCAGTTCCACTCCGCACCAGTCTCCTTTGGCAAAGTCAGTCTCTCCCAGAAACCGCACCACTCCTGCCTTTGTACCGCCAACCTACAAACACACACACACAAAAAGAAACAAGAAGCAAGTTTGATTTACAAGCGTTTCTTTGTTTCTCTATTACAATTAAAGTTAACGCTCTGTACATACGGTGTCCAATGGCGGGTTGAATTACCCACTCATCCAATATTTACTGATGAACAGTTAACACCCCGGGGGCAGTTAGGAGTAAGCATATACTTCACTTAAGTGGAGGAGAGTTTGGAAAAACATCACAAGAGGGCACATTTATAATTATGTTAACAGAACATCTTCTCTTCCTCAGAGTTTATGCCAGATTAAGTTGTTGACATCTCCGCATTGTAAACGATTGCAGGGTTTTTGTCTTTAAATGTATTCTGTTTGCTCGTGTCTGCTGAGTTAATAAATAACATTCAAGACTCATTTATGTCATAATCTGTTCCCCGACTGCAGCTGGCCTCATCAACAAGCAGGGACTCTTCTCATAAACACTACAGTTGACTATGTGCACACTCCATCCTCCTTTTCATTTAAAAACAGATATATTTTACATATTTTTTATTATAAATATCTATTTTATATTCAGGATTCTTGACATGCACTACTCATTTATTTTTAATTTCTATTAGTATGTTTATTGTGACCGTTTTGCATCAGTATACCACGTCTGTTTAAAAACCTACTTCAACAAAAAAAAAAAAAAAGCTGATTTTTATATTCACCAATTTACCTCAAATGTAGAATTTTGCATTAGACCATGATGTCTGCTGATGTCTGCTGATATTCAACAGCAAGACTTCCAGCTTCAGCTCTTCTTTTTCCTCGCATAATAAACAGTGTGACTGAAACTGAACAGGTAACCTCGCACAGCAAATGATTACGCTAATGTTTAAATCTCACTAACTCATCTCACTCAGTCCTGAACAAGCAATTTGTGAGTGGATCTGACTCGGAACGGGAGAGGTTCAAGATTTGAATACAAAAACAACTTATTAGTAAATATTCTGCTCTAAAGCAAACTGCTGTGTCGGGTTCAAACACCAAACTTCTCACCAGCACTCGGTCTCCCAGCCTCAGCTCCCTCTTGGTCTTCTTCATGGATTCGGTGTCTGAGAGGTTCGACACGGACTCGCTGGAGGTGAGCATTCGGTTGAGTGCCGTCTTTATGCCGGTGCCCTGAGCTGAACAAAGAAAACCTTTATTTGGTATTCTGATGTGAAATCCAGCTGTTGTTCTGTACTTTCACTGATAAATGTGTTACCAGTTGAGGTAGCAGCAGGCACAGACTCGGTCGCCGCAGTGGTTCCTGGAGCTGGACTGGCCCCCGGTGCTGGACTGGCCCCCGGTGCTGGACTGGCCCCCGGTGCTGGACTGGCCCCCGGTGCTGGACTGACCCCCGGTGCTGGACTGACCCCCGGTGCTGGACTGACCCCCGGTGCTGGACTGGCCTGCCTCCCATTCGCCTCCTTCTCCGGCAGCGCAGTCTTGGAGAGCTTCGAAGGCCGTGTGAAAATCCCCCTCCCATCCTCGCACTGGAAGTACCGGACCCCCGCCACGGACCCGTCGTTCTTCCCGATCGGCTCATCCAGCACGATCCCCGCCCACTGCCCGGGAGCGAACTGCGTGCCCCCGATGAACTGCACGTAGCCGGGCTTGTTGCCGTTGACCCAGACCCTCTCGCCGATCTGAAAGTCCACACTTCCCTCCTGGGTCGGGAGGTCACGCTGGCCGGGGGGCTTCTCAGGGGGAACGGGCTTTGGAGTACCTGCAATCACAATTATACCTCTGTTCATTAAAGACCAACTACATAGCAACAGGTTTGTAGATTTTTATACATCATCCCTTTTTATACCTTTAACAAAATAAACTAAACTTTTCAAATGCTTTGACAGCTGTGCATCAGCGGTTTGATGACTAAAAAAAAATTATAAATACAGCTCAAATTGTTTAGTGAAATGATTATTTAAGATCAAAGAATAAGTAAATAAGACTAATAATGTGACCCAGTGAAGAAAACGTCTAATACTTGACATAATTTTTAGATACTTAGTGCTAAAGTTTACTCAAAAACTACTGAGCGTTGAACAGAACTCCCAACATGGCCTCTCTTTTTTAAAGTGTCTTTATGTTCATAAATATTGATAAACCATATAACAATTAGCTAAAGAGTGATATGTATACTTATACAGTTACAGGTTTAATCTCTTAAAGCAAGAACTGTTTTTGTTTCGGGTAGTTAGAGGTCCATGTGTCGTAGATTTCAACAGGGCAGTTGGTTGCTGATTAAAGGACTTTGTAATCAGATTGACACCCTGCTGTGGTTTCAAACGGCCTAAATAATTACAAACAGCACAACATACTGTCTTGTGTTCAGAGCTGCTCTCTTTCATTAGAGGTTCATTTTTTACACACAAATGTTCTATTGTATTTTCCTGTTCAGGACTAATTGTTGTATGTATGTATGTATGTGTGTGTCTCTACTTTTAAAATCAATATCATACAGTAAATGATTTCCTTCATTTCTTACCAGAAGTTGGAGACGTCTTTGATGGCGCCACAGATGGACGGACTATTTTACTGGGGGGTTTGAGCCCGCTGACCTTGCCTGTAGTACTCATGGTTCCGTGTGTGTCAGCGGGTAGGTAGGGGGGACCTGGCCTGATCAAGGTGGGGGACTAGGCCTTCCCCACCACCCTACAAAGTCCCAATGCGATGGGAGGAAGCTGGAAAACCAAAGAAAATGCCCCCCGAATCAATCGAATATAGTACGCAGATATTAGAGCTGTGGGAACGTGAAGGGGACAGACACAGGAACAATATCAGGGACATTTTTAAGCACAAACTCAAATAAATAAACCTTCTACCTTCTAGCTGATTATTTTCTCAATTCATTTAATGATTTATTTATGTCTCTAAAATGTCAGAAAATGATGAAAAATGGCCATTTTAGTTTCCTAAAGGCCATGGCGATGTCTTCAGATATCTGTGGTGTCCAAAACTGAGAATTTTATGGCTCTTTGGCTCAAAAAAATAAACAGTTTCTGTTTTATTTTGTGTCTACCAACCATCTGACTAATAAAAACTACTTTTATTAAATGTTGTTCCACTGGAGTCCACCCATAACTACAGCTCTGTGAGAGCTGTTAAGTGACTCAACCCTGTGTGTAATTAAATCCTCCTACTGTATGTGACAACCCACCGTTCATCACCAGCTGTTTATTATCACTCGTGCAATAAATGTAATGTCCGGCTGAACCTTACGTCACGTGCAAAAGTCTCTACTGTGTAAGGCAGAGTCTCTGCCACGAAGTCAAATGCCTTTGCTCTTTTGTAGGTGTTGGCCCTGGCGGTCTGACCCTGTTCCCACTCTATTCATAAAACAGATGATTCACTCTGAGTGCTGCTGGGTCAAGACACACATTATGTTTCACACAGTAGAGCCTGTGTTTCAAACACACCCTACACTTAAAGGTCCAGTGTGTCACATTCAGGAGGATCTGTTGGCAGAAATGTAGTAATATATTCATAGGTGTGTTTTATTTAGTGTATAATCACCTGAAAATAAGCACTGTTGTGTTTTTGTTACCTTATAATGAGACGTTTTTATCTACAGAAGGAGCTCTTCTACGCAGTATGCCATGTTTCTACAGTAGCCCAGAATAGTTTTTCAGCCACTGTAACTTCTCCTTCATGCAACTACTGGTAAGAGTGCTCCATTGATCTGGCATCCAATAACTATGGACAGTTTTTAAAAAAGGATCAAAGTCGACGCAGTAGATATCGTCTTTTTTTATTCCTCGTTAAAAACCTACAAAGCAACCCGACTGCGGACACAGAAACTAGAATATTATGTTAGTAACAGCTAATGAGGAGCAGGCTACAGAGGTCTGATAAGGTCACTTCTTTCTAACTCCTCAACCCTTCAAACTTGAAGACTTCAGTCCCAACTAACACTGACTCAAAGGACACATCACCATGCTGTGTTTAAACCCATAAAAGGCTTTATACAGCTCGTATTCACATGTGCAGCCGTACTTTAATATATAAAATCATAAAGGTTCCCTGTTTAAGTTACAGTATAGTTTACAGTATCACTCCCCAGGTAACTGCCCCGTCCAAACCCTGCATGTAAACGATCCATCAGTTGGTTTGTAGTCATTTGATTATTTGCATTTGTTTAGAGACTATTTATCACTAAAGCACATTATCAACTGAAACAATAAGGGCCTTTATGTGGATTTTTTTGACTTGTATAATTTGTGTTTAACCAAATTATCACTAAGAGTGGATCAATAGTGGTCTATATATATATATATATCTATATATATATTGTTTGTGCCTCTACATTTTGAGTCACAGCTCATCTTATGAACAAATAAATACCTGACATGTTTGAAAAACCAAGACGGTTGTTTAACAGGAAGAAAAACTATTCAGTCATAAAGCAGAATTTATTAAAAACAAAGACTTTTAACCCGTTTTTCAAGTTGAAACTCTGCTTTATATCCAGGTAGCTGGAAATTACCGGTCAATATCTTTGCTCATTTAGCATGTTATTCATTGTGTATCATCAATAAAGGGAAATATAACTGATACTAACTGAAACTCTTTAATTACGGTGCGTGTTGTTGCAGAGACAAAGTGTTGTTCAGTGACTTTCTGGGTCACAGAGAAACACTGACACCAAACTAGATCTGTGAACTCAAATGAAATAAATTTGAGAGGATTTTTTTTAAATTTATTTTTATGTTTTAAGGTTAATATTCTTCCAAACTTCCAAAAACAGGTGATAAACACACATTTGACCACCTACAACCCACTGAGGGACCCCAATTGGCCCCCCAGCCCTAACAGGTAAATAACAGCTACAGTGTCCCTAAAACTGGAGCTGATACCAGATTACAAACCAATAAAAACACTCATTATAAACACTCATTATATAACTAATAACTCATTATAAACACCTGCAATCACCAGGTAAGAGGAGAAGCATTACCTCAGCGCTGCTCCCTCCGCCCCACCGGTGCTGCCAGACCACAACAACAAGCACACCTAGAGCTGTCAACCCTCAGACCACCACTGTCTCATCGTTTGAGGCTTCACACAGCTTTACCCACACAAGTATAAACCACAATAAGCCCGTTGAACTAGTTGTTTCTCCCTTTGTGGGAGTTTCTTCGGTCTCCGGCTCCCAACTGCCGAAGCGCGAGCTAACGGTTAGCTCGCGAGAGAGCGTAATTAAACGTACAGACAACTCAACGGCCCTGAATGAGAGGACGTTAAAGTGAAATAAAAAAAAGCACACAGGTGTTCGGAAAGAGTTTCTGTGGACGCTTACTTTGTCTCCGGTGCTGAACCGGGTCTCAGTGAGGGATGCTGTGGGTAGGTAGCAGCGTACCGTCGCACCGTTACATGTTTCTGTTTCTGGGGGTGGTGTGTTTTTTTTTTTTCCAGCCCCAGCCCGACGCGATGACGTCACCTCGGGAACTAACGCTGCGTTCACGGAACCGAACGTAAAGCTCGTACATCCGAGCACCACACGCGTGTGTGTGTGTGTAACAATGCAACGCGAGTTCACACAAGAACAAGAACACACAGGACAGTTGATGTGTAATTTGTTGTGGTTATCTTACTGTTTCATTTATTCATTTAAAATAACATTTAATGCACTCAGAATGACAACAACAAAAAAAATAAATATATATATATATATACACAGTATCACACATTATTAAAGTAACGTGATTACTTTCTGTTACCTTTTGGATTAACTCTACACCAAATATGCAAAGGATGATGTAAACTTTGGAAAGAAAATAGAGAAAATGTAAAGATTTTTTTGCATAAAAATATGAGTGTAATTTGATTGTAACAAAAAAAATTGTATCCTGATTACGTAGCTCACTAACATGTAATCCATTACTCCCAAAGTCTAACAAACAGGAGGAAGAATGGCTCCAAAGTTATGTGTAATTTATGATGATTATCTTAATGTTTAATTTATTTATTGGAAACAAAAGACTCGGGATTTGAAATGTGCACAAATATATGCACACAGAAAAAAACACCTCACTCTTACAGTGTTAACAGAAACTACCTGCACACTCTCTACCCCCCTATCCCTCCTACCTCCCTACCCTCCTACCCTCCTACCCCCGGGTATGACAGGAAACGTCAGACACTTTGCACTTTGTGTGGTTTGTGAGTTGGCTGAACGTTTACTGACCGCACTGCAGTCGCCCCAAACTTCCCTCTCGCTGTCAAACTGATTTGTACTGTAAATATTAGTTCACTAAGTGAGCAGAATACCCGTGTATGCTGTACACAGTGGATGTGATTGACAATTCAAAGCATTATATTAAGTGATAAACACACATTACATCACTTATTACCTTTAAAAGGATCAGCAGTGCATATTAGACCAGGTCGTCTTGCAATAGAAGAATATTTGATTGTTAAAGACTCATAATAATATTAAACACTGCACACAAGAGTTGTACTTATACAAGTACAGAGCTCTAAGCTCCTAATTTTAACCATCTTAGGTGGGTCATTTTGTTCACAATCACAGCCAAACCTCTACATTTTAATAGTTATACTCTAAGATAATAGAAGTTGTATCAGTAGCCAAGACTTTACCTTTAATGTAACAATTTAAAATTAAGGATATCCCTCTGATAGGAAGGATTTATGCCTTTTTATCAACGGTGGAGATTTCTTTGTCAGATGGATCTGTCTGATCTGTGTCTTCCTCCTTCCTTCCCAGCAGCTTATTCAGGACCTTGTTGAAGGTGCCACTGAAGACGGGGCTCGAGAAATAATACACCACGGGGTTGAGGACACTGTTGAAGTAGGTGAAACACACCGACGTGTAGAACGCCAAGTTGGCCTCTTCGAAGTAGCTGCATTCATCATACCACGCCTTCAGGACCCAGACGGCTATGCGCGATATGGTGCTGGGAAAGAAGCAGGTAATAAAGATCAAAGCCACGGCCATCACAAACTGAACGGCGCGTTTGATTTTCCCCTTTTTGTCCAGAGTCCTGCCCCTCAGCTGCCACGTTATTCTGAAGGTGCAGAAAGCGACGATTATGGTGGGCAAGAAAAACTGGATGACGTAGAAAGTGTTGTGCCAGGTGGAGAGGGGACTGAAGCCCATGCAGATGTTGAAACTCTCGCACTGCGTACGGTTGCTATTGTAGAAGAAGTGCTCGTTGGCGAGAAGATACCCAGTTGCGAGAAAAATCAGACCCCAGAGGCCGAGGGAGACCAAGAGAGCGTAGCCCAGGCCCATTTGGTTGATCTTGTTCCGAGGGTGGACGATCTTCAGGTAACGGTCGACAGCCACGGCCGTGAGGAAGAAGATCCCCGCCGCACGGTTGGCAGCCAGCAGGAAGAGCAGGATGCGACACAGGACATCGCCGTGGAGCCAGTTCTTCCCACGCCTGTAGTAGTCAGCCCTGAAAGGTAGGCAGAACAGCACAATGGAGTCCGCAACGGCCAGGTGAGTCAGGTACACGGAGTTGGGCTTCCACGTGTCCATGTAAAAGATGAACATCCACAGGGCGAAAACATTCCCAGACAGTCCAAGTATGAACTCCAAGAACAGGATCGGAGGCAAAACCTGGTCCAGGATGGGCGCCTCGAAGGCGCAGCACTTATCGGACTGAGTGAGATTCATCCTTTGACCCGTCAAGTGATGCAAAACAACCAGCCTGCTGCTCTATATAGTGTCAACATAGATATGCTGTACCATGTGACTTCTTTAGTAGGGAATCATTGTTTGCGCTCATGCAAACGACTCTCAGACAAACATGCCAATTCCTAAGTGACGCGAACATCTGGCACCGTGTGTTATCTTTGGGGAAAGTGGTATTGACCCAGAGGAGCAAGGAAACAACTGTAAATGTTATCCGTCTGGGGAGTGCACCCTCATTATAAAACTATTATGCAGGGGAATAGGTTGACTCACGGGGATTGAGTAGGATGCATGAAAAACAAGTAACCTGCGGCCATTTAAAGTGACCACCACAAATCGTAACCCTTTTTTAATATGTTAAAAAAAAAAAAAAAAAGACACATAGCTGTTGAACATAAAGAAAAACAAACTTGGAAAGAAGACGTGAGTGTAGAGGCGAGGGGGAGACTGAAATTTATTAGCCTACAGTTTGCTTGAGTGAAGAACATTTGGGGAGGGATTCACGTCATACCACACCTTTGGCAAACGAGAGAAAGCAGCTATTAACTAAAGAAAAAACAAAAAAACAAAACAAAAGAAGAAGCCAAGTGAGTGGCAGAGTCCGCAGCTTTTTATGAACAGTAAATAAAATAGGTATAAAATGACTTAATGTGTACATTTGGCCAAGTTGTCGCTGTTACAGGTCACATCCATTTCAGTAAAAGTGCATATTTGGTCTTCACTTCTTGACTTCACCCAGATCGTCGATGCTGTCATCGTCCACCTGCAACAGGAGACAAACAGAGACTCAACTCAGCGACAGAGTCAGGGTTCCCCGCTCTTTAAGAAATCACTTTCCAGGAGTTTTTATGGATAACTTTTGCTCCCAAACAGTCAAATAATTTACTGGGAAGCCTAGTATTGACTTCTTTTTTAACGCTGCAGGGTTTATGATCATGTGTCTCAGGGTTATTACAGGTAGGTAGCCGGCGTTTCACGTGGGACCACGGCACATTTTTCTGCCGTGGTCTCTGGCGATTTGAATACGATTTACAACAGTTTCCTCTGACCTTAACATTACAGCCAAAGGTCAGAGGTTCAAAACCAGTAGAATTTATTCAAATCAAGTGGAATTTATTTTGTTTTACAAAATATTCGTGGGAAGTCAGGATCTAAAATACAATTAAAAACTTCCAGGATAAGAGATTATTTCCAGGATTTTTGGTCATTTGAATCTAAGTCCAGGCCTCCGTGACTGGAAAACTGGTGTATTACTGTCAACAACTGCCATGAAAAGACCAAAGTCAAGTATTGTGTGTATCAAAACCTGATATTAGTTATTCCTCTGTGCCACAGAGCTCTAACGTTGTCCAAAACCTTTTAAAAACATGTGTTCCTTCATTACCATGAACACATATACTGTACTTTATGTCAACTCAGGCTGTATTCAGACCAAATCAGGTGAGGTGGCCATTAACCGTAGGCTGGTGAGGCGGGGTGAGTGTGTGGGGGGGGGGTATCTGTGCTTTAGAGAGCAACTGCTGTGAAACAATTAGAAAATAATATTTTATTTCTCCGATTGAGCAGCTGTCTCGCTACCAGTGCTCCCCTTTCATATTCAATATCTACGACCAAAGCCGTCGCTCTCTCTCTCGCTTTCACCTGACAGCAAGCCGGACAGACGTCGAAGCACGAACTAAACCAAACAAAGAGTCAGCTGGGAGATTATCGTGGTAACTGAAGCTGACTGATTTTGTCTGAATGCTGCCCCAAATACTCACTTGAGCACCAAATGTGTATTAATCCACAACTGAAAATAGTCCCCAATAAATGCACTCTTTCCTTCTGTTTATTAATTATTATTTTATTATTATTATTATTATTATTATTATTATTATTATTATTATTATATAACTACAACACCCAGCTGTTTTAGGAAACTCAAGAGTCGCCTTTAAAGATGAAACTTTATACTTATGACCCATTTTTAAAAGAATCACCTCTTCGGCAGGAACCAATGGGCCCGAGAGCCACAAACGGTTGAAAGCATTAAGAGAACACATTGTTGTTTTGGTCTTTTCATGGTATTTGTTGACAATATAAAACATATGGAGAACTCAATATACTACAACTGTTATAACCTAATAAAATCAGGACACATCTGTCGTTTTCAAATTCAGCTTCCGGCTTATTTACGTTAATTCTGCGTTAACACTGCCCTCAACCTAAAACACATTTGTGCTGCAAACTGGTATTAATTGTTGTATTTAGTCATGAAATATAACATCTGAGCACACATATACCGGTGCTGTTCCCTTTATTTGTCTCACTCAGCCTTTACGAAGAGGACAGCTGGTGTGCAGTTGGATATTATCACAAGTCTGCTCATTTCATTTTTTTTAATGTTACAAGAATAAAGACAAATCTGAGACACGTGGAGCCAAATCCCTTCTCCCCTCTCGTGCCAACTACCACACATTTTTTAGATGGAACTAGCTTCCAACAAATTACTAATTAAAAAGCCTGAACTGCCTCATCCAGTGAGAATGAAGTCGAGGGGAAAAGAGGAACGAGTAAATGAACAAAAGGAGAAATAACTCGGTAAGATGAAGTATTATAAGACACACAAACGTATCTACGGATTCAGACAACTCACCTCAGGCCACTTCTCTTGAATGACGTCGATTATGTCGTCTGTAAAATCTCCCTGAATGATTATTTCATCCTCTGCTGTCACTGAGGCACCGCAAGAGAATTTCTGGGCAAAGAATCGCTGAGCCTCTTTAAGTTCAATGTCTGCAAGAGTCACCACAGACTTCATGTTAAAAGCATCAAGAGAAAAAGAGAATAAATCAACGTTGAGAGTACTAAAACATTAAATTCTTACCGAAAGTTGCCAGGCCACACACCCGTGTGACGTATTTTTTCTTGGCTCTTGGGATTTTTGCTATCGTGACTTTCTGAGGCACAGTCTTCTTTTTCTGTCTGATCTGGCCTCTTCCACCTTAAACACAACATAAAGTCTTTCAAAACCTCTTATATACAGTGTTTATCCACATGAGGAAACTCGCAATTTCACTATAACAATTTTATTGTTTATTTGTATACGGCATACAGAGTATGTAGCATAAACAAATGCCACACAACATTTATAGCCGAAGCTAATTTGCAGTTCCCGTCCCTACCTGGGCCTTTAAAATACATAAAACTAAATAAAGACACAGTACATAAGAAAACACCATAAAACAGGAGAATCATTCATAACTGATTACTCTTCAGGAACTGTTTCAGTTTAAAATGATCCCAGTCAGGATCCAGTTTGAGTTCTTTCAGTCAGGAATTCCACATTTTAATCACCCGAGAAGAAAAAGCTGTTTGTGTAAATGAGGATTTATATAAGAGCACCTTACAGTTCCCACTGGAGGCTCCACGTTACTGTGGGTGCAACCACAAC